GAACAGAATAGATGCCCTATTGGCCAACAACTGGTTCATGGCTAGGGAGCATTGGGTTTGACTGAGAGCCAGGAGAAAGGGGAGCTCACTGGCCTTCACCATCCCCACATTCAGCACTTCGGAGCAGGCCTGGTCAGGAAACAGAAACTCCAATAACAAAGAATGTCAACCTCCTAGAAGAGTTTCTCCCTCCTGCCCTCTTGATGAAGACAGAGCAAGTTAAGTTTTGCCTGCAAAGCCCAGCTAGGTCCCAAAGTTCCACCCTCCCTCTTCCTGCCATCTCCTCACTAGGAGGTGTTTCCTTTATCAATGGGGGTGTATGGGGGGCACCAAAGCTACAAAGAAAGCCAACCATGGACATGCTCACAAATCAGGACCAGTTCATGGACTCAGAAAGAGGCAAAGAGATTGGCAATAGGGACACCAATTTTACGCAGGTCTATTTTTGTGCCAACTCAAGAATGGCAAAGGAGAGCACCTGGACTCAGTTGTGGAGAAAGGTCAAAAGAAAGAGAAGGCTAGCAGGGACTCTGGCTGAGCTCACATCCTAGGTCTCCTTGTGACTGCCAATGAAATCAGCCTGCCCCTTTAAGATTGCATCAAAAGCCTCAGCTCAAGTCTGGGGCTCAGGCTTAAGGAAGATGCAGATGCCTTCTGGCCCGGGAGGGGGTCTTTCAAGAGTGGCAGTATACAGAATGCTGGTGCCCACAGTTCACCCCCTCACCCCCTCCCGCCTTCTTCGGGCTGCTTCCCGCCCCTTTCGGCCTTCTCCTTTCATCGATCGAAGGAAAGACAGTCCGGCCGTCCTCAGCCCTGAACTCTGCTTTTGAATTGCAGAGGAGAAAATCTTCCTGCCCCCTGCCTCCCCCCCCCCACACACACACACGCCGCCGGCCTCTTTTGGTTGGCAGCTCTGTCCCCAGACCTAAGGCACGAAAAGCCCCCGTTTTTTCCTGCCCGCCGGCCGAGACCCCACGTCCCGCTCCCCTTATCAGAGAGCACGCTCCAGTCGCAAAAACGTCGCAGCTGCCGCCCACTTGGGATGGCCAAAATGATCAAGCTAAAACCCGACTTGGGAGGCGGCGCGGCAGTAGCCAAGCACGGTTTAGGCTAGTCGCTTCCTCGGACGCGCGCCCGGAGACGCTTCCGATTGAGCCTTCGGAGCAAGAAGCGGCATCTGCGCGGTCCGCAGCCTCTTGCTCCCGGGAGAGAGTAGAAGCACCTCCGCCGCGAGTGGTGCTACAACCGCCGTCTAGGCCGCCTTCACCCCCTGTCCCGCTCCCAGGAGCCGGAGGCCCTCAGAAAGGTGCGCTGGGCAGACCCGGGCTCACAGTTCGTTCGCTTCGTCGGGTCTGCAGAGAGAGAAGGGAAAGCAGGCGGAGATCAGGAAAGTCCCCGGGCCCGGGAGTCTTGGATAATTGGGCTAGGGGTACCCACCGTCGCTGCTGCTTCCCTCCGCAACGGAACCGCCGACCTGCAACGGCACTGTTGGGGGTTCAGCCTGGCCGCCCCGATGCCCTCCCTCTCGCCTTCCCCGCAAAAAGGGGCGAGCCTGGCGTCTCACCCGCTTTCCTGTGTCCCGGGAAAGGTCACAAGAACCTCCCTCGCGCCCCCTCCCTCCCCGCCGCTTACTGAAGAGTATAGCGAGCCCGATCAGGAAGGCCGCCACGGCGAAGATGAGCCCCCCGTAGCGGATGGTCTCGTAGACAAGAAGAAGCGCTCAGCACAAACAGGGGCTGAGCCTGCGGATAGGAGAGAAGCGGGGCGGTTACAGAATTTACCTCTGGTTGCGGCCGGGCAAGGACCCCGCACTAAACTGCACCCGAGGGGCTGCTCCTCCTGAATGCCCCGGTTGGTTACTTACCAAACAAGCTGTGAATAAAACGCGCGGAGAGGGGCGGCGGATCTGAGCGGCCAGGCTTAAGGAAGGTGGCAAAGGACGCGCTAGTCTCCGGACAGCGCGACTCGGAAAGCGGGGCGGGGTCCTTTTTAACTGGGTTTTTTTATTGTGTTGGAGTGTGTTCCCATATTTATTGATCTCTTACGTAAACATGTTTTATTGTGTTTTTCTCAAAGGGAAGCGATATAGAAATAAAATCAATATTTTGGGGAGGGAAAAGTCTTAGTTGTGCTCGGTCTCCTCTCAATTCCCTTATTCACAGTATAATTCCTCGGAGGTCGACCGTAGTCCGAGCAGCGCAAGCCCGTCTCCCCTTTCTCTGGAGCCCCTGCCAGGGCAGCAAAGAGGGCGGCCAATTCCCTGTACGGCCCCATCCGAGGGTCAGCCCCTTCGCCACTTCTTACCATAAGAAAATATGGCTTTCTCGGTCTCCGGCAAATTTTCTGGCGGGAACGGGAGGAGAGAAAAGAAACCAAATCAGAAGCCGGGCGGTGCGACCCAGTGCATTCGGCGCCTGAAACTTTCCGGCCGGCTGGCGGAGCAACTGCGAAACTGCCGGCTACGCTGCCAAGCCCACGAAGGAGCTCCAGCCGAGGAAAGGTGCGGCAGCCCTGGAGCGCTCGGGAGGCCCCACAGAGGCCCTCGGCCTGAAACCGGGCACCCGCGCCCCGTGCGTGCGGCAAGTACAAGAAAGGACCCACTTGCCCCATCGGTGGGGGAGAAAGGAGCCGGTCCCATAGCGCCACCCGGTGGTTTTGCCGGCGTCCCTCGGCGGTGCTCAGATCTCGCTGCGGAGAGGACTGGAGATTACCTGCGCGAGGCAATAAATAGAGGGCCCGCACCGGCCCAAAGCAAGAGCCCCTCCTGCGTCTGATGAGGACGCCTCTTCTGGGGTTTTTCCAGCACTCCAACGCCCCCGCCCTCCCCCCGCCCCTGGCTAGTGCCCCCAGTGAGCACAATCCGGTGCTGCCTTAACCTATGGAGCTCTTTATTCACCCTTCCACTTGGCCATCTAGGCCCTCCAAGTGGGCTGGATCAGCAGTTCGGAATTACTCTCTCCTCCGGCTTTCTGGCATTCAACCGTTTATGTTGGAGGAAGTGGGAAGGGGGGCTGGTGGTGGGGGTAATTCCTCTCCAGCTGTGAAGAGCCTGGACCACCTCCCCTTCTCCAGCCTGTCTGGAGACTGGCCAGCTCCAGCTTCATCACACACACATTGTAATAGGGAGCAGGGAGGACAAATATCTCCATAAACATTAACCTGCTGCCCGTAATGTTTATCCCAGTCACAACGCAAAGCCTGAGGGAGGCTCCCCTCCTTTGGAAGAGCTCAGTCTCCTTGAAAACAAGGCACAGGCCAAGGCCTGGATTACCCAAGGGTCTCCCGATTCTGCTCTGCTCCATCCTGCTGCCTGGGTGGCTGCCCGCCCCAGAATTGGCACTAGGGTTAAGGGAGAGGCTCAGCTGTGGAGGAGGCAAATAAGGGGTCCAGTTGGAGAAGCTGATCTCCATCCTGTCTCTTGCCTGCCACCACCCACTCCTGAATGAGCAGAGGGCTCAGTCCTGATCTTTGGACACAGGTCTTTCTGCCTGCATTGAGGCTGATCTTCATCTCACAGACTGGGAATGCGGAGGCTCGCCCTCTTTTGAGGAGCAGCTATCTAAGCTCCACGCAGCCATAGTGTCACATTGCAGCAGTGGAGGAAGAGGAAGTGAATGGAATGTCTGCATCCAGACTGGAAACAGTCCTGGTCTCCCTGTCAATGAAGCACTTGGGGTACCCCAGAGCCAAACAGCTGGAGTGGTCTCCCACCCCAAAGCCAAAGCGTCCTCTCTTTCTGGCCTGGAGAAGTAGAGTGATGCAGCCAGAGGGAAGGGCCAGCAGAGTCGGCCACTGCACTGTCCTTGGAGCCTCCCTCTTGGTTGGCCCTTTATTGGGGGAACCTTTCGAGTGAGCTCCTGGGCGAGGCTCCTATTCCAATGGAAGGATTTCTGACACTGGCTCATGGCTGTAAATGTTTGCTGTAGCAGTGCAGAAAGGCTTAAAACAATCAGCTGTAAACGTGGGGTGCAGGCACAGATACTGTGTTACTTGTGAACAGTCTTATCTTAGCAACCAAGTCATGTGGATTTCGAAGTTCTCCAACATGTTTATTTTTCCATCACTTGTGATCCCCTAAAACATCTGCAATAATCCACTTAAATCTTTCAGGTGCCAGCAAATGCTTTTTGCTGTCCGGCTGCTACTCTGTCATTACAGGGAAATTCCTAAAGGAGACTAAAGCAACGTGTACCCCAGAAAGCCCAGGAAGGATTTCTCCAAGGTCAACCAGAAACACCCTCTGATGGCTCTCAGGCCATCAAGCCGCTCAGCAGAACAACTTCCTTGGGGTCCTTTATTGGCTGCCCATCTGACATTCCAATGGTACAGATTCCACTCAGAGCCCACACTCCCAGGAAGGTGTATTCACCCCCCCCTTTTCCTTTTTGTCCACCACCTAGAGACAGGAAATCTCTACCCCTCCAATCCCTACCACACTTTGTGTTTTGTCCAGCTTTTGTGGGATTTTGCTCTCTGGTGATATCCCATCCAAAGGGGGCAGCCCCTCCCAAGGTCACACAACTAAATTGGCCAGACACAAATAGCTCTGCTTCCCACCTTCTGTGACTGCAAGTGGAGTGGTCTCCTACTTGTAAATATCACTATTTGTCCAGCCTTTTCTGATGATAGAAGAGAGAGAGAGAGAATGATAGATAGATAGATAGATAGATAGATAGATAGATAGATAGATAGTAGAGATGAGAGATGTTTGTGTGTGTGTGTGTGTGTGTGTGTGTGTGAGAGAGAGAGAGAGAGAGAGAGAGAGAGAGAGAGAGAGAGAGAGAGAGAGAGAGAGAGAGAGAGAGAGAGAGAGATGATATATAGAGAGAGATGATAGATAACCAGTCATTGTTACAGAAAAGGAGAGACTCCTCAGCTGCATTTCTCCTTTGCAAGCAGGAAAAGGGAGGGGGGCACTGCACTGTAAGTGCAGGAGACACAACTCCTTATTCAGGGAGCCCTCCTAAGGACCCCTCATGCAGTGCAGGAGGACACCGAGGCACTGAAATAGAAACAATATTTTATTTGATGCTTCTCTTGAGTTGAGACACAGCACAAACATGTGGGAGTCCTTTATCATAACCACACAGCAGCCTACACCAAGTGAATGCACAACCATGGCTTGAGTTTTGGAATTACAACATTTGTACACAGATGTTTTCAATGGTTGCTATCTACTGCACACTACAGAGATAACAGAGTCACGTGGCAACACAGAAGGTGTGGCAACCACAGTAAAGACAAGACTGGGGAAGGGGAGGAGAAAGGAAAGGGAAAGGGGGACGGGGAGGGGGAGGAAGGGAAGGGGTTGGCTCCTCTTCTGCTCTCCTCAACTGGTGGCATCTGACCAGGTGGCTGCAGAAGATGAAAAGTAACCAGGGAAGCCTTGGGGGGGGGGCTTTCTAGGGCTGAGAAATGGGGTATTAAGGTCAGGCCAACCCTACTTCCCACCCTCATCTGGAAGAGGTCTTTGCTCCTCTCTGGACTTCCAATGGAAACCATCTTGGAATTGAGTTTCTCATTCTTGTACTTGCAAGAACCCAAATCTTGCAGGATATTGTGTTGCAATCCACAGGGGTGAGAGCTTGGCAGAACTTATGTCCCTATCCAAATCAAGTCAATGGTAACAGGAATCACCCCACCCCATGAAAGCCTTGCAAAAGAGCTCACAAGACCTGCCCCCCCCCTCCCCGCAGATCTCTACCAGAGAAGAAAGCACACTGCCAGACTTCCCTCTTAGCCTCCTGGGGAGCCAAGTGAAGACTTCTGAGAAGAGCCCTCCCATTCCAACGCCTTTTCTGGCCCTGTGGCTGGCTGGCCTCAGAGACACTGGGCACGTTCACAGACCACTATGGCCTTGCTGACAAGTAGCTTCTGGAGGGACCCAGGCACCACCTGGGGAGGAGAAGGGCCAGAGGGCAACAGCAGCCTCCCCCCCAGGCTGCTGTTGCCAAGACTGAACACCACCAAATTCCTGGACTCCCTTTCCTCTCTCAGTCTGGTCCCTCCCCACAGGCCTTGTCCTCCCCTCCTCTTGTTTCAGCTGGGGAGGGGAGGGCAGCCACAACCTTTGTGCACACCAAGGCAGCAACAGCCAGGTCTTCTCCTGGGAGGGTCAGAATATCAAACTAGCATGGGAGAAGAGGGAGGGGCACAGAGGAGATAGTTGCACAAGGACAATATCAAGACCACAACCACGGTAATGACAGATGAACATTATGTAATCAGACAAGGATTTGGTGGGGAATAGTTAAGCGGAGGACTGATTTTCCAGGACACAGGTCAACATGGACACCAAAATGTCAAGATTCTCTTAGAGGACCAGGGGCCATCACTTCTATGTCCCTTTATCATCTGGTTTGCATTGGGATCCACTGGTCCAGTGTCAGCTCTCCTTTGCTGAAGAAGAAGAAGGGGAAGAAGACAGTGGCAAAACAGAAAGACCCTCTGCAGCACACAAAGGTACATCTGGCTTTAAACATTTAAAACAAAGGCTTGCCAATTGTAGCCATTCTTAAGAGAAAGCAAAGATCACTTTTCATGAAAATCTCGCAAAAAGTTCAGGCCCAGAAACAAGGCTTCTTTGTCTTTGTCCACTCAGGTTTCCACAGTCAGCTCTTCCTCTTCCTCTTCCCAGGACAGTCCCTGAATTTTCAGTTTAGCAAGTTTTGCTCCGTTTCTGCCATTCAACCCCTCCCCTCCCCAAATACTTTCTTCTCTGAAAACTCACCTGTACACCTTCGCTTCAGTTCTCTGCTTTCTGCGGTGCTGCTGGAAAAAAAAACACCTTTGATGCATGGCCCATACAGGAGGGCTGCTCTGGTGGGCCCAATCCCCCCTCCCAGTCACAGGAAAAGGGAAGCCCCCTCGAGAAGGCCAGACCGCCTTCTGTGCAAATGCAGCACTCTTTCCAGACTACATGACAACCCCAAGCTCATCTCCTGCTCCAGCAAGTGGCACTGAAGGCAGGGCACAAGCATGGTGGGGGTGGGGGGGGTGGGTTGGCAAGCAGAAGACTTAATAGACTCCACAAATCTTTGTCCCCTTTCAGGGCCAGAAAACCTTCTCCTGAATGGGGGCAGGGTGTGGCCAAGCCTTACCGTTTGAAGCAATCAGGTTCTCAGCCTGTGCCTCCTCATCACCAGGAGCCCTGCAGAGCAAGAGCAGACAGGATGTGTCACCACCTTCCCACTCCCCAGGGAGGCAACAGGGAGAAGGGCAGCCAGGAAGCAATGCCACCTCACCCACCTGGCCTTCGTGTTGAAGCTGCACCTGCATCGCCTGCCTGGGGAAAAAGACACGGCACAGTGAAGCAAGAGGAGATGGCTCTGGGTGGGGGACATTGGAGAAGCCTTCTCTGGCCATGGCTCTCCTGGCACCCTGGGAATGTCTCCCACCATGGCAGAGCAGACCAGATGCCGAGCTCAGTGAGGGAACTTGACAAAGCAGCTGCCTTGTGCACAAATCATTGGCCTTCCTCTTCCATTGGACAAGGGCAAGTCTGGCATGGGCACCTCCTGAGCAAAGCCAGTGGCACCTTCTGGCCTCACCCGCAAAGCCAACTTGGGCAGATCCAGCCCAGGGGATGTAGCTGTCAGCTGCTTCCTGTTTCCATCTTTCTTTTCATGTGTACAAAGGGGGTGCTGAAAACTTTATCCCCTGGGGTCCCCTTCTTGCCACAGCCTCACCTTGGCCAGGTGAGGCAGGCCATCACCCCTTTCCTGCACCATCACCCCTTTCCTGCACCAGTTTGTCACTGGGCAAACGGCATTCCTGCCCTTAATGAGTGCAGTTCACTTACTCAGAATGAGCAGGATGCCGAGCGTGAAGAAAACTACGGCAAAGGTCAGGCCACCAATCCGCAGGGTCTGGTAGTCTGGGAGAGGAATGAGGAAGACCAAAGGGAAGTGGGGTTGCAGTTCCAAAGGGGCAGCAATGCTCAGAAATATTGGACAGGCTCAAATAAAGGTATTTGTCTCACCATAGTTGAAGGGATCTTTTTCTTTCTCTTGCTCGGTCACTGGAAAGAGCAAACAAAACATCCACAATGTGGCAGTTCTGTGGGCAACCAAGGGGGGGGGAACAAGTCCTCCTCCTCTTCCTCCTCTGCACGTGCCTAGCGCAGCCAGAGAGGGCTGGATCCTGGACCTCAGCCTGCTGCTTTGACTTCGCAGCACATGCAAGGAAACCACCAAAATCTATTCCTTCCCACCAGTTGCCACAAGAGTAGCTTGAGGCACAGACTCTGGGGGGACATACCCCACCCAAGCTATACATACCCTCTGCCAAGATCACTGGAATCAGGAAAGAGCAGAGAAAAAGCAGGCTTCCTTCCATCATGGCTGTGCTGCAGGAGACAGAAAGAGAGCACATCAGATAGCCTGGGGACCTACTTCTCAGAGATCCAGGAGAGGAGACAAGTATAGTCAGGGTTCCTGGGCTCAGAATATCAGGTGGACTTTCCAAAACCTCCTCACAATCCAGGCTGCACTTTGCCTGTGGGGACTGTATTTCTAGACAGCATTCTAAATCTAGAATGGCAAATCTAGACAGCATTCTAAAAAGCAGAGACATCACCCTGCCAACAAAAGTGCGTATAGTCTAGGCCATGGTTTTCCCAGTTGCAATGTATGGCTGTGAAAGTTGGACCATAAGAAAGGCTGAGCGCAAAAGAATTGAGGCCTTTGAACTATGGTGCTGGAGAAGACTCCTGAGAGTCCCTTGGACTGCAAGGCGTTCAAACCAGTCAGTCCTAGAAGAGATCAACCCCGTCTGCTCTTTAGAAGGCCAGATCCTGAAGTTGAAACTCAAGTACTTTGGCCACCTAATGAGAAGGAAGGATTCACTGGATAAGAGCCTAATGCTGGGAAAGATTGAGGGCAATAGAAGAAGGGGACGACAGAGAATGAGATGGCTGGATGGAGTCACTGAAGCAGTAGGTGTGAATTTAAATGGACTCCAGAAGATGGTAGAGGACAGGAAGACCTGGAGAAACGTTGTCCATGGGGTCGCGATGGGTCGGACACGACTTCGCAGTTAACAACAACAACTTTATTTCGGATCACCTGCAGCTTGCAGAACTGTGATCTCCTGTCCGCGCAGCTCACTTCTGTGCTATCTTCTCTTGCTAAGAAACCAATCTGGCTGGATCATGACAAGATGGACTGGCTTGCAGCTCAGGCTGAGGGAAGTCTGTTGCTCAAGTTTTTTGGCAGAGAATCCCAGGTCCAGGGAGAGCACCCGGCTTTCTTCTCCTGCCGTTCCCGTGGGCCAGGGGCTCTCCCCACCAGCCACCATTCCTCCTGCAGAAGTCTCCTGGCTCAGCAAGGCAGGGACCCAAACCTCAGCCACCCCCACCCAAAGAGATTTCTATATACAGAGAGGCATCCTCCAGAAGACACTTCTCTCCAGACCCAGGTCATTTCTCAGCCCAGCAAGAAGCAGATTCTGCTTCTCCATCTGTCTGCCTGCCTGCCTCTGAATCCCCACCCAAAGTTCAGTCCACAGCTCAGCACAGCAGCCTCAGCAGCTGCAAGACAACCAAGGAAGGGGACGGCACAAGGGCTTTCCCAAAGTACACCACACACACACACACACACACACACACACACACACACTGGGGACTGCCTGAAAAGTCTGTGGCTGCTTCTATCCTTAGCCTCCAGCAAGTGTTCTTTGTGTAATGGGGCTAAGAGGCAGTAGCTCTGGGGCACATTTCATAGGTGGTGATGGGGAACCCAGCAACAATCTTTAATTGACTCAATTATTCATTTGACCCACCCTTCCTATAAAGGGAATATTTGCAGCTCGGGGTTGAAATGAAGGAGTTTGGCGCTCTCTGAGCTCAGTTGTTTTCTTGCAGTTGTTTCATCACCCAAACTAGATAACATCATCAGTACTAGTAAGTAATGGGATTTGCTCTCAGTTTATGTTCTAGTGGCTTGCTCTGTCAGTGTTGGTGGGAGTAAGAGATTCTTTGGTTGGACTGTTTATTGTTGGTTTATTTGATAGTTTCTTGATTGATGTATTGTTCGATTGTTGGTCTGGTGTTAATCTTGGAATTAATGTATGCTCATTTAGGTGCTGATTGCTGGTGGACAGGCTCTTCCAAAATGGCACAAAGGAGTGGGGGAACATTTGATTGTTCTGGAACATTTCATCAGGGGAAATGTTCATAAAAGTAGTCTTTAAAATTTCTTAAAAACAATAGTAACTGACTTTGGGTGATACCAACAGCAATAGCACTTGTATACTGCCCCACAGCAGTTTACAGCACTCTCTGTGTGGTTTACAATCAGCGTGTTGCCCCCAGCAGTCTGGATCCTCATTTTATAGACCTCAGAAGGATGGAAGGCTGAGTCAATCTTGAGCCCATCGGGATCGAACTCCAGGCTGTGGGCAGTTTGCCTGCAATGCTGCACGTCTAACCACAGAGCACCCAGGGTTCCATCCTTCCAGGATGCTGCTGTTTTTCTCCCAGAAACCTTGGACGAATCATAGCTGGAAGTCCACTGGGCAGTTTATGTTGGAAGCTAAAGAGGAAATGGGAAACTCTGCATTATGGCATAGTTTTCAACAGAAAACAGGGAATGCTTCCTTAAATACGTGTTTTTACAATTTTGTGTATCACTAAATACACTACTTTTTGGGAAAAAGTAGTGGGCTGTGTAAACATGACTGCCACAAAAGCTAAAATTTTCAGAGGATGTTCTTATTTATTTCTTATTTGTTTGTCAGATTAAGGTACCACTCAACTCACTTTCAGATTTTTTTTTATACATAATTAAATTTTGGAATTTGCTACCATGAGGTGTCATGCTGGATAACAGTTTCTCTGGCTTCAAAAAAGGGTTGACTGATTCATGACAGTCCTTGGATCAGCAACTATCAGCCTAGAGTGGCGTTCAACCCCAACAACTTTCAACTCCTGGCTGGGGAATTCCTGGAGTTGAAGTCCCTGCATCTTAAAACTGCCCAGGTTGAGAAAAACTGGCCTAGGCTATTTGCCTGGGGGCTGCGGAGCTTCCTGGGAATTCCGGTCGTAGATAGACTCCAAGGGCCGGATATCCAATCCGGGAGGGTACGGCTTCTCCAAATGGCTCCCAGCAAGTATGAACAGCTCAGCTGCAACAGAATATTTTGGGACCCTGGGATCCTTGAGGACCCCCAGAAGTGACCAGACCTTCATCAACATCTTCTTACAGGTAGTCCTCGCTTAACAACCCTAGTGGGATCACCCTAATGCTAAGCAAAGAGTTGGCTATGTGGGAAATCAATGACTGGGAATGTGCTCTCCGATGGAAAAAGGCAAGATGAGTCGGCTTCCTACCTTCTGCTTTTGCTTGCCTCCTACCCTGCTCCCACCTCCCTGGAGCACTGGGATGCTTGATTACTCTCTGGTACACATCAGAAGTTCCGCAAGGAGAGGAAAACAAAAACACAGGTTGCATACTGAATGTAATAGAAATCACGAGACTGAGGGATGCTGTGAAGGTCATAAATAGTTGTAAATTGGGTATAAATTTATTTTTTTCAGCACTATTGTACAGTTGCCAAATGCGTGGTCTGTAAACAAGGGCTACTTGTAATAAATAAACAGATTTTGACTAAACAAACAACATTAAAACAGTGTTCTGTGTCATGTCTTTACTGAACACCAAGTCTTTGCTGTAAAAGGTATGCGAAGCCCTAAAATACGGTAATCCACACTGTGTTATCGGGGTAAATTGAGCCAGCGATTCTACTCAATGGCAGTCAGGGCTCCTCCCCTATAAAAAGACCTATATTCCCACACACTGATTGCCACCATCAGAATTTATTCCTCAGAATAGAGGTAGGGAAGTGAACCATGTTATGCTCAAGACACATCTCTGCAGGTCCCAGGGAAAGGGCTGGCGATGCTCAAGAGTCTAGAAAGGGCAACAGAGTAAATTCTAAAACCTTAGGCCTTTATCAATTTATGGTCAGGGAAATAGTGTTCAAATTGAGAAAATCCTAACCCTTGATCATTTAAAGGTAAATTCAGGTGAAAGTCCTCCAAAATCTGCGTAGAAACGCAGTTTCTGAGGAAACTTGAACAAGAAAAAAAGATGAGCATATGAAGAGATAAATGTGATTTTATAAGTATTACAAAGACTTTGTGAAGAAGATTCAAGACTTGAATCTTGTTTTTCGAATGGAAGAAGCTGGAGGTGGGGAGGAAGAGAGATGGGTGCACTTGCAAGGAAATCTATTCATCTCGAAACAAAAACTCTTCCAGCAATGCTTAGTGGTTGTGTGACCTTTGCTCGCAGTAACAGAAGCTGGATGTCCAGATTACAGGAAGAGACACCAACTAAGATGCACCTGAAATCCAGGACCAGCTGAGGGACAGTGAGCCTTCTAGGATGTTCTGTCTAGACATGGTTAAGGGAAGATCTGGTAGCAACATTCCAATATCTGAAAAGCAGAAGATAGGCTGCTTTGTCTCTGGTGCAGCGGCAAACAAGACAGTCTCCAAGGGGGAAAACTGCAGAACGGAAAGCAGATTGTGGTCTTTCCTGGGGTCATCACAAAAGAAGAGCCAGGTTGGGAGTCTGACAGCAGCTTTTCCAAATAACAAATTTCTTTAAAAGGCACAAGCTTTTATCAGCTCCCAAGCACTTCATCAGATTCACAGAGTGGCCACATGGATATATGATGGGAGTTCTTCATTTATCAGTTTTTAGCACCACTCCAAGGTGAGATGTTGCAAGCCAAGTAGCCCAGCACACCCTGAGTTAAGAACCAGGCAGAAGGAAGACTGGAAGGAGAAGGGGTCTCTGCCTTGCCCCCAAGTCCTTGCTGCAGACCTTGCCTCCCTGCCCAGAAGGATATTGGAGCAGGTGCAAAAACACCATGCTGCACCATCATGGCGCTGCTCAGGTGCACCTCCTTTTCCCTGCCCTAGGCCAAAAGAAGGTGCAGCCCGGAGGCCTGGCAATCCCAAGCAGACTCCAGAACCCCCCAAGAGCCACAGGTTGCCCTCCGTGGCCAGTTCTTCCCAGCTCTCTTGAACCCCACATATAGCATTATGGCATTAGCCATATAAATGAAACGTCACATGGGTTCTCCTTGGCATACCAGAATTAATCATTAAGAATTCTCTCCTCTGCTGTATTACATGTTCCTTTTTCTTTATCTGTCCCCTAGAGTAGGCAGGTACAAAAACATCTATTTGCTACCTCACCAGCTAAAGAAATTGACAATTCATCTCAACAACAGGGCTGCAAATTATTTGTCAGGTCTCAAAGGATAAATGCCTTTTCTAAACATAGAGGCCCTGCTGAGCTGCCAGACCTCCCAAGTAACCCCAGTTGTCAGGAGGTGGGGCTGAGAGCTCCAGCACTGTCTGGGTAACTTATCCACCTTAGAAGGAATGGGAGGCATCTGCCAGCATGGCAGAGAATGAAAGCCAATGTAGCAGTCCCAGGATAATGTTGCAGGATCCAATCTGTCTCTGGGATCAAAGTTTTATTCTTTCAAGCTTTCATCCTCAGGGAACTCAGAAAAGCCACAAACAACCAGGCACTATATAAATACCCCACGCAGAGAACAGCCAAAAGCTGCAAGAGAGACGTTCCCTCAGGATGGGCTCCACCAGGAGTCCTAAAGCTCGGAAGACCAAACCTCTGGTCCCAGTGACTGATCCAGATTGGATCCTGCAAAGTTATTCTGGGATGTGTAGATTCGCCTTCATTCCAGAGTGTGTCTTTAGAGCCCTGGGGAGGGGCTCCAGCACAAGCCTGAAAGCTAACTCAGTTTGAATCCTGCAGAAGGATCCAAAACCAACCAAGAGAAGCATTTTCAGGGTCTTGTTCCAGAGGCTTCAAAGCTATGGGGTTTTTGGAGCAAGATCTGCAGGCCTTTCATGGGAGGGAACAGGAACTCCATTGCAGGAGTCCTAGCAAGAGGGAGAAGAACGCCTCCTTCTCAAGCAGTGGCTGTTTGGCCTCCATCCTACCCCACCAATGCCAGAAAGAAGAACAAGAGCAACTAATGGTTCTCACGGCCACATTGGCCCACATTTTTAGCCATTTCGGTCCTCAGTGAGAGCCAGTTTGGTCTAGTGGCTAAGGCACCAGACTGGAAAACATAAGACTGAGTTCTAGTCTGGCCTTAGTCATGAAAGCTGGCTAGGTGATTTTGGGCAAGTCTCAGTCCAACTCACTTCACAGCGTGGTTTTGGTGGAAAAAATAGGAGGAAGATATGTTGGATTTGTTCATCATCTTGAGTTATTTGTAAAAATATTTGTACAAATACAATCAAGATACAAATAAATAAATAAAATTCTCCTCCCATGTTATAGAAGTCAGGAAAACACCTTACATACTGATCATTCAGGCACCAAAATCCTCATCAGCAGTTTCTCTCCCCATTTTAACTGATCTGACACATGGATAGTGAGGCCACAAGGAAAGGCCTCATCCAGATAAATTTCTCCCCCTCACTATGCAAGGTGATTGTGGTCTAGAATACATTCTCACATTGAGAGGCAACCATTCTGTGTGCCATTGTGCCCACAGTAAAAAAAACAATAAAGATTATCTATCTATCTATCTATCTATCTATCTATCTATCTATCTATCTATCTATCTGCCAACCAGCTCAAGACCAAAGCAAAAAGCCATGTACTGTTTTGTTAACCATGATTGCATTGAGCAAGCCAGTGGACTGGGATCTTTGAACATACTGAACTGCAGGAGTTGAATAAGCTAAACTCAGTCATGTTTGGGAACTTGCCACAGTATTGTAACCCAGATAGATGCACCTGACTCCCTCTGGATCAGGACCATCACTGGGCCAAGAAGCAGAGTTAGACAGAGAAATCTCTGTTTAGGAAACTGACAGACCCAGAAAGGTGGCTTCCCAGCCTGTCCCTGACCAAACAGCCCTCTTAAGCCAATGCACAGAACCATCACAAAGCAGATTAAAAATCTATCATGCAGTTGGCATTAACTACTGCACACATGCAACTATTTCAAAACCAGGAGGATGATCAGAAAAGAGCTGCCCTCCCATTTGTCTGGCAGGCAGTGCTGCAGAGGTCAAGAAGGGTCCGACTCATACTGTGCTTTCAAGAATTGTGGCAGCTGGTGGGCTGCGGGGGTCCTCTGGACACAGGTAAAGAGGGCAGAGTGCCATTCATGTCTGAAGCAAGTGCATCTCTCATCAGTAAGAGCCTCTTGGAAGAAAGGAGGGTGTGAGAAATCTCACTGAGCTCCCCCACAGCCATTTCCATGGGTGAAGACCAAAGGAGTCTCAAGAGGAGGCCCAGCTCTCATCCATTCACTTCTTAACTGAGGCCAACTTCCTTCAGGCTGTGGTCTTGTAATGACAGCCCCCCCCCCAGATGTTTGCAAGGCCACCTGGTGGAAGTGAGAGAGTTCTGGCCGGGCAGAGCTGCACGACCTTGACAGTTTCTCCCCCAACCTCCAAGCGCCCTCTGGGCCCCCCTCGCAGGGCGGCGCCTGTCCTTCCTTTCATTCCAGAGCCCGACGAAACAACCCGCCCGTTTCTGGTTAGGCATCCAAGCGAATTGGCTGGTGGGCGCCTCGCGCCACGGCTGCTTCCCAACTGTTTGGAGGGGGGAGGGGACGGTGTTTATTTCCAAATATAGAAGAGAGAACAACGAAAAGCCCGACGCAGCCAGCCTTCTCCCCCCACCCGGCATTGCCAAAATTGCGCCTGCGCCACGATGGGAAGGGGGGGGCTGCCCGAGATGTTTTGCGCGTAACGGCGCCGGCCGATGTCAGTCCCGCCCCGCAAGGCCGGTAAACAAAGCGCGACCCGCCCGCCAAGCTGCCCGCCGGGGCTCGCAGCCCTTTTGGCCGAAAGGAAGCGAGGCGCGCCAGAGAGACCCGCCCGGGTCTCCGAGAGTCGTGGCGCGGGGGCCGCGGGCTGAGAGCAGGAGCCTCCCCAGGCCCGAGCAGCGCGACTCCAAGGGGCGGACGAGAGTCCGCCGCGGCGCCCCAGCTGTGGCGGGGAGGAGCGCGCGGTTCTCCGCCGGTCACGGCGCGGCAGACGGGCGGGGAGGGGCAGCCCCGCGCTCCATGGAGGGAGATGAGCGGTAACCAGGCAACCCCGCGCAAGAGTGCCGTGCCAGCCCGCGGTTGACACGGCAACCTGAAAGCCAATTGCGAGTCTGGGCGGGAGGCCGCGCCAGACAGACCCACGCGCGCCGCCTCCCCGCCGGCGGAGGTCGCGATCAGCAACCCAGAAGGGCGGGGTGCGGAAGAACAGCGTTTCCGCCCGACCAGTCCACCGCCCCTCGCCGCCCGGCTGTGCTCGACAAGCGGACTGCGGGTCGGCCTGCACGTGCTCAGAAGCCGCTTCTCCGTGGAGCCGCGATGGTTCTTGTCCCCGGACCCCTCCCCTTGCAGAGAGGATCTCCGGAGTCCGAAGCGCTCGGTCTCGGGAAACGGAGGGCCCCCGCCGCCCAGAGGGGCCGCCCGTCCGCCTCCCAGGGACGCAGGACTCCTCGAACACCCAGCCACGGAGCCCTCGACCAGCCGAGCATAAGAAGGGGAGAGGCCGTCGGTGCGGCCGTTTGGCTCCTCCCGTCCCGCCTCCTACCTTCCCCTCGGGCGTCCTTCCCGGGCAGGCGGCGTCCGCAGAGGGAAAACCCGCGCACCAGGTTGGGCGTCTCCTGCCTCCCGACTGTGGCGCGGCTCAAGCCCGCGTCTCCTCGCAGCTGGCAAGGGCTGGGCGTGCAAGGGGCTCGGGCATGGCCGCGCTCGGCCGGGAGTAAGGCAGGCGCTAGGCGAAAGTGGAGACCTAGGCGCGCGCCCGGAGGAAAGGCGGGCGGCTGCTGGCTGCGCTCGACGTGCCCGGGCGGGGTCGGGGTTCCTTCCCTCCCTACGCCTGTGATGTCAGCACGTGCGGCCGCACCGGGAGCCCTTTCGCCCAGGCCTTCTGAGCCGAGGCTCTCGAGCAAGCCCCGGTCTCCCAGCCGGGTTGGCGAAGGAGGGCCGGGCAGCCAAGATACAGCCCTCCGTGCCTCCTCTTCGCTGGGAACTGTTCCGGTGCGCGGGTCCCTGCCGTTGCGGATGGGGCCCTTCCTGGAGCGGGGAAGGGGAAGCAGCTTTCTACCTAGAGAGAAAACTGGATTTTTGAGTCCACCTGTTGCCAGCTGTGCTATCTGACAGCGGAGAGGCCCGAGAGGTCCCGTGCCTGGGCTGGGAAGCTTGCCTCCTCTGGCTTGGAATCTCCAGGAGTCATAAAAGGGAGCCCTTCAGCCCTGATCCAATTAGTGTTGGAAGTTAATTCATCTAGGTACCACTGAGCCAACCATGCAGGTCAACAAACTATAGCTTCCAGGTGGGTCAGAACCTATCCCAGTCACCTGGATGATCCCACTGCTGGGTTGTGCAAGAAAGGCAACTGGAACACAAATCTCGTGGTGGCCCTGCCCATGGCATCCACTATACTGAAGCCACTTCGTTTCTGCAGTCCCGCAGTCTTTTTTTTTTTCCACACAGAGGCTCTGCCTTTGCTTGTCAGGTCCCAAAAGCAAACGGGAGGGTGAACTGGGGTGCAGCTTGACTGCCTGGGTTCTTCTATCTGCTGGTTTCAATCCTTTCCCCCCACACCTCTAAAGCCTGAGATTGAGGTGCCCGCCGCTGGTCAGTTGCAGTTCTCCTGTTCTCCAGGACCTAGCTGGTGGACTTGAGAGTGTGTGTCCAGAGAGCAGGCAAGCAGACTAGAGAAGCCCAGGCAGGGGTCCCAATGCTCTCCCCTCCCCATTCCTGCTATATCTTGACCAGTGGGGGTCTTTATCAAGGGGGGAGATAGCACAGCCAGAGGAGAAAGCTAAATGGAGTTTTCAGAACAGTGAGAGCAAAAGGTACTGTCCACACCTGTCTGCTTATGAGATGCATTACATTGGCCACAGATGGGGAAAGGTCACACCCTAAAGTTCTCCATTTACATGTGGTTTCAGAAGAAGTAATTGCCTGTCTCTTATGATGTGATCAAAGGAGGGAATGGGAGGTCCTGACTGGACACAGATTGGAGGCCTCTCCTAGCACTGCTGGCCACAGCTCCTTGGGGCAAGAGGTGCCTCTGAGTCGCTTCTGCTGCCTCTCCTTTTCCCCATGTCTTAGAACCTTTAACACACACATGCACAAACACAAATCATATTTCAGGTTCCAATTGTAACACCAGCCAATGTGCAAGGTAATCCCTGACAGTGGAGTTTAAGAAGACCCTCTCTGGCTTAGCTATCAGAGGCCATTTCCCAGCCATCGCAGAAGGAGAGACAGAGAAAGAAGGTGACAGGGAGGGTGGGGAGGCAGCAAGGGGCAGCTGCTCCCATGATTCAGAGAAGCAAATTGGGGCAAGGAATCTGCAGAATGAGCAGGCCCAGAATGGCAGTTCTGTTTTCAGCAAATAAAATGTTCCTTTTCAGGAAAAGACTTCAGAGACAGAAGGAGATGTGTGCTTGGGAGTAGAAAGTCAATACTGGGTGGGTGGGTGGAGGTGTTACGTCTGCAATTCCCCCTCCAGGGGAGGGGTCACAGTGGGCCACCAAGGCAAAGGTACAGAAGCACTGAAGTGGCGAGGTTTCAGAGAGCTGGTCTAGCGAGTCCAGTTTCCAGGGGCCTGTAGTGCTGCCAGTCAGATCCTGCCCTAGGAGGGGTTGCGGCTGACCCTGTTTGGTCTGCTGAGAACTCCGAAGAGACACTGTCTGGTGTTCACATGTGGCCAGATCTCAGAAGGGCACTTCCACAGAGCAAGGTCATCCCATCCTGCCCTAGCATGTCTCGCCAAGGACTTGGCTCTAGCCTCAGTACCAGCTTCATCCTTCAAACAAGCAGCCCAGAGGTCCCAGAGGATGTTGGGAGAAGCCCAGCTGGTGAGGTCGGCCCACCTCCACGCGCTTCTTCCACTTCCCTGGAAAGGAGTGAAGGTGCCATTCTCTTCTAGGGGCTCTGACTCTGCAAGGCAAAACAAGAAGAAGGAGGGAATTCCTGAACAAGGTCTAGAATCAGCCTTTGGTCTGGTGGGAGAAAATCCATCCCAGGCACAGAGTAGCCAGCAAGCCTCTGTCTGGTCAGTGCCAGCTGAGGGTCAAAGGAAAGAGGGAAACACCGCTCAGCTAAAGCAAATTCCCAAGCTAGCGGCAACATTGCATAAACAGTATTTCAGGACTGCCATTTAAATCTACAGTGACCCCTTTGCACAGCCTGAATAGCTCACCTCTCCCAGTCATTGGAAGGCAAACCTTCCTTTGCTGTGCCCCAAGGCAGCACCAGGCGTAATCTGAGTTGGAGGGGTAGTTCCCACTCCCAGTCATTTCTGCTTATTTTCCCCCTCCCTGATAGCTGCATAGGAGGGTAGGAGAAAGGAGGCTCTGTGCTTGCATGTTTTCTGGGAAAAACAAGGAAGGGCTCAGTCCTTCTCCCAGAGAGCGGTTTGCAGGATGCCAAGTATGGCCAGGCCTGAATCAAATCCCTGCCACATCAGGTGGGGGGGGCTCAATTACGCCTGCCTCTGTCCTATGTTTAATCAAGCATGTCGGGAGTGGGTCCAAGTGCCCCTCTTGCTCTAGCTTCTTTCCATGCCCGTTTCTAATTTTTGCATGCCACCCGAATTCCTCTCTTCACAGCCCTCCAAACAAGTGAGCAAGCAAGGACCCTCTCACCTCCATTTGGCTGTAAATCCAACCAAGGAACTTGGTGACTTGGGTATAGACGCCTGGCTTGTTTTGCTGACCACAGCCAGTTCCCCAGCTGGTGACCCCAGCCAAGTACCATCGATTACTATCCTGACAAACCAGGGGGCCACCGCTGTCACCCTAGGCAAAGAGAGACAGGCATTACTGGGGGTCGCAATCCCCACCTAGCATTTCCATGTTTGGTAATTTGTACCACTGATAGGCCCAGAACTGGGGTTTCATAGAAAAAGAGCCCGACCCTGAGTGGAGGGCGCCTCCCTATCCTGCAAGGGAAGTGTCTTTTCTTCTTTTATGAAGTGTGTTGGTGTGCCCTCAACAATGTTCCCTGGTGGTCCATCTAACTTTCCTAAAAGTGCCAAAGATCTGATTTTCTCCTGAAAAAAAATGCCAACTGCAGAGTGTTCAGGTGATGAGGCAGTGAGTTGGAAGGTCTAGTCACAGCACAACATGCAGCCACCATCACCTTTACAGGTGGCATCTTTGGATTAGCCCATTTCTTTTTTAACAGGATATTTCCATCAGCTTTTCTGTCTGTAATTTTCAAGTTTAGTGAAATATCATTTAAATGAAGTTGGTATAGTTGCATAACACAATATCACTAACTCTTCAGAACTTATTTTCTAAAACTCTCAATATTGTGCTCAGCGGGGATGATAGAAAACTGGGGGTTTTTATGGTTTCATTTTAAGATCAGTATCTTAAACTACTGTTTGAAAGTTCTAGTTTGAAAGCTGTTCTATCACATTTGTAGAATATTTTTAAAATCACAGAAATAAAATCATTTTAAAGCTAATTTTAAATCAGCAAGATGTAGCACATTCAAATACTGTAAAAGTGATAACAACGTAATTTTGAATGTGAAAGCACCGTCCCACTGGGGGGGGGGATCAGAGCCCTGGGGGCCAGAGCCGCAGCAGCAGCTCTCCAAAGCTCGAAATCTGCTGCAAGCGTGCAAGATATCAGGAAGGGTTGCCAGAAGGGACTCCCCTCGACTTTGTTCTTGTGGTACCTCAGTAATGGACACCCCTGATTTTGTGAGCTCCGATGGACTCTGAGTCTCCAGCTGAGGAGGCTACTCATCCCTTGCGAGTTAGGCTCAGCGCATCTGGTTGTTGTTTCAGGGAGGTCCACAGTCAAGCCATCAGGTAAAAATGACCAGGCAGGGGAGATTGGAGACCTCAAGAGGGAGGGAGGCAGCTTTAACTGGGAACTCCGAATATAGAAGCATATCCTCCAGATACCCCCCACCCTTTCCTACCCGGAAGAAAGTCTCCTGCTTTCTGACCTGTGTCCTGAGGCCATCCCTTCCAGGTCTTGCCTGTTCTTTGCCCAGGGATTGGATTCTGGATCTGCTTTCAAGGACTTCACATGGAACCACAGACTAGATGAGCACTTTTCTTTTCCTCAAGGACATTTGCTAGTATCTTCCTAATAATCTTCCCTTATCTCTGTCTCAGTTTGTGTGGGAAAATTTACAAGTTACTAAAACCTGCCAGACTTGTAACTAGTTGCATCAGTCTAAAGTTGCATAGGAGAACTCTTCCGCTTCCTCTCCAAGCAAGAAAGCCTCTTTTACCTGGCAAGAGTCTTTGCCCCCTTGCAAAAATCCAGCACACATCATCCTGGGGGTCAAGAATCCCTCGTAGACATTATGGCTGTTGCAGAGCCGATAGTCAATGATCTTCACTTCTGCTTCCCGCAGCTTGGGCGATGTATTCTCTGCAAAAGGCAAACAAATTATGTGATGAAAAGAGAGCCCTGGACATCTCTCAGCCTCCTGTGCTGGAATTATCATGGAAACTCAGATGGAAAAAGTTCATTATAGCCAAGAAGTCCCCACCCCACTCCTAAAGCATATTGGCAGGTGACTGCTCAGCCTTTATTAGAACATGTTCAGTGGGGGGAACCTCACCTTTTCTGTGCCACAGTCTAGCAAATGAGGTCCACTCGCGCATCTTACCTTCATTTTCACTGATTTTGCCAAAGCCTGTGATGAAGCAAGCTCTCCCAGGAAGAAACCTTTGGCCTGACATGGGAAGGCAGGCTGGGCGAACCTGAGCTGGAACAGAGGGACAAGCAAGTGAGCCCTTCCTTGAACAAAATTTAAACGGACCTACTAGCATTTGAGCTGAGCCGCTCAGAAGGCATCCAAGAACTTCACCTGAGAGGCCCAAGGGCTGGGAGAGCTTCATCAGGGCAATGTCATAGTCATCATGGTCATCACTGTAATTTGCATTAATGATGACCTCAGAGACCAGGATCCCCTCCTTCATCTGCTTGAGATCAGAGATACCAGCATAGACCTTCCATTCATCCAGGATTTTCACGCTATTTCTAAAAAGTCCAAAGGCAAAAGTTTACAGGAGTCTCTGCCTTTGGCTCAGAGCATAGATATCCAGAGGGAGATTTCTCTGAGATGAGGCTGATCCTACACAAAGGGTTGTTTTGGAAAATCAATCCAATTAATTATTCAAATTGAGACAGCAAATTGATCTGAAAGAAGACGTTGATGAGAGACAGTTATGGGGGTGGGGTGGGGGTTGACCTCATTTCTTTGCTGGGTCTCAAGAAATGACAGAATAATGGACAGGACACCGGATGGGAAGTTGTGCCTCTCTGCAGTAGCCTGGCCCTTTGGCTTCCTCCTTCTGGCAGACATCCTGGTGGGGAGCTTCCCTTCCATGGGCATCTTCAGAGCCTCCCACTGCCCTCCCAAGTTAATCCAGAGGTTAACCTTACATGAAGAAGCAGTGGGCTGCAGTCATCACCCACTGCGCATCAATGATAGTGCCACCACAGATGTGAACAGAGCCATATTGGAGGCTCACTTGCCAAGGCCATTTACTGGCTGATGCTTCAGTGCCTCCCACAATGCGGCCGGATATCCGTTGCCCACAGTCTGCAGGAAGAAACAGCCAAGAACCTCAGTTGGGGGAGCACAGACAAGCCCTCCACATACACATGCACCACACCTACCCACCTAGAGATGTATGTAAGGTCCTTTTATTAGCCGTCTTTGTTCTACCTTTCCCACCCAGCCCCCAGCCCCATGCAGAACCCGCATGATGTGCATGTCCTAGGTTTTCAAGGGTGGTTCTCTCCCCCACTCTGACAGGCTCTGCTCCATGATGTTTATAACTTTCATTGCTTTTCAAAGTGTGAAGACAGTACAGTATTCTCTGTACTGCCCTGAAAGGCAGGGGCACTCGGTGGCTTGGCATTGCCTGCTGCTTTAATCTCTTTAGATAGGAGCTTATGAAAGAAGGAGAAAGAGTGTGGCTAAGCCTAGCCTGGGCATGAGGTCAGCCCTAGGGTGCTACCTCCTCCCTCCTCAACTATGGCACAGAAATAAAAAAGCCCCTTGGTGTCAGAGCCAGGGCCCACCACTTCCACCTTCCTCTGTCTCCTTACTTGTGCATCGGAGAGAAACATGCTTTCCAGAACGGCACTTGGAGCTATAGAGGAGATCAACAAATCAGAAGTTAAGTGAGAAATAGAGCCTGCAGCCAACAGGGACTTTCACCAGCCAAAGGGGAAGCGCACAGAATCCCCAAGTCGGTCTGCCTGTCTGGAAGAAAGACACATTTTCTCGAGGGCCCAGCAAGAGGGAAGCTGCAGAGAGCAATGAGGGACGGGTGAGTCCCTTCCCACACATGACGCTGAGGACGAATGGTTCAAGTCCTCCATGACACGGTGCTGTGGTCCCTGCAGACATAATGCTGTGGTCTCTGCCTGCACCAAATGATATCTGCCAGCCTATAGATGGTCAAGCCAGGGCAGAAGATGGGAGATAAGTGGAAATATTTAGAGGGGAGGGGAACTACAAAGCCAAGTGCCAAATGACAGCAGAATTTGGATTTGGGCAGGTGGGCACCTCTGGTGGTGATTCCAAATGGGAGGATCAAGTACCTTCCACCAAAGCATGATCTAAGAGCTTAACTAAGCATTAATTGTTACACTTAGTCTTGAGGGTCACAGTCAAGGCTAGTGTGAATGTTCTAATTCTTCATTACTCTATTGATGTATTGGGATCTTGTTCCTTAAAGGAAATTGATGTCTTCAGTAATAATAGGTCATAGCAGATGGCTCTGCAACACATAGCAAACTATCTTGAGAAATGTACAACTCCATTTCCAAAGCAATTTTTGGCCAAATAATGAACAAGCCAAAGATGAGCTAGTTTTTTTTCATTTTTCAGTTAAAAGACTAGAATTTGGTGTGTCTTTGTGCATGTGCATTGATGCACTAACAATGAATCGCAAACCTTACCAGGTCTGTGATCCTCTATGACCCCTGAGGGTCACTGAGCCAAGGGCGATCCTAGCAGACCAAGTTGTCCTTGGCCAGGAAGTCCCCGGAGTCCATCTGCCCCAAATGGCGTGGATTTGCTAGCACTTGGCAGGGATCACAGTGGAGACTTCCTTCCAACCCACCACTTCATCCCAAGCAGCCCATTACCTGTTGAGACTCTGCTGAATGGTTTTTCGCATCTCGCCAGCCACAAGACTTTTCCCAGAAAACGACAGAGGGACATATTCTGTGTCGGAAGTGCTGGGGAGGCAGAAGGGAGCTGAAGTTAAAGGAGGCCTGGGGAGGACAGTTTTGTTGCACAGAGTAGCTGTGGAGTAGCTCCCCAGCACCTGGCAGGCCAGGCCACCATGTACACAGCTTGGTCAGGAGTGGCTAAAAAGTCAGCATTATATGTACTACAAAATATCTCCAGCACAGCATGCAGCCCCTCAAGACCCTCAGTTTATGAGTAGCCTCATCTCTTTTCACCACAAGTCCCCCACCCCACCCCCATTCATCTGAAGGAGTACAGTCCACAAACAACTCTTTCTACTGCTTACAAAGTTGCCACCAGGGCACTCTGCACATGAACAGGACCAGCAAAGCAAGCAAGAGGCTGAGAGAAAACAGGAGCTTCTCTCCTTCCTTCAGTGGACTCCCTCCCCACCTTATGAGGAGACCCAGAATTACTTGAGGAATCCCAGCTGCTGACAGGTCTTTCGGGAGAAGGCCTCCGTCCAGGCTTGACTGCAGACAGGCAGCCACTGCCTCTCTGCTCCCGAGTAGACATGGAGCAAGGACTGGTTCCACCCAAAGCGCACTGCAGAACAGGCGAGAACAGGAAGGAACCCAAATGGGCATTCCTGGGAGGGAAGTAGCCTCCCAGCCCCTCAGTCCAAGCTTCGTCTTCTGGCTCCCCCAAACCTTCTGGACTTACCACAGTCCAGTTCATCGCTGCTCTGAGAACAGTCAGGAACCCCATCGCACCGCACAGCATGGTCAGTGCAGCTCTCCACTGGCTGCTTGTACACAATGCCGGTGCTGGACCGCCAGAACAAAACTGGGAATAGGACATAAGCAAGAACAATGAACAAACTGAGGCTTAGGTGAGCAGAGGAATTATTTCTTACATTGAGAAAAGGAATCCAGACTCCAGATCACCAAGCAGGAAACCAATGCAGACGGCCCCCAAAAGATGCAAACTTTCTGCCCCCCCCCTAGAAAGTGGGAGAAATAAACAAACAAGGGACTTGTTGGAATTCTTGTGCATCCCCTCAGCTTTCCTTCTCATAAAGGCTATTGATTAGAGCTTCTGAGCTTCTCACTCTTTGGATAAACTGTCCTATCTAAATTGCCAGGAGGAATATCTGACACACGGCACTTGCAACTGCACCTCTTCAGCATTGGCACTGTCAGCTGAACAAGTTCCCAGTTCCTATTGTTATTAGGCAGCGGGCGACAGATATGCTCCCTTCAGAGACTCTTGCAGAGAATTGGAAGCAGCATCTGTGCCAGAGGCCATTCCTCAGCATTGTAATGCACAAGCATCGCCATAGATGAGTCTCTAGGGGGAAAGTTTTAAAGGAGATCTATGTTAGTCCAGGATAGCCAAAAATCAGGTGGAGTCTGGTAGCATCATTTCTGACCACCAAACTGTATCCATATATCTGGTGAAGTCAGCTGCAGCTCGTGAAAGCTTGCCTCTTAATAAAATATGATAATGCAAAGGATGCTAGCAGAACCTCCTTGATTCCGGGGAAAGTGCTCTGGGGCACAGAAATGCAACAGTTTGTTCATTTCTCATCTATTCAAAGATGTCCATGCTATTAAAAACCAGCTTGTGCAGCAGCCTCAACAATTGAGAAGAAAGGACATGGAAGCCCTTTCCTTGTGACAGCAAACTTGCTAAGAGGATAATTGCTTCTCTTTCTTATCCTGTTTCCCTTTCTCACCCCCCCCCCTTCTGTGTCTCCAAGAGGCACAAAAAGAGGGACAAGTTGGGGCTGCTTGTGCAAGTGGCACGAGGGGATGAGAATGCTTCTGAAGCATCATCGAAATCTGAGTAGTATTTGCTAGGGATCAGATGCCAGTTTCCAAAATGATCTAAGTCCAATCCTAGGCACATTCATGAAACATCTCACATCCCAAGGAGCAGAAGGGGCCAGACATGTGGCACAGAGGGGGTCATGTGTCGTTTCCAAAGTACATAATGAATCATTTCAATTTATTTTGCATTGACCAGTTCCAGACATTGTACTTTTGAGCAGCTTTGGAGAAGGGCAGCAAAATGCTCTGGACATAGTATACTTGGATTTCAGTAAGGCATTTGACCACAACCCACTTCTTGTTAAAGTAGAAAAATGTGGGATAGACAGCATGAACACTAGAAGGATTTGTAACTGGCTGACAAATCATACTCAATGTGTGGTTCTTAATGGTAATACATTACTTGGAGGGAAGTAAACAGTGAGGTACCCCACCCCAGGGTTCTGTTTTAGGCCCAGTACACCTCAATATCTTCATCAATGACTTAGATGAGGGAATAGAAGGGGGACTATCAAATTTGCAGACGACATAAACTGGCAGAAATAGCCAACACCCCAGGTGATAGACTTGAACACTAGGCCCTATCCAACAAAATGAAATTTAATGTAGAGAAAAGTAAGGTTTTACACTTTGCCAGGAAAAACTAAATGTATGAATGCAAATTAGGTGAAACCTGGCTATACCATTTCATATGTGGCTGTCCAGTTTTTTCTTAAAAGCCTCCAATGATGGAGCACCCACAACTTTTGGAGGCAAACTGTTCCACTGATTAATTGTCCTCACTGTTGGAAAGTTTTTTTTTTTTTAATTCTGGGTTGCTTCTCTCCTTGATTAGTTTCCATCCACTGCATGAATGGAAGAAGAGGAGGAGAGGGAGACAGAGTCCTGGCATGCAGCTGGTTTCCTTCTATTTCCTTCTCTTCCTCTGTATGGATTCCAAAGTCAACAATAGAGAAAGGAAAGAAAATGTTTCTGGCATGTCCTGTGAGCAATATGGGCCCAGCAAACTTCCATGAAGTAGGAATAACTATGAAACCAGGTCACAATCTGGTTTTCTCCTTGAGGCTTTGCAGAGTCATCACTTGGAAATTTGGGACACCCATTTACACCAACTTACATGCATTTCTCTGTATCAGAGTAGGCTATTTCCTTTTTCAGAAATTACTGCTCATGCCCCTTCTGGAGGACAATCTGTGAATCTCTGAGAAAGAGAAAAAGATGGACCTCTTCCTGCTCAGAAAGTCACTGGCCAGTGTTTGGCTCAGAAAAAAAGGGTAGTCCTCCTCCACCAGGGTGAGATTTAGGGATACAGAATGTGCAGTGATATTGCCTAAAATATGAAAAAACATGGGAGGAGGGAGATGATGACGTCTTTGTATGAGGCAGCAACATTCTTGCAAAAAGACAAAGTAATCCTGGGGGGGTGAGATTGACCCTCCCTCCCAGGGACTCAGCCGTGTTTCCTGTCCTGCAACAGAAGACAAGAGAAAATTGAGGGGTGTCTGTAGTTGTCCCTCACCCCATCAGAGCAGAGAGTGGTTGGTCTGAGGCAGAGCCACTGGGCATGGCCATACATCCGAGGTTCCAAATATTACTCCTTCCGTCATGGAACCTGATCTCACCAGAAATGGAAACTGTGCTGATAATTCCTTTGGTCACCAAAGAGACCTGGCTCTTTGGGCTGAGCCTCCCCTCAGATATCAGCAGAGCTTCTGCCTAGGTGGAAAGAACCAGGAAGTCATTCCTGCAAAACATAGGGGGCAGAACAAGAAGTAACTGGTGGAGGATAATTACAGTTCCAACCTAGAACTAAGGAGAAATTTTCTGACAGTGAGAACAATTAATTCCTGGAATGGCTTCTCTCCTGCAGCTGTGGGTGCTCCATCACTGGAGATTTTAAAGAAGAAATTGGATAGCCATTTGTCTGGAATGATATAGGCCAGGGTCTCCTGCCATGGGCAGGGGGTTGGACTAGAAGGTCCCTTCCAATCCTATTATTCTAAGAGAAAAGGAAAAAAACTCACAGAGCAGGATGAGGGCAACCAGCAGCACAATGAGGATGATAAGACAGGTGATGAGGGCCACCCTCTTCGGGCCCATTTCCCAAAATACCTTGGCAGCAGGGCTGGAGGAAGCTGTGGATGGGAAAGTTGTGGGACAAGCTGAAGTCTTTACACAGGAGAAGACTGAGGAGAGGGATGCTGAGCAGCAAGAGGTTTCTCTTCTGGGAATCTCCAGCAGGCTGGAGCTGAGGGAACTGGGAAGCAGGGAAGAGTTAGGCTAAATTGCAGGCTGAATTCAGCCTTCCTCCATCCTTTCCCTCTATAACCAGAGGGCTGGACTGCTGAAGCTGCCATCTTGCACAACAGAGCAGAGTGACAAGAGGCTTTGGAGCTACAAGGAAGAGCCGGCTGGTTGCTTCCCAGATGGCTGCTTCTGTTTCTTTCAGCCCACCCCCCAATGCTACCTTTCCCAGTCTCCTACTTAGGGCTCCTCTCTATTGCAAGACTAGACCTCCCCAGTGTAACTGCTCCATCATTATATGTATTCTCCCACCCTCATCAGGAGGTTCCAGCAGGGTCTTACCACTTGGACTTGCACCAGCTATGCAGGGTGGGGAGCTTGGTCTGGCTTCTGTAGCATAAGGTCTGAGAGTGGCAACTTGAATGGTCTTACCTGATGGGGCTTCTTGAGAGACACCAGGTGGGAAGGCATAGAAAACAGAGCTCAGCACCTCCTGAGAAGGCAATGGACCTTCCTATGGACAAAGAAGACCAAAGGATCAAGGATCAAACAGGAGTGGTGGTCCTAAACCCCCTCTTTTCTCTCCAGCAAGCTTGCTGTTCACAGCCAAGGACTCTTTCTACCAGAGGCACCACAGGCCAAGAGAATACCCAGGGACTCCTCCGGAGCTGCTTCTGAGCAGGCCTCTTTGCCAAGGAACTGGGTGTGCTCCTGTTGCAGCTGCCTATCTAAACTAGGACACCGGTGCTATGCTCCATTTTCAAGGCAAGGCAAGGCAAGGCAGGGCAAGGGCAAGGGCAAGGGCAAGGGCTGCATTGCTCTTCCTTCTGGCTGTTTCTGCTCTGAAAGGGCCCAGCCCTGACCCTCTTAGGAGGAGCAACCTGAGGTGTGTGTGTTGTGCTTGTTGGAGCTGCACCAGCAGGGGACTCTTCCTCCGTGAATCTCCTGACCAGCCAGTCCAGGCCCCTGACTGGAAGTCTGCCTGGACCCCAGCCACCCAAAAGGACTCAGGATTGGGCAATGTGGCTCTTAGTCCCCTCTGAGTCATCCTGCCCTGGTTGCTTGCAAAGTAGCAACTTCCTCCTGGGCCACCCGGAATCCTGCTGGACCCTGATGTCACCCCGAGGATCAGATTCTCAGTTTGTGATTCACTTGCAACCTTATCATTAGTAGTAAATTCATTAGCTGCCCATCTTGTGGTTTCAGGAAATTCTAAGCAGCTTATAATATGATAAAATATACAAATATCAAACATATTACATATTAAAATTACAATTAAAATATTAAACATATTAAAATTACAAAAAATTAAAACAATCTAAAAACCATGGATTGGAGTAAAGAGGTGGGGTGAGGTGCCTTCTCTGTTAGCCCACGAACCACCTCCAGCCAACAGCTCCTCCTTCAGGACTCAATGTCAATTGGCATAGCCAAGTTGTGAGGACTTTTCTGAAGGCTAAAAGAAAGGACCTTACTTCTTCTGGCAAGATGTTCTAAAGGGCAGGAGCCATGCTGCTGAGATCTGTAGTAGGCCTCTCCTGCCAGCATAGTGGGGTGGGCCAATCCTTTTGGAGAAAGACGGTTCCACAGATATCCTAGACCCATTCCCTAAATGGCTTTAAGAGAATAACCAACACCCTGCATTGCACCCAGAAGCAGATCGGCAGCCAGTGCAGTTCACATTATGGGTAGGCCCATGAAGACAGCATTGCAATAATCCAAATAGGAGATGCCCAGGGCATGAGTGGCTGTGCCACAGGGCCTCACGATCCAGAAAAGGATGCAATTGGCACACCATGCAAAATTGTGTGAACGCTCTCTTGGCCATGACTTCCACATGCTCTTTGAGCAGAGAACCCTCAGGATGCACACCAGGTCTGCACCCCATTCAGAACCAAAGATGATAAGTCTCTGGATCCCAAGGCTCTGCATGCACACAGCTGCTCCCTCTTACCGGGGTTCCCTTGAAGCCTGTTGTCCCCCATCCAGGCCCCCATGGCTTCCAGGCACTGCAAAAGGGCAGCCAGGGTATCACTTGGGTCACCAGGGATGAAATCTCTCATCCCATTCTTGTTGGATGAGCTCACCCAGTGGTTCCATGCAGATATGGGGTATTTAATCTACAGGCTGCAGGCTGCATGCAGCCCTGGACAGCTAGTAATGGGGCCCAACAAGTTTGTGAGCTTTTAACACTATTATGTGATTTATTTGCATTATATACATTAAGTATATTATATATTTTATATGCTGCCCAAGACAATTCTTCTTTAATGCAACCCAGGGAAGCCAAAAGGTTAGACACATGTGATGTATGTGTTAAAGTTGGGCAGAAAGAGTACTGAGCCCAGTGGTACCCCACAAAGGAGAGGCTCTGGCCCCCTATTAATGCTGATTGGAACCAGATACAGAAAAAAGCATTGAACCACTGCAACACTACCCTGCCCAGTCCCAAATCCCAGAGCCAATCCAAAAGGATACCATGGTTAATGGCACTGAAAGGTGCCGAGAGGTCAAGGAGAGTGAGGATAGATGCCCTACCACCATCTTACTCTCACCAGAGATCAACAAGTGTGACCAATTCTGTTTCTGTTGCATGATCGGGCCTCATACCTAACTGAAAGGGGTCTAGATAACTTATCCTTCTCTCCCCCACTTCCCTTCTGCTATGGTTCTTTTGTGGCTGGGAGATTGACCGGGACTCAAGGAGGACACTGGACTATCCTGGAGATGCTGCCTTTTACCCCACAGCAGGGGCAAAAAGGAGTCTAGAGCCCTCCAGTTAGATATGCCAGTGTTGGCAGATGCTCCTTCAGGCCGGACAATGCAGACCTTGGCCATGCCCATTTCTTTTGATCAGAAGCTCAGGGGGAGGGGAGTTGAGAAACCTTGGCCCAGAGCCCTCTGGCAAATGCACCCACCTCCATCAAACATCTTCCTTCCAAGGCTTGCCAGACATATCACTTGCCAGAGATGCGGTCTGACCACAAAAGCCTCCCTGAAGCCATGGACAAAGACCGGCTGCTCAGCTAAACATCCCTGCGCTCTGCTTCCTGGCCCATACTGCTCTTTCCCAAAGGGCAGAACCCACTGAATCTAGAGGGGGGGGCTGGCATTCAGTCCCACCCAGCCTCCTTCAGTCTTTCCACGATGGATTTATTTATTATGCATCCGGAAATTATTTCCCAGGTTATTTTTAATCATAAATTAAGTCAACTCATATAATTCACAAGGATTAAATCAGATCGTTATGCCAACCAAAAAGCAACTGAAGCATAATGCACATTAAGTTCATCAGGCAATGGAACAAGTTCCTTGGGCCAAAGTTCCAGCATTTTGGCCCCTGTGCCACAGCCTATTCCCATCAGTTCACTTTGCGTCCTGGACTGGCAGCACCAATTCTCGGAAAGTGTGCCAGAACAGAGATGGGAAAGACCAGCACCGTCCAACCGTCTGGAGAAGATGGGAGGCAAAGAGCCAGAGGAAAGGAGCCCCACCACCATGACCCAGCCCTGCCCCCTCTCTGCTGATTGAGATTGGAAGGGGGCAAAGAACGCTGCTGTTCCTTGGCTGCTGCAGATCAAAGCTTTTGCTTTTACTCCAAAAGGGCTGGGCTTCTTGAAAGGGTGAGAGGTTGGCACCAAGCCTTGCCTACCAATCAATCAATCAGAATAGAGTTGGAAGTGACCTTGGAGGTCTTCTTGTCCAATCCCTGCTCAAGTATTTCAAACAAGTGACTGTCCAGTCTCTTCTTAAAATCCTCCAGTGATGAAGCACCCACAACTTCTAAAGGCAACCCGTTCCACTGGTTAATTGTCCTCACTGTTAGGAAGTTTCTCCTTAATTCCAGGTTGCTTCTCTCTTTGATTAGTTTCCATCCATTGTTTGTCCTGACCTTTGGTGCTTTGGAAAATAAGTTGACCCCCTCTTCTTTGTGGTAACCTCTCAAATACTGGAATACTGCTATCATGCCCCTGCTAGTTCTTCTTGTCTCTAGACTAGCCAAACCCAATTCCTGCAACCGGTCATCATATGTTTTAGTCTCCAGGCCTTTAATCGTCTTAGTTGCTCTTCTCTGCACTTTTTCCAAAGTTTCAACCTCTTTTTTTTGTGATGTGGTGACCAAAACTGGATGCAGTATTCCAAGTGTGGCCTTATTAAGGCTTTATAAAGTGGCACAATACTTCATGTGATTTTGATTCTACGCTTCTGTTTATACAACTAAGGATTGTATTTGCTTTTTTGGCTCCTGCTCACACAGCTGGCTCATGTTTAAATGATCGTCCACTAGGACTTCAAGGTCTCTCTACTTATACCTTTGGTTTTTCCTGCCTAAATGTAAAACCTTGCTTTTCTCCATATTACATTTCATTTTGTTGGTTAGGGCCCATTGTTCAAGTCTGTCTTTTTGGATCCTAAGCTTGTCTTCTGGGGTGTTGGCTATTCCTACCAGCTTATTCCTGCCATCTTAGATACAGGAAATGAGAGGGGACTGTAATGGGGGTGGGGGTGGGGTGGGTGGGGTGGCAAATGCTCTTAAGATGATTATCACAAGGGAAGAATCACAGAATCACAGAATAGAAAGACTGCCCACAATCTGTTCTAGCCCTCACCCCCCCACCCCAAATTCTGGTGAGAGCACTGGGCAAGGGAAGAGGGCCGGGGGGGGGGGTTTACAGCATTTGCCCAAGGAGAGCTGCTTTGGTCTTGCCCAGGGTGCCCCACCCCCGGAACAGCCTCAGAGAATAGAAAGCCATCCAGTCCTAGGACTGTTGGAGACCCAGGCCACTCCTCCTTCCTCTCTGGTGTTCATTTCTACCAATTCAGGAATATGTATTGTCTAGTGACCACATCCCATCACTCCAGTGATCAGCAAGTCCTTCCTTCCCTCCCTCCCTCCCTCCCTGAGCTGACTTACCAGGTGGGGGGGCTGTTCCATGGCCTCTTCCCACCACCAGGAGCCCTGGTGGGTCACTGCAACCTTTCAAGGCCCATGGCCCTCTGCCTTCCTTCAAGCATACATAGGAGCTTCAGAGGTTTGCCAGCAGCCAACAATGTAGCTCTGGGACAACTGTGCTGAGTGGGAAGCTCACCTGTCTTACTTGCCTGGCTCCCTCCCTGCTAGCTGTGTGTGGCAACCTCCAGAGCTAGGCAGGGAAGAAACTGGCTTGACCTGAAAGATTACTCTGCGTAGCCCAGCCTTCCTGCCAGGTTTATGAGAGCAGCTGGCTTCAGGTCTCCCAATGGAGACCCTCCCTTGATAAGAGAAATTGGTTTTTCTTCCTGGCTAGTCAATGGACCCTCACATGGGACTTTTGCTGAACGCTCTTTCATTCTGAAGCTCCCTGGCCATGGTCCTGAGCTGGTCTCCCCAGGCAAGGAGGCAGTATCAGGGCAGCCCCACCCAAGGCAGGGCATCCAAAGGGAGTACCTGACTCAGGAGAACAGGAAGAGTGAGAAAGAAAAAACAGTCCATTCTACTTCCCACCAGATTGCATGCCACTGGAAGAGGTAGGCGGGAGAGCATTTCTGGAATCCTAGAGTGGTGAAGAGGCATTGGAGACCATCTCCAAAGCCATTCAATCGCCACCTACCCTTTTTTTACACATTTCTAGCAAAAGAGAAACTTCCTGAAGAACCCTCTCCCAGGTTGCTCTTGCTGTTGAGATTTTTTTTTTTTTTTTTTTTGCTGCTGCTGTTTCTTGCCAATTAAACTCATCATTTCTTTCCTTGGTTTTTTGAATAAATCTGCCCAATCTTCCACATAACAATCTTTCAGATCCTTAGAGGCAACTACAATGTATTCCATAATCTTTTCTTCTACAGGCTAAAGATTCCCAATTTCTACAGCTCTTCTGCAAAATCAAAGGCCTGTGGTTGGAGAAACTATGGTTGGTAGCAGTTCTTGGGAAGACGTTCTGGTTGGGTCAAATTGTGAACATCCACTAAGAGGGACGCAGTTGTCAAGGAGACACATGCAATCCTAGGCTACATCAACATAAGTTTATCATCAAAAGTAAAAGCAAATATTCCTCTTTTCTGCTGTCAGACTTCAGCTAGAATATAACAGCCAATTCTGGATGCCAGATTTTAGGAAAGACAACTGGAATATGTCCAGAGGACAGCAACTGGGGTGGTTAGAGACCTAGAAGGAAAAAATAATTCTTTCATTTTTCATAACTTCCTCACCCTTCATCAAAATGCCCAAACAGCTTATGAAAAAATGAAGCAAATTTAAATAAGCACATTGCAAACAGTATAGTCTCCAAGGACAAAACATCCCACCACAATGAAAGAAACCAGGCCAAATGGAAGGGTCTTGGTTTGCCTGGAAGCCAAATGGCCTTCAGAGGGGCCCTGAAGGGGACCCTTCTGCAGCTGGAGTGCTTTTGCCCATGGGCCATTCATGCCTCTTGTCAGAAAGCTGGGGGGGGGGGGAGAAGGCCGTCATCAGAAGCAGCAGTTTCCCTATAGCAATGACAGCGGGAGGGAAGGGAGGTAACTCAGAGCAAAAGCCCAAAGAAGTGAATCCAGGGGATTACAGAACTTATCCCTATGACTCAAAGAATGGACTTCACTCTCTGAATGAGCCCAGGATCATCGTACTGAGTGGAGTCAGTCTGAGTGGGCAAGTTTACTGATGGAAAACACTCATTTCTTCTCCCCCACATCAGCAAATTGCCAAGGACCAGAAAGACCCACCCCTGCTGTTGGCTCAGAAGCTGTGAGGAGTGGGAATCCATAAAAATATGGAGATCCAGCCCCTTGGATTGCCTGTGAAAGTTGGAACCATAGTTCTAATGTCTAAAATCAGGAGGAGTCGGGCAGCAACAGACACCAATGATATTTGGCTACCAAAAGTAACCAGCTCTCCCCCGACTGGCTCCAGTTAGTATAAACAGGTGCTTCTCATTCCAAAGCTTGACACCAGCCTCACATGCACAGATCTGCATTGAACAGCCTGAAGAATGGAGCCATCTCCCACTCCTACTCCTCGCCAACTGAAAAAGCAGACGTGCTCCTGAGGCCCTTAAGGAACTGAAAATAAAACTGCTACTGGCAGAGGTGGTGGAGACAAATCTGTGTACAGATATGGTGACTATTTCTCAGGGGGGAACTGCTCAACTGGAACATGAGTGAAATTGGGAAGTGGGTTGAACAAATTCCTCAGCGCAGAACGATTACAACATTTGGGGATTTCCTGTTTCTGTTTCTTTCTTAAAAGGGAAACATGATATATATTTATAAAATCATTCTCACTCCCAAGAAAATTGTGAGAGATTTTAACCTTATGATTTTAATTTCTTATAATACCAGAATTTAGTGAAGTTGAATGGTGAGAAATTCAGGAAAGATTAAGGAAGTTCTTTTTTGCATCCAGCACAATTAAACTAAGGAATGTATACTTCCTAATGGGCAAGAACAAGAGTAGTGAGGGAGGGGAATAAGCCAATGCACCAAAGGGAGGGCTTCAGTGACCACTATTTCTTTCATCAGATTAATTGGAAGAAACTAAACATACTCTGATGGGAGCCCACCAGAGGATCCCTGGACCAAAGATCAGGCTGGGAAGTGACAAAACATCCCAAAAGGAGGCAGTGGCAAATTTCTTCTGCACAATTGTCAAGTTGTTGGGCTAACCAGAGATTAGTCTGACATAAGGTAGCCAGTTGGGAAGGCTGAGGGCTCAGAGAAAAGGCTGGAAAGAAGCTGGACATGAGTCCCTCCCTGTGGCTTCAGATGCCTTCCTCCTCCTCCTCCTCCTCCTCCTCCTCCTCCTCCTCCTCCTCCCCCCCACCTATCTTCAACTGCCCTGCACACATGGAGGCTTCTGGGCCAGGGAGAAGCCTGGAAGGTGGCCAGACCGAGCCAGACTCCTGCCAGGGACACAGCCTTTTCTCGTAGGGGGCAAAGGAAGAAGTCCGAGCCTACTCCACTGAAGCTCGCCTAGCAGTATGGACAGGTGCTGCTGCACACAGAGCCACATTGTGTGTGTGTGTGTGTGTGTGTGTGTGTGTGTGTGTGTGTTGTAGGGTTAGGGTTAGGGTTAGGGTTGGGTTTTTTTAAAAATAACATTCTTAATATTTAGCAGACAGCATATTGTCTGAGTTCATGTATTTAAAAAACAATAAGTAAGAGTTAATTTCTATATTATAATCAATATGTTAATCGCTCAATAGTCTTCTTACTAGCATATATTCAATATTACATAGTACATATCATGTTCCTTTCTAACTCACTTTTCTAGCCATTGGTTAAAATTGTCCCATGTTCTAAAGTACACTGAGTCTTCTTTCTCTTTATCTTTAATGTCAATCTGTCCATTTTTGCACAATCTAAAATTTTCTTAATTAGTTCTTTCAATTTTTCCAATATTGGGTAAATACAATTCTTGCTGCAGTTAATACATGTAAAATTATATATGTACAATCTTTCTCGTAGTTTCCTCCTATTATGCCTAACAGAAACAGTTCTGGCTTGAAATTATATGTTTTTTAGTCATTTTTTCCAACCATATGTGTATTTTTGACCAAAATCTTTTAGATCTAGGGCATGTCCACCCAATATGATACCTGGTTTTTGTTTACAAGAGCCACACTTTAGATGGCCACCGAGCACCAGTTGGCCACTGGTGAGCCCAGGAAGAGCCAGAGGCTCTGAGGGAGGGGCGATTTGGGGGGGGGGCGAAGGAGGCAAGTACCAGATTCATGACAGTCTTGCTCCCCCTTGGTGAAAGGAGCTTGGCTTCAGCTTCGAGGTGGACCTTGCCCAGGCGGCGCCAGGTTATCCAAAGGAGAGGCTGCTTTCAAGCCCGCCTCTGCGCACCGGGAAAGCCGGCCAGTCAGAGGCGTCTGACCCTACCTGGGGAGGTGAAAACGAAACGAGCTGCATCTAAAGCCTTCCCAATGTCACTCCCCCCACCCAATGGGTGAGTTTTACAAAATGAGAAGGACGGAGTGTGAGTTGTGGAACTCGTAAATTCTGCACGGGACGGACACGCGGGGGCTCATCTTTGGTGAGGACAACCCAAGGCCGAGCCGTTGAAAGTCAAGACAGGCGCCGGGAAAGCCTCTAATGCTCCTCCTTCCTCCTCTTTTCCCCGCAACAGCAACCATGTCAGGTGGATTGGGCTGAGAGAGAGGGACTGGCCCGAGGTCACCCAGCCGGCTTTCGTGGCTAAAGCGAGACTAGAACTTACGGGCACCCGGTTTCTAGCCTGGTGCCTTAACCACTAGACCAAACTGATTCTCCAGCTCCTTCCAGACAGCGGGCCGTCTAGAGTTGAGGAAGGGTCCCAGTTCAGAAGCAGTCAGGCGGGGAGTCGCGGCAGGGTGGGCAAGCCGCCAGCTACGGGCTGGACAGGCCGGCGAAGGGCTTCCGGTAGCCCTCTCGACCCCTTCTCCTTCCCCCCCCCCGCAGGGCTCATCATTGCGCTCCTTCTCTGGGCGGAAAGGGCGGGTGCTTGGAGAAAGCGGCAGAGAGGAGGCGCGGGCGGGGCTTTCCCCAAGAGGGGGCCAGCGGGGAATGCCCAGAGGAAGTGAAAGCAGAGCCAGCTGCTCCGGCGCCCGCCGGCAAACGCTCGACTTTCAGTCGCCCTCCGGCAAACGCTTCGGATGGCCGAGATGTTGGTGTCCGCGCTGGTGCTGCTGCCGCTCCTGCTGCCCTGCCTTCCGGGCCACGGTGAGCGAAGAGCCATCGCGGCCACTGCCGAGCGGCCGACCCGCAGGAGGCGAGCGGGAGAGGGAGGGACGGGCGCAGGACCTGCTAACCGCCCGGGGCTGCCTGTGACCTCAGGAGGAGAGAGGATCCTCGCCGCGCCCTCGGACCTACACTTCCAGGCCCGCGTCTTCCATCACCTGCTTCGCTGGAAGCCGGGCCCTAAGCCAGGCGGCGGGATCCTGTACGATGTGCAGTATCGGCGGTAAGGGCCGGGCCGGGCCGGGCCGGGCCGGGCCGGGCCGGGCCGGGCCGGGCAGGGCAGGAGAGAGAGGCCGGCCGGGTCGGGTCCTTGCCCGTCTCCCGTGTCAGAACAGCCTTCAGCTTCACTTCCCGCATCCGCAGGGTCGGCGACGACAGCTGGAGGGCCGCCGCCAATTGTACCCGGATCGCACTCGACTTCTGTGATCTCACCTGCGAAACGCAGCAACCCGCGGTTCACTACTTGGCCCGGGTGCGCGCCGTAGCCGGGAACCGCTCCTCCCCCTGGATACGGACGCGCCGATTTACGCCTAGCGAAGGTAGCGCAAGAGGCCCAAGGTCCTCGCCTTCGGGGAGAAGAAACGACCCGAGAGCCGCTAGCTTTTCCTGCAAGGGCGAGGCAGCCATGCCGGGTGGCGGTGGCTGTCCCAGGAGGCGAACCTGGGAGGGGGAGCTGTTCAGGGCGACCCCTGGGGTGGCAAGCCGCGCAGCTTCCTCCAGGTTTACTGCTCACCTCCTTCCCCCCTCCCAGCAACTCTGTGGCTCTCCAAGGTGACCCTCTCCAGGAGCGGCAACCAGCTCCGTGCCTCCGTGAAGCTTCCCACCAGCTGCTGGGCCAACCTCACTTATGAAAGCAGCTATGAGGCATGGGGGGAATATCTTGTCCGAGTCAGAAAAGTGTCCAACAATCAAGAGGTGAGCCTCTGTCCTTTGCCAGCACCCAGGTGGAGCTGACTGGGGAAGTTGAAATGGCAGCTGCTGAAGCACCAGCAGGAGTCTCTCAGGAGCCTAAGGGTGCCATGGCTGGGACAAGTGGCCTGACCTGAGCCTGGCAGGGAGGCAGACTGATTTGGTCTGACGAGGGACTGCCCATTCTCCTCCACAGCTGGTGCATGTCCACAACAGCCTGGAATTTGACCTCCCCCCATTGCTATGGGGGGAGCAGTACTGCATCAGTGTAAAGCCTCGTGTGGCCTCCAGGCCAAATGCTGCCGACTGGACAGAGGAGCAGTGTGTCTCAATACCCCCCCTAGAAGGTGAGCACCAGCCTTCTCTCTGTACCTTTGGCTCACCCCTTTCATCCCGAGGAAGCCAGAGCCTGTGGCAAAGCCAGCCCAGCCAAGCTTCCACAGAGAGCTCAGCTGAGGACAAGATGGTGTCTGAACTGGGGTTAGGGTGAGGCACTGGAGGAGATCACAAAGGAGGAGCAGGTACTACCAGAACCTGATTCTCTCCCTTTCTCCCCCCTCGTCTCTCTCTGTCTGTCTCTCTCTTATACACACACGCACACACGCGCACACACACACACACACACACAGAGAGAGAGAGAGAGAGAGAGAGAGAGAGAGAGAGAGAGAGAGAGAGAGAGAGAGAAGCTTATCTGATAGGCAACCCTCTGTTGGTCCATCTTTAAAAGTCTGGAGGCCTCTGAGCAGCTTTGAGATACAATTTGGTTTTGGTATTTCTAGACTAGAAATTGGTTGAGTGGGGAGGGGCTCTATTGATCTCAGCCCAAGACTAACGGGGAGTGGCCTTTATCTAGCTCCCCAGCATTAGGATCTTCCTAGTTCTTTTACTGTCCTAAATATGATAACCATTCTTGGTGGCTGTGTCTTTTTGGATCAAGCTGTTGGTTGTTTCCTACACAACTGCTGGTACATGTGGTGGCTAGAGAGAGAGGGCACAATTTGCCCAGCACTGCCTATCTTGGATGAATGGCTACCCTTATAAATCACATGTGGGGACATTCCTTTGCAGAGCACATTGTCCTTACCCCGAGTTTGGCCCTCCTGGGTCTTCTAAGTCTTGGAATTCTGGGTGCAGGGCTGGGCTTGGCCTCTGCCTACAAGAAGAAGCCCACAAGGATGCCTTCAGTCCTGGTAAGACTCCTCACCCGCCCCCAAAATAACCACTGCTTCCCAAAACCAGCGGGCCCTCAGAGAAGCAAATAGGAAAGTTCTTTGATGTCCAAATCCCAGCCCCTCAAAAACTCTCAAACAAGGAATTGTATCTGCTCTTCAAAGGGCGAGAGGCCCGCTCCCCCCCCCCCGTTTCCAGGGTATTTTGCCATCCCCAACAATGACTTAGTCAAACTGTCAACTTCCTTTAAACTTCCCCTTACAAGCCAATGTTTGTCAAAAAAAAAGAAAACCCTACCATCACAGCCCTCATAAAATTAGTTATTATATTTCCATTGTCCAGATTAAGACTGCAGCTGTTCACAAGATTTGCTAAACCATAATGGGGTGCTTGGGCTCAGTCAGCTGTGACTGAGCTGTAGTTAGACAAATCACAGCTTAGCATGCTACCTGAAGCTAAGAGAGGATGATCAATCCACCGCTATAGAGGAGGGATCTGAATCTCCATAGCCCAGGCCAGATAGCTCCAAGGTCTCTCCAAGGTCCCTTCCAGCTCTATTCTGATTGATTGATTCAGCCATTGTCCACTGCTGACTCTTCTTTCCCCTGGAAGGGATTGTTGTCTGCCTGAAAAAAGCAGGGGGGAAGAATCTTCTTTCTGGGAAGAATCTCATGAATTGGCTGAGATTCCTGGAAAAGCTGGAATGACCACTAGCTGGGCTGCCAGAGGGCTCTGCAGGCTGACTCTCCCCCCTCTTTTCTTTTGGATACCAGAAATCTCCCCTTGGGCACAGCTTCTGCTGGGGGCTGATGGAGGAAAGTGAAAGCCGCATACTACACCTGGAGACTGAGTCCATCCAGCAGCTGTTCTCCCTGGGTCCACAAGATCATGCACACTTGGAGAGGAGAGGGAGCCATCGCACTGGAGTGGCGCTTCCAGAGAGGAACTGCCAACGGGAAGAGGGCAGAGGGCCAAAGGAAGGAAGTGGCTGCAGTGCAGACAGTGGCATCTGCTTGCGGGAAACCTCTGGCAGTGTGGGCAATCTGCACTTCACTCTGGACATTGGTCAAAAGACGGGCATGCAGAAAGAGGCAGGCAGTTTGGGGGTAAAAAAGCAACTGGGTGAGGGGTTAGCATCCAAGGATGTGACTCAGGTCCATTTTTCTGGGTACAGGCAACAGTCAGGAGCTCCTTTGGATCCTGAGGATTGCCTGAGGCCTCCCTCCAGCATGAATGGGGAGACACTTTCTCATCCTAGTCTTCCTGCTGGCTATTTGAAGCAGACCTTCCTCGGAGACCCCCCTGGCTTGCAGGGGATTGTTTTCCCAAAGGACTTTCTTCATCGTGTGGATCAGGAGAAAGAGCAATTCACAAGCAGCATGTCCTTGGATGTTGTGGGACCATAGGAATTGCCCTGCAAGTCAGCTCAGGGACTGGGCTTCTCTGGACAAGAGACATACCTGCTGTTCCCCTCCAGTGACAGCTGATCTGGAATCCCATCCCCAGAGCTTTCTTTCTCGGTGCTGGATATAAGAGGTCCGCTTCCTCCCCAGGATCCACAATGGGAGAACCCTGCAGAGAACTGAGAATCTGTCTTGAGAACTGAGTGTACAGAAGGGGAGAGGGATCCAGGAGGCAAAGCTCCTGATAGCCTCATTACATTTTCTCTTCTTTTCATTGGACATAGCTCAAACATTGAAAATGGCACTCTCCTATCTATGAGGTTGGAGGAGAAACTGTGCATTCCAAATGCAGGAACAGAAACAAATACAGTCCTCACTTAATGAGCACAATTGGGACCAGCAACTCCGTCACTAAGTGACGTAGTAGTTAAACAGGCCATCATGTGACCACAGCCTGTATTTTTACTGCCAACTTCTCCGTTGGCTCTGCTTGTATAAAGCTGCTGGGAAGCTCATAAATGGTGGGCTCATGACCATGGGACACTATGATAATTGTAACTGCCCGCTAGATGCAAAGTGTCCAAATCTCAAGGACGTGTGTTTGGACACTGCAACAGACATAAATGTGAGGACTGGTCATAAAGTTACTTTTTTAGCACCATCATCTTTTTGAATAGTTGGTAAACAGGGCAATCATTAAGCAAGGAACACCTGTAGTATAGCTCACTCTCCCTTGTTTTCTGAAAAGGAAAGGAAGACAAAAAGGGCCTTACACACAAGAAAGAGCCCAAGAAAATGTGAACAAGTCTGTAGAGAGCTGTGCTACGAAAGGGGAGAGTGGAGGTTTCTAGTAGAAAAAAGACCTGCATTGTATCCTCTGCAACAGTTGGTAAATGGGTGCCTGGGTGCAATCCAAAGGGCCCAGAGCTGCAACTGGAATGAGGCTCCATCCATTTCTCTCTAAGAAATCACTTCCTCCTGCCCTGTTTTGCTTTTTCAAAAATCTGCAGGATTTTCCTGATGGAGAAGCTGTGCAGTGATCACTCTACTGGCCTGCAAAGATCCAGATCCAGACCTTCCTAAACAGGAGGGAACTGGTATTAGAGGTCTGTCTGGAGTCCTCACCTAGGAAGGAACTGAAGCAGTGATAAAGACTCAAGCCTTAGCCATCTGGATTTCATGAAGGACTCTGGGTTGAGGATGTGGGGGGTAGAGAATCTGCTCTTGGTTTAGAATGGAGCTTTCTTGGCTGGGCTCTGTGCAACAAAGGGAGGGGATGCTCACCAAGCGGCTACTCAACACCACATAAAGTCTTGCCCCACCAAGAGCTGTCCTCCCAGGCCAAGCTTCCTAAAGAGGGCATCCCAGACTATCTTTTTATTTATTTATTTATTTGTTTGTTTATTTAAAGAATTTATATGGCCACCCATCTCTGACAGTGTGACTCTGGAGACCTTACAACAAATGACTTACTATCAAACCAACTTTATTTATTTAATTTATTTTAAACTCAGCTAAAGTATCTTCACCAATGTCTTTTGCCTTATTTAATAAATATTGTTTAGTTATGTGATACTTCAGGATTAAATTTGGAATACAGCACAATAAAGAATGCATTCCCACGATGGTAAATTAAGACTTTGGGGAACAGGGCCTCCCTTCCCCTGGTGGACTAGATGTTTATCAGGAAAGCGGCCCCTTCCAACATTCCTCTAAAGGGCTTCAACCTCCTTGCCCATGGCTGGGGAGGGGGGCTTATGCCAGGAGGGCTGGCAAGTTCCTGTTGTCCTAAGCAGGGATCCCTCTGGCAGCATTTAAAAACAAGGATTTGTCTCAGAAATGGGAAGAGGAGGGGAACTACTCACACTATAAGAGGGGGGCATTGACTGAGCCACAAACCCATCCAGAACGCTTCTCTGTTAAAACAGCAGCTCTGCAAGCAACTGTTGTCCTTCTACTTTACACACACACACAATACCTACTCTCTGTCTGCAGAGAATCCAAAATTCAAGAAAAGCAACCCAAAATGTGAACTGCCCCACAGTCAACCAAACAGAGTCCAGATGGGCTGGCTTGCTGCAGGATTGTTACTGCAGCTCATTCTGAACTGCAACTGGCCAAGAATATTGGTCTAAAGGGAGGGTTGCTGTAACTTTCTTGAGCACGAGGGAGGCATGTACACAGTCAGGATTGCTGGGACCTGACAATTCAGTATCATGCAAAACAGCTAAGGAGGGATCTGAATAATCCATCTTACCTCCCTAAAGTCCCAATAAGACACATGACTCAACCTGCAGGAACATCACATGCTTCCCGCACCCTCCCTCCTGAAAAGGGATACAAGTGGGGGTGTTATTCCTGCTCTTTGTCACAGCCTTGATCACATCCCCCATGCATTGTTTCCAGGATGGTTTTAAATTCTCAGCAACACTTATCACAGAACCATAAAGCTGGAGGGGACCTTGGAGGTTTTCTAATCCAATCCCTATGCAAGGCAGAAGTCCTCATGCCATCTCGGACATAATGCTTGACCAATCTTTTGTTGAAAACCTCCAGCAATAGAGCGCTCACAACTCCAGGAAGAAAGTTTAACTGTTTAACAATTCTCACTGTCAGGAATGTCATCCTTATTTCCAAGTTGGATCTCCTTCTAAATAGTTTCCACCCATTGCTTCTTGCCTTAACCTCAGGTGCTTTGGAGAACATAAATCTGCTTTGTGGTCACCCTTCAAGTATTCTCTTTGTTAAACTATTTCCCCAAAGGTGCTTTTTTCCAAAGGGTAACTGGACTTTCTTGTTTTTTTCTTTGTTTCACTTCTCATCCAAGAAGCTTCTTCCGTTCTTTTTTTTTTTTTGGAAAAAAACCACCTTCAGGATAACCATGACCCAGATGATTGAGAATCTTCTTAGACATTTGTTAAGCTATTGTAAATATAATTAGTTTCTTTGTCGTTCTTCATAGGGTTTTTCCTTGGGGCTCCTTTTCATCTTTGTTGCTCTTCTCTGCACTCTTCCTAGGCCCTCAGCATCTTTTCTGTATTATGGCAACTAGAACTGGATGGGTGCAGCCTTCCAAATGTGTGAACTCACCAGTGTCTTATAGAGCGGTACTATCGTTTCCCGTGAGCTTGATGCCACCCTTCTGTTAATGCAGCCTGGAACTGCTTTGGCTTTTTTGGCAGCTGCAGCACACGGCTGGCTTATGCTTAAGCAGGGCCCCATCCGGACACCTAGATCCCTCTCAGCTACAGTTGAGACAGGTACTCTCTATCCTGTACCTGTGTATCTGCTTTTTCCTGCCTAAATGCAGAACTTCACTTTTCTCATCACTGTACTGCATCTTGTTGGATTAGGCCCGATGTTCAAATCTGTCAAAATCTTTCTGAATCTTGAGTCTATCTTTCAGAGTCTTAGCAATTTCACCCAGCTTGATGTCATCCACAGTTCGATGAGTGCTCCTTTAATTGCTTAATGTAGGTCATTTCTGAAGATGTTGAAGAGCACTGGGGCCAAGACAGGACCCTGAGGAACCCCACTGTATACTTCCCTCCAGGTAGATGTAGTTCCATTGAGGACCATACACTGAGTGTGGTTGGCCAGCCAACTTCAGGTCAATCTGGGATACTAGGGAGCAATACAGAAGGGGTGGGGGCAGCGGATGTCCACAAAGTTCTGCTCTCAGGAAGAAATTACACAGCTGCTCAAGTCCACCCAAAGCTTGCCCTCCTGCTGCCAAGCACTTCAGATCCTCATGAGAGCTGTGGAACTGGCCCGGGATGATGCTGGAATAGCCTCACGGTCAGATTATGCACATCTCCATCCTACAGTCCCTCTCATGAAATTGCCCATAGCCAGGTCCTGTTCCATGCATGGAGCCACTGATGGTGAAGGGAGGGACAAGCTCCAGTCCCAGTGTCTTCAGGTTGCTAAAGGGGGCAAAGACATTAATCTGGCAGAAGCACATCAGTGGTGGACTTAGTGTTATTCATAAGACTACAAAAGGCACATGCATCCATTCAAGGAGAAAAAAGAGCTGGTTCCAAAGAATAAATTAGGCCAGCCCTGAACATAGGCCTCCTGGAGGGCTGGGCCTCAGCCTCTCTACTTGTTCCCTGGGCTGGCCTATGATGGAGGCTGCTCTCAGTGACTGCAGCTGCCTGTTTCTTGCCCTTCCAAGGGCTATCTCCAGGAGACATGATGGCCCTGATCAGCAACTCCCATAAATTAATAAAACATAGCAGAGCATCAGCAGTGGACTCAAAGCAAAAAAGACAAGATGGGCAGCACATAAATCTAATAAATAAATAAACAGGCAGAACAAAAGTATGCTTCTAAGGCAGAAAACATGTTTTTATAAATTGCAACTCTTATGAACCCCAAATCAATTTCCTGAAATGCACTTACCAGATGTGATAAAACCTGAACACAAAATTAGGCCCTGGAGGAAATAAAACAAGGCAAGCAAGAGAGACAGTTAAATTCTGAGCACCAGATTCTTTAATACTTCTTCTCTAGAAAAATTACAAAAGAGATGATGGAGTCCCTCTTTAAGGTTCTACTGTTATAGTAAGGAACAAGCCCAGGCAGCCTGGGGGGGATGCTGTGGAAGTATTAATCATTTCCCTCGAACTGACTTTCAATAGTGAGATGGGCAGCATACATATTTAATAAAATAAAAATAGATTCCATTTCTATCACTCTTGTCATGCACAGCTAACCACCCTACACATACAATAAGAACCCCCATCTGCACTGACATAGCTGCAGGGTCACATAAGGGCGGGTTCCCCTCAATCCCCTGCAAAAATTGGGCTACATTCTTAAAAATCTGACTTCAACATTAGAGAGTCTGCTGTCTGCCATAGTGATAAGTCTACGGGGCTACAGTTACTCTCCACTGTCTGAGGTGAGGAAATCTCCCCAGGCAGGAACCCGTTTCCTGCTTTGTCAATTGTCCCTAAATTCTAAGGGCCACCAGTTATCTATGACTCTATTCTGCCCAACTTACTGTCCCAGCGGGGTCCTTCCCGGTACCACCTGACCAGGACATAACCAAGAACTCCGAGGATCAAAAGGGAGAGGCTGACACCGAGGATCAAACCAAGGATGCTGATGGACCCTCTTCCTGAAAATAAAATAGTAAGATCAGGGGAAGATGGGGCAGTGGGCTGTTTGACATCAGTTGCCAAATGAAAGGCCCTTCAGCTTGAGCCTGGAGCACCTGACTCCATTCCCGACCAACAGGAGGGGCAGTCTAGGAGGCTTTGCTGTGCACATGCAAACATCTGTGTGGGAGGGAATGGATGTGCTCATGAGCCACTGGCTCACATCCAGGGAGCTGCAGCCAAACGTTTAGACTGAAAACTTTTGAAGGGGGGACCCAACTTTTACAAACTAGGTTTTCCTCCATCCCCTTTCTCTTTTCCCCTCAAAAACGGAGATCCAAAGAATCCTGTCTGCTCTCCATGAAAGAAGGCACCACAAAAGACAATCACTGGGGAAGAAGAAAGCCACAGGAGCCCTGAAGGAGAGAGAAAAGAAAGGACAGAATTCCCCCGGATGATGTTCTTACATGCAGAAGTTCCTGGGAATAATAGAAGGAAAGGCAGATTCGCCCTAATGCAAGTTTTTCCTTGAGTTGTTTTTGATTTCCTTATTTTGACTCAAGCATCTCACTCTCTAGCTTCTATTGTTTTATTGTCACCCTGAAGAATATTGTGACTACACCTTTATAATAAAAGCTTAAAACAAAAATTCCTCTAAGAACCCCAAAATTTGGACATGAAGCAGCTGCCCAGAGAGAGCAGCACTGTTTTGGCCTAGCAAACATCCTCATCTTACTGCTCCTGTTGGAGAAAAGAGGAAGCCTTCAGGGTGAGCCTGCACCTGAGGCACCCTCATTGGATGGGAGGAGAGCCCCACTTTCCCCTCAGCCAGCCCTCCCACTTCTAACAGTGCTGTCTTTTCCCTCCTGCCAGCTGGAGGTCTTTCCGCCAGAGCTACACTTAAAGCCCTGCTCCTCTTGCCCATTGGCCTCCCGGGTTATGGCACGCCTGGCACTGACATTCCCTCAGTGGCGGGCATCCATTAAGCAGTGGGGGGGGGGATGGACCTTCTGCCTCCAGCTGTCCCCAGAACAATCCTTTATCCGCCAAAAGAGGGGCAGCAAAGGCTTTCCAATTTCAGCATCTGATGGGAAGCTGAAAATCCTCACCTCCCTCTCCTTTTCCTTATCTGGACTCCCTAAATCCGCAGGTAGCAACCTGTCAACACAATGCAGCCCTGTTTCTTCTGAGGGACTCAGCCCCAAGTAGGACATCTGCTCATACTTTCACCTCTCCCCAAAGGCTGGCAGGAAGCAGGGGGAGCTGTGACGTCCAGCCCAGACAGTCACAAGTGTGTTCAGGTCACAAGCCACCCACTCACAGAAGGGGCTCAAACTCACTCAAAACCAGCTGGCCATCCTGGCACCCTATCTGCCTGACAAAAATACCATCTTGGGAGCTGTACTTCTTTGCAATATTTCTCAATTGCAACTATCTAATTACTAGCAGACAATACAATTTCCTCTCTTATCAACTGCTCCCAAGTAAACTCCATGTATTTTCAGGGGAGTGGTGCTCTTTGTTCTTTCTTTGTTTATACATTTCTCTTCTTTTAAGAGAAACTTTCCAAGAAGGTAAGCTGCATCCCTTGAAAATGTAATTTTAAGCATCTAATATAGCAATACAAATGATATCCAGTAAATTTTGAAAAAATAGCACTGGGAGTCAAGTAGAAGAAGTGCTCCTTTAGCAACTGATCAGCCTCTTAAGGAATGATAAGAGTTTGCAAACCTTAAGGCCCTGATCCTTCCTGAACAGCCATGCCAGATCAAAGGCAGTATCCTGAATTGCACTGGGGGGTGTAGCATGAGGGGAGAAGCAGAGAACAGTCATTGTCTCTACCTGAAAGCAAACTCTTTTCTTTAGCAGCCTCTGAGAGGAGACTTGCACATAGCCTCTTGTGCCAACCCTGGAAGACACAGATAACTGAGGATGGGCCACTGAGGCCACGTATGTCCTTCCAATAAGGGCAAAATCTAAGCGCATCCTCTGGTAGGTTTTCAGCAGACATTTGCTGTAGGTGTACCATTTGTTTCTCCTGTTCAGCACAGCTACTGCCCTCAGTCCATTCAAAGCAGGAGATGATGAACAACTGTCATCACAAGTCCTCCAGAATTTCTGCACATTTTCTCCCCAAAGATTTATCACCTAAATTCAAGGCACCCTCAGAGAAAGTGTCTTCTATTGCCCAAGTAATTGAGAGACCCAAAGGGCACAAGCCCCCTCGCAATGTTTCCTTGCACACCCATCTTCATCAGAAGGAAGAGAATCCCTGGAGCACAACTGACACAGGTCTAGGGTGAGAGTGCTGAGCCAAAGCCCTTGAAACATCACCCAGCTCTCCTGCTTCCTCTGCCCAGAAGAAGGGCAATGCTAAACCTCTAGGAGAAGCCAGATGGCAACCCTGCTATTTCTCAGAGTTCTGGGATTCCACCCCCACCCATCTTCAAAGGCCTGCATCTCATGGGGCGGGGGGGGGAGGAGCTAACCCAGAAAATTCAACCTTTACCTGTCATTGTAAAATGCAAAGGTTGCCCACAGCAGATCACTTGATGCTTTTGCTCTGGCCAAAAGGGCTCTTAAAGCAGCTGCTCCCCCGGAGCTGTCAGCAATGGCGGCGGCGGCGGCGGCAGCTGCAGGGACTCTCCTGGAATCCTCCTGCCCGGGGAGGCCCTCCCTTCAGGGCCGGCCCCGCTAGCACAAGCCCAATGACTGGTCCAGGGGCAAATCTTTGAGTTGACACAGTCGCCTAGCAGCGCACTTGCTTCCTGGTTTCCGGGCTGCTCTGAAGCTCCGCCTCTTTCTCCTGGCAGCCCAGACAACCCAAAGCCATTGGGGGGGGGGGGGGCAAACAGCAGCTTCTAGCAAAGAAGTCACTGTCCGGAGCCGGTTGGTATGAAGAATGGAGGCTTGGACCTTCTCTGGGTACCTCTCCCAGACGCCTCGGACGGGAGGTGGGCAGGTCATGCCCACCCTACGCCGAGCTGGGGCTTAATGGCTGAAAAGAGCAGCGGCCCTTGTTGGACAAGTTCCTTCTCCGGCCGGGATTTAACACCACTAGCCCAGAGCTCGGTTCCGCCCACCCTTGACCGCTAGAGTCTCAGTCCATCCTGGCTATTGTCTTGGAGAGAAAGGAAGCCTCCCGGCTCTGCCAGGAATCACTGAGCAACGCTGTGAGGAGGAAGCGGGAGGCGCGTGCACAGGCTGGCAGCCGGGCCAGCTGCTTCTGGCCAGTGGCGGGAGTCGCGATGCGGCTGCTCCGGGCGCCTTGGCTGGAGGGGGCGGAGGCTCGCTTGTTTCGGAACTGAGCGCGCAGGGCGGGAACTCGGCAGGTGCCGCAGGGAGAAGCGCCCCCGCAATGGTTCCAGCGCACCGCAGCCCTACCCAGCCGGAAGCCTCGCCCGGGGCGGGAGATCCGAGGAAGTAGCCGGGCCGCCGGCGGTCGCGGGCGAGAGGGGCTTCTCAGTCCCTCCGGCCCTCCAGCTCCCCCCGCCAGTCAGACCACCCGGGCGAAAGCGAGAAAAGGGAGGTGTGCATTTCCCGGGCTGGTTCTTGAGCTCCGCGAGGAAGCCCCCCAAGAGAAACTTCGAGCCCGGCGCTCCGGCGCGGCTGTGCCGTCCTCATTTCGCTGCAAGGGGGCGAAACGGGCTCCGGAGCGCTTGGCACTGGCGAGCGGCAGCATCTTGAAAGCCCTTCAACCGTCAGGCCATCGGCTCGGGGTCCGTGGAGCTGGAAGGAGCACCTCGCGGGCTGACCGTTCCCCGAGGCAGGAAGACCCTCTGCCCGCTCGGAAAGAGGCGGAGTTGGGCCACAATACCATATGCCGAAATGAGCTAAAGGAAATGAATCCTGCCAGCCTCCTCGGCTTTCTTTCTCCAAGCCTCCTCCTCGCTCATGAAGCCCTCTGCTTCGAAGGGAAAGCCTCTTCGGTTTCAGAAGAAGCTGGAAATGCAGATAGCTCTGGGCAGCCACCCTCTCCGAGACAGGCAAGGAGGGGCCGGGGTTTCCCAGAAGCATTGAGGTGTTAGCTCTTCTCCCTGCAGTTGGGAATTGGGGGCCTCCTACTGCCTCTCATCCTGGTGGAAAAGTTCTTAAGAGTCCCAGGGAAGAGAAGGAGAGGTCCCTCCCAAACGGATGTGGGATTCATGAAAGGCATTAAGCTCTCTCCTTCCTTGCACCACTTGTCACCTTGGTTTTATATATCATCTTCTTCGAGAACTATATTAACTCTGAGCACTGAGGCATAGTGTCTTGTGTGTGTTGTGGCCAATCCTGGCTCACCTAAGGCAACCAAATCACTTTGAATAAAGAGCATAGTTTTATTAAAATGCATATGATATAAACTGTTGTGGATTTTTGCCAAAATAAGAAGCACAACATAGGGAGAAGAAAAGTGTTTATTGCAAGGATGGTTGAGTCTCTGCATCACAAGAAAGAGGGGCCCCATCTGTTTTTTAAGTTGTCTGGGGCCAGGGGGCTGTCAGTTTGGGTCTGAAGGGATTGGGCAAAGAGAGGACCTGGGTCCCAAGAGAGGACAGGGTGTGGGGAAAGGATGCCACCTCCATTTTGTTTGCTAGGTTGATTTTCAGCACTACAATATTGGGCTCCCAGCAAAGATGAGCAGCCCTGAGCAAAAGCAGAGCCAGTGCTGATGCACCTTTGGCCTTCTATAGCCAGACAAAAGAGAGGAAAAGGCAGAGACGGTGGAAATGACAAAGTGCTGTTAGAATATTTGAAATAAAACCATCCATGAGGCTTTCCTGTTATTTTTCCCTTCCTGTTAAGTCACTTGCTGGCCATATTATCGTTCAGAAGAGTGAACAGACCACAGATTCCTGACTGAGTCTTTTCCCTATCACCAGTCTGGTCAATTCAGCTTGCTGTGAGAGTTTCTTTTACAAGGGCTCTTTATAAGAGCTTTTATGTATTGGGGACGGGGAGGGGGGGAGGACGACATCTGGTAAGTTTGGTAGTGAATGTAGCTGATGTGTGTCTAGGTGGGGGTCATATCTTTTACAATCACAACAGCTACACCTGGTAATGATTTCTTGCCCCAAATTATACCTCAGAATAAATAAAAAAATCTAAAGATGTTGCCTCAGGCAGAGGAGCACCATAAATTAAGCAAGGGGGGGCGTGAACCGCCTGGCCAAGAAGAGCATGAGGTCTCTGGACATCCTTTGGCCTGGCTGCTGATCTGGGAAAGGCTGCCAGCTGCAGAGAGTCAGGAAAGGAAGGGGGCACTGAACCCAGCAGGATGCAGTTGCTCCTCCACCATCTTGACTTGGCATCTGATCCATCTGAGCCACAGCGAGGGCAGGTGCTCGTTGCTTATTATAGATGGGGTGTTAAATTGGGCCAGGAATGGATTCAGTAATAAGGCCTTAGAAATGCTGCTCTCCTCAAGCTCCAGTAAAAAGCTCGCTCCTGCAGGGAGACATCTGCCTGGCAAGGGGACCAGGAAGTGAGCGTGCGAGTGAAGAAGAGAAGCTGAGGGGGAGAATCGGCAGCATGGCAAGGGGGCACTTCTTAATCAGCTTGCTCACCGAGCAAGGGCAGCCTAAAACTGTGAGACCTTGCAAAGGAGACACCACCTGATTCCCGGCTCTCAAGGCATCGCTGCACATCTGCTCTGCTGTCTTGCCAGGAGGAGACCTGGAGAAAGACCCATGTCCAGGTGCAGCCACCTTCAGTCCTGAAGCACTGAAGAACCACTAAAGAGGGTAAGGAAACCACACTGAGCTCCGCTGGGCCTCCAAAAGGCCCCTTCTCCAGCAAAGCCTGCCTCCCTCTCCACAGGGATGCATCACAGAAACCAGTATTCAGCAGAGGAGCACCTACTGGTTTCAAGATGCAGTTAAAGCAGACCCAGCTTCCCACCCTGCCCTTCAGTCCTCTCTTTCTCCTCTACTTTCTGAGGGAGGAAGGCAGCATTTCCAATCAACACCCCAATATGATGATATTTAATTGTCAGAAGGAGAACCAGGTCTTTGGTCTCGTGTCCATTCCTGCAGCTACAGGGCTTCTTGAAACCAAAGCCCAGTCTGAACCCAGAACCCTGCACCCTTCAGACATGAGCAGCGCCAGGCTTGATATCTGCAGAGTTTCTCCCAAGAAGCAGCACTTTTTTGCAGCCAGTTGAGTAACATAGTTGTGTCTCAAGCGTCAGTCCTTTGAAAGAGGGTCTTCTCTTGCCCTCGCCAGAGCCTGGCAGATCAACCTGGAGGGTTGGATCCCAGAGATCTGCCCTTCGTAAAGTCAGGCCTTCGGGGCTGATTTAGAGTCTATTTTGGAGCCTGGCAGCCCATTCTCCGTGTTCTCGATCGCTGAAGAGCTCACCAGGCACTCCCTGCAGGAGACAGAGAACAGACTGGCTTAGTCCTGCTTCATACAAGCAGAGGGGCTGTCCTGGGGGCTGCTCCTCCTTCCCATGCCATTCAGTGGGAAGGCAAGGCCTCTCAGGAGCTCCTCTGCCTGGAGGAGTTTGCAATGGCAGGAGGGCCAGCAGAGCCTGCTCCCACACCAGACCTCCTGCCTGGAGAACCAGATGGCTGTCGCTTGAAGACTTGCTACTGAGCCAGCCACGACTGGCCCAAAGAAGGCCGCTTGCCCACACTCCATCCAAGGCAGCATAAGCACACTCACTTCTGTTTCCGTGTCTTCTTGAGGATGAAGAGGACCAGTTTCTTGGTCAGCATGATAAGGATGAGGAGCCCAATGACACCACCCGCAACAGACAAAATGATCAGCGTCAATGTGTTGTCAACCTTCTCCACTGGGGGAGGCAGAGAAGGCAATGAGGGCCATGGAGAAAGGAGCCCCCTGCCTTGCACCCTCAAGCCACAGACTTCCCCAAACCCAAGCTCAGCAAGCCAATGGCTCGGAGGAAGGCCCGTTCCCACAACCCCAACTATGGAGCTGAAAAATGCAGTCCTGCCTCAATCGGTTGCCTCTAACTGTGCACGACCGAACCAGGGTCCATTGCCCAGCTGCTACTCACACATCACAACCACTTTGAGAGTAAAGGTGCCACTGTGGTTGGCATCCTTCTCTTTGGGGTTCTTGACTAAGCAGGTGTATGGCCCGGAGTCCTCAAAGTCAGCATCAAGCAACAGGAGGGAAACGTTGAACTCCCGGTTGTCCTTGCTGAGTGGCAGGTCAGGTGGTAACATGTGCTTAAGGTTGAACTTGTACTCTGGATAAGGCTCTGGCTTGGAGTCTTTGTTCTTCACGACCCCTTTGAATATCTGCAGCAGGTGAAGAGCAGTGAGTGAAGGCATGGCTCCCGAAACCTTTCCCCAAGGTGGAGTCAAGGTGCTATCCAAGAACTACCTGGTGCAGCTCACCAAGCATCTTCTCAGCAAAGTGCTGAGAAGGAGTCACAGTGGGTGAGGTTGAGGGAGCTGTCCCCACTCCTCCTCCCCTTCTGTGCAGACAGTGGCAGTTGGGCTTCCTGGCAATGTAGACTTTTCCGTAAGGGCCCCACATTTCCCCCTCCACACTTGGACCCTGTTTCTTGGAAAATGGGCCATACAAGGGAGAATGCTGTGCCTCTCTCAGAACTAGGGAATTAGATTGCTTCCATCTGCTTCCACAAGCCCTAGAATGCAGGGAGTAGACCCTGTTCTTTTGCAGCTTCTGGACTACACTGTAAAGAAGGAACAGAAGAATTGTCCATGCTCTCTAGCTGTTCTCCAAGCAGACCAAGTAACAGAATCAGGCTCTGTAGGGCTGGTAATAGAGACAGCCAAGGCTGAGGATTTGGGAGAATCTCTTTCCTTGCTACTTATTAAATGTGAAGGCTTGTTGTCATTACATTACATTACCATTAATAAAAGCACCAACAATCATGATACCTTAAAGAATAAGGAATTTATCTCATAAACTGAATAGTATAGGTAGACCTTGCTTAATGACTGCCTTGTTCAGCGACTATTCAGAGCTACAAAGGCACTGAAAAGTAACTTTATGACCAGTCCTCAACACTTACAACCGTGGCAGCTTTGCTTTTGCAAATAGCATCCCACAGTCACATGATTGCCATTTGCATGTTTCATAGCCAGCTTCTGACAAACAGAGTCAATGGAGAAGGTAGCAATAAAATCGCAAGCCATGGTCACATGGTATCTTATCAACCACATTACTAATGATGGAGCTGCCGGTCCCATTTGTGGTTGTTAAGCAAGGACTATCTGACAATCCATTCATCTTCAAGATGCCATAAGTGTCTCTGCTTTCTGCTTGGAATCTAGTTTCACTGAAACCTCTACCACTCCAGCCAAGCAGCCTATCAACTTCCCTCCCAGCCCAGCCCAGCCCATTGTCAATCACAGTAGACCACGCACTTCAGTCTGATTGTGGCTCCATATGAAGTTGGCTTTCTCAATGCCGATGCAGGAGTTGAAAGTACAGGGCAGTAGCACATTGGTGCCATTCTTGGCATAAATAACAGGTGCCTTGCCCACTGACACCTCCAAGGCCAGTGTCCGAGAACACAGCTGAAGTCCTAAGGAGGAAAGAAAGAAAGAAAGAAAGAAAGAAAGAAAGAAAGAAAGAAAGAAAGAAAGAAAGAAAGAAAGAAAGAAAGATGCTCAGAGTTGAGTCTCTGCTTACAAAAATGGGCAACCCCCCCCCCTCCTGGATTTGTGTTGCTGCTTTCCCAACACAGCCATGGCAAGGAACTCAAAACCTTCTAAACAGAGGAAGGCAGAGAGCCTTGTGGTCCATTTTGCCTAGAGTTTGCAGTTGCTACCTAGAGTTCTCCTACATCTTGGCAGGATTGTTTTTATCTGACTTGACTTTTTTGGATCAGATGGACTCTTTTCACATCAAGTGTGTGTCCTTGCCCTTATTTGAAGGGGGCTTGCCCAATGACCACATAAAAAGGTCACAGCAAACTGAACAGCTTCCTGTGTACATGTGGACCTTGGTTCTGCAAAGCCAGCTTTGGTGGGGGGGGGGGAAGAGCCATCATCCCTAGTAGCCAGCAGTCACAGATAACTTTGTTCTTCAGCTTGCTTCCTGATCCATGGCCTACAGGCTCCATCCAACCACTTTACTCCTCTTGAGCAAAACAGAAATGATCTCATAGCCCCAACTCAGAGTTTTGACATGACCATTAGGAAAGCAGAGCAGTTCAAGCACAATGAAGATGCTGGAAGACCTGGTCATGCCCTACTTTCTCAAATTTCCAGATGATGCACCAAATGGTCCAAACATGTTGGACCAACATGTTCTTACACTGGACCAAGTGTAAGAATATGTCTATCAGAAGAACTGGATCTTTACTGACATCATAAATCAATTTATAAAATAAGGAGCCTCTATACCCTCAACTGAAGATGCAACAATTGGGCAAATTAAGCAGAATGCCGAGAAGGTCCCAATTCAGCCAAAGTATGTCTTCCAACGATGCTACCAACCAAACAGAATTGTCTGAAGGGAAGGATAGCTCTACCTCTTGTAAGCCAATAATAGAGTTATGGGGCTCTTTGAAAATGGTGACTGTTCAAACTTCTTAGATGGCCCACTTTCCCCCTTCTTTGCAGCTTAACATACAGACTAAGTTCACAGGACATGCTAGACAAGCTAAAACAAATTGGCATTTTGTATGAAGTAGGTTAGGGGACCCAGTTGCAATTTCAGCTCTGGTTCCCAGTTCAGACATCTAGGTCCCACATATGCCTAAAAAAGAAGACTTCTTTATGTTGTGCTCCCTGAAACTTGGCCAAGGGCAGCTCTCTAGAGCCCATGAAATGGCGGAAGAGCAGAGTTCCTGGAGCAGGTGCAGCGGGGGAGGGGGGATGGTGGTACAGAGAAGAGTCAGCTGTATTCTTTCATGGCTCAAGGACACTCAGGGGTTTAGCTTCTGTTTACATTCTCTTCCAGCACCTCCTCCAAGCCATCTTACATGTGCCCAAGTCAGCCCAGTTCTTGGCAGGACTGGCCAGCCAGGTCACCCCATCAACAAGGGGACTTGGGACCATGGCCTGAGATGGGTGCAATCCCTATTCCAGACATTGAATTGCTGTGTGTCTTGAACTAAACTTGTTTGTGGCATGATCACAAATGAGGGCAGCCCTGGAAGAATCCCCTCCCTAAGTATTGTCAAGCTGGGTTCCATGGGAGGAAATGGCAGCTGTCCAACAGGAGCCCCTGCTATCTGTGGCAGGGTGTGCTGCTCTTCTGCCTGCTGATCAGAAGCACATAGGTGCATGGTCAATCCACCCCATTCTTGTAACCTAGCCAATGCCTAGAATTCAAAAGCTACACACCCAAAGAAGGGAGACCATGGGGTCAGTTGGGAAGGGCAGGCCCAGGTTCTAATCCACTCTCAGCCATGGAAACTCCCTGGGTAACTTTGGCCCCATCATTTTCTCTCAGCCCTCCCCATGAGGTAGCTGCTATGGGAATAACCTGAAAGAAGAGACTCAAGGAAGCTGTCTTCAGCCGTTGGAAGAAAGACGCCTCTACCAAACAAAAGGGATATAGACTCAGATCCACCCATCTCACTCCCTGAGCCAATGGCAGTTTCTCCATTTCTGCCCCAAAGGGAACCTGACCCCAGAGCAACTCAGGTGCGTCACCATGGATAGAGCTGGTGTCTCAAGGAAGAGAGCTCTCTCAGACTCAAGGGGGAAGCCTCCACTGTCAAAGGCAAAGGTAGCTGCCTGTCCAAAAACCGAGAGCCTCTTCACCTCTGGCTCAGCTTTCCAGTGGGTTCAGCCTCCTTTGGCAGTCACTGGTGGGAGGTACCAGCCCAGCACTAGTCCTTGCTCAGAGAGTCATCCAGCCTGCTCCCCACAGCACCAAAGATTCTGCAAAGTCATGGAGCTCTGAATATTTTTGGCCCAGATGTAGGTAAGGTGGAAGCATTAACAGGGATTTGAATGGAACAAGACCTCTGCAAGGTGCCAAACCCTTGAGTGGGATCCAGCTGATTAGCCAATGCAAGCTGGCACCCCAGGAGCCTCTGGTTTCTCTGGGACTCCTAAAGCAGAGCAATTGTCAAGCTCTCTTACACAACTGAGCCAGGGAGGAAAATGGGAGGGGGGAGGCTTTGTAATTAAAGTTTTTCAGAAGTAATTATCAGACACTACATTATTTGACTACAGGTATTTGCCATTCAGAAAACAAAATAACTTAGGGCTGATCTTGCTAACATTAGTAGAGTGATTTTTCCCCCCTTTTCCTTTTTGCAAGAGCTCAATTAAAATTGCATTCTCAGTAGGGGAAAAGAATTCATTTAAAGTAGGGGGACTACAAGGCCCATCTGATTCTCCTTGAATGCATGCCATCTTGCCTTTGCTCCAGAGAAAGGACTTGAGACTAAGGGACCTGGCATCCTTCTGACTTGTTCAGGGGTCTTGGATGGGATACTCACTGTCAGAATCCAATTATACTTCATCTCCAGTTATCAATTATAGAAAACCCCATTTCTGCCCTCTCTGGATTCTGTCATACAAGAAAGAGAAGGGGGTGAACAAAGGGGCTTTATGGCCCTCACTTCCTTCGGTACAACTTCAAAGGGATTGAATGTGGATAGCACCAAAAGGCTATTTACCTTTCATGTAGTTTTCTCTGAAGTCTCCATCCAGCCGGCAGAAAGGAAAAGGGGGTGGGATTGTGATGCCTGAAACTGTCACTGGAAGAGGGGGGTGATTGGATGGGACTACTGGGGAACCCCTTAAAACCTCGAATGGGAGAGCTTGGACCCCAAGTCCTGTCTAGAACGCCTGCAACCATTTTCTCTTAATAAAGGATTCCTGTTGGAAGAATTATTCCAAGAGTTCTGTCTTCTTAAGACGCAAAGTGGGGTGGGTCCTTACACTCACATTCCAGGGAAAGAAAACAGCATCACCTGTAAAGACGGGGAAGGGAAGGTGCCTCGGATCCTCTTCTCTGAACCTCTCAGAGCAACCGGGAGATTCAGCACCCTCCCCGCACCCCACTTTCAAGAAGTTCAGCGCGAACGGCCACAAACTGTGTGTAAACCAAGTTTCTTGGAGCTAAAGCAAACTTGCAGCGATGTCGTACTTACTTCATGGGCGTTGTTTAGGATTCTACTCGAATCTTTAAAAAGATATCCGGGAGAGGGAGGGGGAAGAGTGAGGGAGAAGAGGCACGCAGAAGACACCGCCAGCTAGAGCAAAAAGTCTCCGAACACGCTACAGCAAGTGCGGAAGAACGTGCCAGTCCCGGGCTTCCCCTAGCCTGCCCCCGACCTCGCGCAGGGACGGCAGCCGGGCGGAGGCGGGACGGGGTCAAGGGAACTGCAGTCGTGGCACGCGCCAGTGGAACGGGGAAGGCAGAGGTTCCCCCGCTTTCTATCCGAGCCCCGCGCCCTGCTAAGTGAGCGCGGACGGATCGGTGGGCTCGGCCCCCAGGTGACCGAGGGTTCCCCGAAGCTCAGAGCGGCTCCGCGTCCTTACCCAGCAAGGCGACTCCCAGCCAGTCCAAGGCCATCTCCGCAACTACTTGGCCGCCTCTTTCCTCTCCCGTGGACGCCCCAGTCTCCGACTCCCGAAGTTGCTTTCGCGACAGACCAGCCGCCGCAGTTGCCGCTTCTGGCTCCTCGCACGGGCCGCCCCTTCCAGCAGCCGGCAGCCCAAAAGGCAGCGAGAGGAGGAGGAGGAGGCGGACACTCCCGGAACCGCCTCCGCGCTGATGCCAGGCGTCCCGCAGAGGCGCGGAGGGCGCGCGCAGCCTCGTCATACCGGGCCTGGGGAGCAGCGCCGTCCTCCTCGAAGGCCGTTGTCCTCCTGCCGCCCGCAGCGCCGGATAGACGGCTGGAGCAGACACGCCAAGCCCTCCCAGCGTTGGCTGCTTTGAATTTACCCCGCCGGGATGCAGTGTTCGCCTGGTCTGTTCCCCCAACCATGGTTAAGCAAACTGTGGGTTGGCCGGTGCGCGCACTGCTGAATTAGGCCTTGGGAACTTCCAAGCATTCAACAAAGGAAGCTTTTGGGGGCGAAAAAGGGGCAGGCGAGGTGACACCTTTATCTGTTTACTAGAATAGGAAGGAAGCCCTGCTCAGCTTGGCTCTTCTCAGCCCTGGATCCCCCGCAGGGCAATGGGGAAGCTACAGATATCTATCTCTCCAGTGGGATATGTCGGGCTTGAGAAGGTTTCCCCAGATGGTTAGACAGGCGGTGGTTCGAACTTTTGGAGCAGGGAAAAGGAAAATCAGGTGAGGGAGCACAGAGAAGATTCTTTCTCACATACAAAGGAGTAGTTACTGCTGAAGCAGCAGGAGGGAAGACCTTGTGCTGATTAGGGAAGGACTTCTTTCACTTTTGGGGTGCTGGGATCTTGCTGCCAATTTTGCTCAGCCAGCTTTAAGGACAGGTTGGGCTCCAGCATCCCACTCTCTGGGAAGCAGCCAGTGGCCATTTCAGGAGAGCGATCCTCGGCCTGGCCTGGCCTAGCGTGTGCCAGAGAAATACCACCTAAACTAGACCCCCCCACCCCGCAATGAATTCCTTCTGGTGCTGCATAGAAAGGGAAGAGATGGAGAAAAGAAGGCAGGAAAAGTTCCTGGCTGAAGGGGCAGAGCTGTGGGGCAGGGCAGAGGAGCCAGTCTTGGGGAGGGGCATCCTGAGCCACAGGCTGGGTTCTGCTGATGTGGCAGGTAAATGGTGCGGAGATGCTGCGGTAGTGGCAGCTTCTGAAGCTCCCAAAGAATCATGACTCAGGGATTGTGCAGTGAAAGATCAAAAAAAAAAAAAAAAAAAAAAAGAAAGAAAAAAAGAAAGAAAAAGCTGTAAAGGTGCCAGAAATTCTGGGCAGCAGCCTAGGGGTGGGGGGTGGGGATGAGCAACTCTTACTGCATGGGAGGAGGGGAATTCTTTTTCCATGTCTCTGTTGCGGGTGACCATTGCAGAAAGTCAGGGGCACTAGGCCAAGAGCCTAGCCCCATTGAGGCCAGCTGGACCTCAGCCAGGAGCTGGCCAGGACTCTCCAGAGGAGAAGAGGCCTTCCTGCTCCCCATGCAAAGGGGAGTTTTATTGGTGCCAGGGAGCCTCAGCGCTCAAAGAGCGAGCACCGGAGAGAAATCCCAGCGCTCGCTGGAGACGCTTGGCTTCTTGCGGCCGCAGCAACGCAACCTTGCTCCGTTTTTCCGACGCTCTTCTGTTCTTTTCTGCCGCTTGTACCCCTCCAAGGAAGGAAGCCGGGAGGGGGCAGTTTATCCCCAAGACCTCACAGCTATCGGTCCCGCAAAGCTTTCTGCGGCTCTGCGAAGCCTAACGGCAGCACGCAGCCTCTCCGTGTCGGCGCCGGCGAATTCTTACGAAGACTTCACCGAGGAAATCCGGTGGCTTCCCTGACCCCGAAAAGGGCCCTCGCAGGAGAGGGAGGGGCACGTGGCCTGGCTCTCTGGCCGCCAAGCCCTCTCCCGCGGAGGCGATCCTCTCTCTCAGGCTGTCCCCGCCTTCGCAGGTGCGCGGCTGCGGCCGGCGGCTTGTCCTCCTTGCACCCTCTCGCTCTCCACGAGCGATCGTCGGGCGCAATAATAGAAGGGCCCGGGAGCGCGCCCGGCTGGCGCGAAGCAAACTGCTGTCTTAGCAATCTTCCCTTCCGGGGGGGGGGAGGAGGGCGGCGGAAAGCAGGGCGTCCCGGAAGAACTTCTCGTCCGTGGATTTCAAGCTGCTGTCGAGGCTGAGGAGTTGGGTTTCTCCGCCTCCGGGGGGGGGTGTCTTTCCAGAGGACAGCAAGCACGAGTTGACCAGGCGCTTTGCACACGCCCCAAGAACCTCTGCGGACGTCCTCTGCCCTGGGACACCCAGCTCTCGCTGCTGGCCGCCCAGTCGGCTTGAGCGGTCTGCTGCTTCAGCCTCTCCTCTGCTGGCTGCTCCGCACTCGCGGCATCGCTTGCCCCCCTCCCCAGCCTGAAGCAGGGCCTCTTCCCGCTGACCTCACCCGAGCGCGGGGAAGTTGCAGGGCCAGACAGCCAGGCTTCCTCGGGGGCACTGCCGGTTTCTGAAGCCAGTTCTCTTCCGCACCAGGCAAGGAAACGGGCTCCTTCAGATGAGGGGACGGTTCGCGTTTCTGGGCTATTCGGAGGGCAGGACGCGAGTCGGGCCAGGGAGCTTTGATTGTCCCTTTCTTTCGGAATTTCTCCCGACCAGAAAGGGTCTAGCGCGCGCACTCGGACGTCCTGCTGCGAAGCCCCTCAAGGGAGGCTGAGAAGCGCAACGAGGCCGCTTTCTCCGGCCGCCAAGGGAGATGCTTGCAGACGCCCGAGGGACACCGCCCCTCGGAGAAACTCCTGAGAAAACCCGACCTAAGCCAGCGCTTCGTCTTCCCGGCCAAAGGAGTCCGGAGCCATAGCGGCTCTCGCTCTACCGGGATCTCCCGCACCTGGGCTGCAAACCAGGTGGCCGCCTTTGCCTCCTGCTCCGCCGAAGTGTTGCAGCGGAGTTCTGGGAATCCTCCAGGAAAGAAGCCGCCGCCCGCCAGGAGCGGAAGAAGCGCGGCAGAGAAGAGGCACCTCTCTCGTTGGTACGCTGTTGGCCTGCCCGGGAGGGAGCCAAGAACCCCGCAGCTGTCGTCCGCTGTCCGTCGGCCCGAGCGGGTTTGTAGCTCCAGCAAGGACCGCTATACAGTCCTGCCCTATTTCTTTCCTTCCCGCCCTTCTGGTCGCAGACGCTCAGCCCCGGTGGGATGGAGAAACAGAGAGTCAGGCGCCCCCGCAGCCCTTCTTGGATGAGCCGCTGCAGAACTTACTGAGGGCCGAGGAAAGCCCTGATCCGGAGCAGCCTGAGGCGCAGCAGCATCCAAGGAAAAGAAGAGAGGAAAAGGAGAAACCGGGCCCAGCAGCTCAGTCGGCTCTGATCCTCGGGGGCGGCCAGCTACCCGCCCAACTAAAGTGGGGTCTGTAGCATGTTGGTGCTCCTTCCCTAGCTCTCCGACGCCAAGATTCTGTGGCCAAATTGCCACGATGGCGGGCCCAATCCACGGGCGCTGCGGATGCTCAGGGTCACAGCTGAGACCAGGCACTTCCTGAGCGCCTCCAGGCCGGATAGCAGGTCTGCTTACCCAAAGGGGCGGCGGATTCCCTTGCCTGGCCGAGGGCTGAAAGAGAAGAAACCTCCGCAGCCACGCTAGCCTTCCGGCCAAGAAAGGGAGCCAAGATTGAGGAAGGCTGCGGGGAGGGGGGCTTACTCAGTCTCTCGCCTTGGGCTTTAGTGCATCTTGGGAAGGGATTCAATCCCTTTCTCGAGGGAGGGAGGGAGGGAGGGAGGGAGGGAGGGAGGGACAGCAGCCAGCGGCCTCTGCAATCTCCCCAGTGCCGCTTGCTGCAGTACCGGCCTCCGGCAGTTTCGACTTTTGTCCCGGCTATTCTCTTCCTCAGCACCCGAGACGGCTCCCCTCTCGAAAGGCTTTCAAGAGTTGTGTAAGTACTGAACCCCAAACTACTTAACCTGCTATAAAGTGGCTGGCAGGGGTGGGTGGGAGTCTTTCAGACCCTCCATCTGTGCTAGGAGGTTCAGGTTGGTGACCCTAAGTTTCAAAGAGCGTCACCCCACAGCCTTCCTTGAGGCCCCAATGCACAGGCATTCTGGGCCAAAAGCCGCTTCAGAGGTCCTGATTGCCCCGGGTTCCCCTTCAACAGCAATGCAAGCAGCTTCTGCTCTCAGCCCCCTTCAGATCCGTTGGCTTTGAATCCAGTTGGCCCAGTGGAGAGCGGTTGAAGAAAGGGAAAGGCCACTTGCCCATTGGAGAGACCTTTTTCCTCAATTGAGGAAAAAGGGGCAACATCAACAAACAGCCCCCTTCCCTCCCTTTTCACTGGTAGGAATAAATAGGGAAGAAGGCCCACGGGGTGTGTCAAGATGGGGAAACAGAGAGGACTTGCCCCAGGGTCCCATCCCCCCAGGGAAAGAAGCAGAGGTCTGCCTGTGTTGAGAGGCAAGCTCTGCTTTATTTCAGGTGACTGTTGGACTTCCTGAGCAGACCCAGGATAAGAAATATTGATGTCCATGCAAATGGAGGTCACCTCAATTCTGCAGTTACAAAAAGAGTGATGAAAACTTTTCAGGTTGAGACTTATCAAACTGAATGGCAGATTTTGCAAAATAAGGACAGAAAGGTTGCATAATCCATCTCAGCAGAGGGCAGGTGTTGGGAACATGAGGGGGGGGGTTGAGGGGGATGATTTGCAATCAACAGACAGCAAAGTGCAATTCCAGGGAGAAGCAGCAGAGCCAAAGACATCAGCACAGTCAGAAGCCAACCGGGGAATCACTTGCTCTCACCCCCCAGGGAGCATCCTAGGAAAGGAGCCACCTTCCCAGAGCTTGTTCAGGGGTTGCTGAGTGGAGAATCCCAGCAGCGGAAATGGGGGGGGGGGATGGAGGCCTCCAGGGCCATTCTTGCTTTGAGGCTCTAACTAGCAGGAAAGATGTAAGCAGAGAAAGCAAAGACCAGTTGGCTGCAGTGGGTCCAGGTGGAAATTCTTCTATTAAGCCCCAAACAACCAACCAACCTTCCTTCCTTCCTTCCTTCCTTCCTTCCTTCCTTCCTTCCTTCCTTCCTTCCTTCCTTCCTTCCTTCCTTCCCCCTCAGATCATACATGTGCACTTGCACACATCTCCTGCTTATGCCAGGCAGAAAACCTTCAGGGTTTTTCATGAGAAGGGTGCGAGGGTCAACAGCACTCCTTCCAAACAATCCAGCAGTGGGTTTGCAAGATGGGGGGGCACAGTGCTGTCCTGCAAGAGAGATGGCTGCTGGCCCATGGCAGGCAGTGAATTCTCTTGGCAGTGGCGAGTTGTGCTTGGCATTCAAGGTGGGAAGTGAGAAATGGCAGTTTCTGCTTTGGAAGTTTCTCCCCCCTCCAGCTGTGAGCCCTCACCCCATCGGCTCCTAAGCCAGCTGCCTCCTCTCAGGCCCCTTCCAGCAGGGAACCCAGTGCTCCATGAGGAAAGGAAACAAGCTTTCACCTCCCCAAGACTTGCCATGAAGGCAGCAGCAGCAGGGTGGAGGGTGGGGTAGGCCTTCTTGCCAGGGACATAAAGCAGGGCCTCTTCTGTCCAAATGGAGGAGCCACCTGTCTGGGACAGGAATACAGATTCATCCCAGGCAGTTTCCAATTTCAGCAAAGTCCCCCCCCCATAAAAACCCACTGCTAGCCGCCAGTCCCTGCTGTGCTCTGGTCCAAGAGCACCCTGGTGAGGAGGGAGAAAGTACCCGGGTCTTTCTGAGATGTTGGGTGGAGCTCTTTGCTTTTGAGAAAGTCCGTGGGAGAAGTGGCCAGGGACAAGGAGGAGCAGGGAGACCAGCCTGGGGGGAGAGTGCCCCTACTTCATGCCTTCCTCTGGGTTCCCTTCCCCATCTGTCTTGCCCTCTTCTTCAGTCTTCTGGTCATCCGTGTTGAGCCTCTGCTGCTTCTTGCGCCGGACACACTTAACAATGACCAAGGCGAGGATCACCACAGCAAGGAAGCCCCCCACAGTGGCCCCCACGATCACAGCCACAGTGGAGTCCCGTTCTGGGGGCTCTGCGGAGAGAAGCCCAGTATCAGGCAAGGCACAGCACCAGGGATCCACTCCCAGTAGCAGCAGCACAAGCAGCAGGAAAGGCTTCTTGGCCCTTTTCCAGAAAACTGGGGAAAGAGCAACCTGGGGAGGAGAGGATCCCCCTGTGTCCCACAGTGGGCTTCTGGGGTCCTCCAGGAAGGGGAGCAAGTGAGAAGGGAAGGGGGTGGAGTCACATCCTGACCTTCTGTGAGGACTTTGAGGCTGATCTGGCCATGGCCCTTTTGTCGGTCAGGCGGGTTCATCACGTAGCAGTTGTACAGCCCTGCATCCTCCAGCTGCACGTTATGGAGGGTGAAAGACACATCATTCTTCCTGGGGTTCCCTGTAAACTCCACACGATCCTCAAAACGCTTCAGCTCCACAGGAACCACTTTCAGCTTAAACTGCAGGAACTGGAGAGGAGAGTGGACAAGAATGGGAAAATCAGAAGAATTGCAGGGTCTTCGGAGCACCCCACACTCCAGTCTGGCCCGCTCTCTGGAATTCCTGGCAGTGGTGGGCAGAGTGGGAGGGAGCATAGGCAGAGAGCTTAGGAAACTTGGACAAGGGTCACCCAGTTCATGGCCCATGCCTCCCCCCCACCCAGGTGCTGCAAAGCCCAGCTGTGGAGGGTGAGGAAACTGGCTCCCCTCCTCCTGGCACAGTTGATAGGCCAAGAGGCACAAGCAGCATTCAAGCATGGGGCACAGGGATTGTCCAGCCCTCCGGTCCAGATACTCACCATCTCTTCGGTGCAGTTCTGGCAGGTTTGATAGGTCCAGTTCAGTGAGAACTGCTTCTTGTCTACCTGGTAGCAGGAATTGAAAGTGCAGCTGAGCCGGATGGAAGAGCCATTCAGAGCATAGACAGTGGCTGGGGCCATCAGCTCCATGCCCAGCGTGTTCAGCACTAGCAAGGAGAGAAGAGCCCCCCCACACAATGCTGTTATTCCTGTTTGCACTAAGACATACTGCAGATCCTTCCAAGGGGGGGGGGCAACAGTATAGAAACTGTGGCTACCACGGAACTGGCACTGCCATGTCTGGCTAAGTTTCCTACCTTGAGTGTATATTGTTGCAAACCTTGGAGGGCCCCTGGGCATGCTGGCATTTACCACCCTTCAGGAGAGAGAGAGCAAGAATGATGGGAAATGATGTGCTTTGGGGGGGGGGAGTCCAGGGGAAGGCTGGTATGCTGAGTAATGCAGCCTTTCTTTTTCTTCATCCAGGTGGAGATGAATTCTCAGCTGTGCTCTTCCCCCCCCCAAAAAAAACCCCCCAGAAAAAACTCCAAGATCTTTTGGAGCTCTTTGGAAGCACTGGGAGTTGCCAGATGCCCCTTGAGTAGCCATGGCCAAAGCAGCAGAGAGCTGCTAACGCAGCTGGAATCATAGAGCATCCACAGAAGATTCCACTAGAAAAAAGTTGGATGCAGCAAGAAGCCCTCTAATCCTGTATCTCTAGGCAGGCTGAGGCAGGAGTAGAGTACAAGAAAAAAACCCTCCCCACTCCAGTGAGTCTCCCCACACCTGCACTGGGAACAAGAGGTCTCCTGCCTTTGGCTTTCAGATGCTTTTCATGTTGTCTTCAGCCAGAAGCCCTCAAACCCCAAACTGGCAGCTGCGGATTGGTGGAAGTACATAAGCTGTACATAAGCTAACTCCCCTGAGCCCTGGGCAAAAGGGACATCAGAGAGAGAGAGAGAGAGAGAGAGAGAGGGAGGACAGCTTTTAGGGGATCATTCTTGAGAAAGGCAGGAAAAGTCCAAGGGGATAGCACCCAAGGTCTGCGGGGCAATCCATGATCATACTAGGGCAAGGGTGGGCTTAGCGACAGGTTCTAGCATTCAGCCCTGGGGATTCCCAGCAGATCCCTGCTCTTCCTTCCCACTGCTGTATCTGCAGAGAACTGCTCTGCTTCCGACATTCACTGCTTAATTTACCAGCATGATACCAGTGCCAGTGCCCACCCTTGCCAGAGTCACTGTCCAGGATACATTAATGGAGGGAGAGACCCAGGCTACACCCAGCAGAGCTGGACTCAGGGGCTGTAGGACCAGTCCACTCTGCAGGGGACAAGATGCAGCTACTGGGGAGTGGGGTGGGGGTTATCCAGTTCTGCCCAGATCTAATTTCAGCTTAAATTGGCACCTCCTCTGCAGCTTTGTGCGGGCACACTAAGAGAGATCTGCTTGGCCAGCCAGAAGCAGCTGCTGAATCCCCCACTGCAGGAGCAGCAGCAGGGCAGGGTGGTGAATTAACGCAAGGCAGGGGGAGGGGTGGCCTGGAGAAAGGGGATCCGTGCCCCTGCTCAGTATTCCCACATGAATTCACATCATGTCTGGCCTTTGCTTCAGACAAAGAAGGGAAGAGGGGGGGGTCTCCTCTCGTCCACTACCTAAGCCCCCACTCCCCTGCTATCTAGGAGGAAGAGTCAAAGCTAGCCTTCAGGAAAATAACCCTGGGTTGATAGCTCGACCCCACCCCCTGCACCCCTCTTCTCCAATGATTCCCGCTCCAACCGCCATGCAGGCCAGCCCTTGGGAGCGCATGTGAAGAGGGTGACTCGTCATCAGGTGTCCTCTGCCCCCCACCCGCCCGACCTGTCGGAGCTCGGAAACCTGCCTCACCACCACCACCACCACCACCCCGCCATCCCCGCGGTACTTACCCAGCGGGAAGAGCAGCAGCAGCCGCAGCGCCGGGTTTGCGGAGCTCATCCTCAAGGACGGCAGGGCGCGGGGCTCAGCAGCTGGATAGGGCGAAGGTCAAGTGCCCGTCCGTCCGTCCGTCCGGAGCACTCATCGTCCTTGGGCAGCGGCGGGGTTTGGCTCCAAGATGGCCGGCTGGAGGGGCGGCGGCCACTGTTGCCGCCGCCGCCGCCGCCGCCACTGCCAAAAATCGGGGGACAGAAAAATTCTTTGGTTGATGGATAGCAAAGAAGGATTCGGGAGGGCGGGAAAGGGCTGTGGCTAAGAACAAGCGTGGGGTTGGTCCTCGACGCGATCCTCCCGCGGACCGCAGCTCTTCTGGCTCAATTGCTGATTCCCGGAGAAGGGCAGGCGGGAAACGTCGCAGCTCCTGGGGCTGGGGTCAGCGCGTTGGCCCCCTTCCCCTCTTCTGGAACCATTGCATATAACCCAAGGATTATACAGTAGCCACCTCCAAGTAGCGGCTCCTACGGTTACCATGGAAAGAGTGGTGGGTGTAATTTCTCGCGCACACCGAGAAAAAGCCCCGAGCCCCTTTGCGCCGCGCTTCCAGTTCAAAAGCAGCCGCGAGCGCCGTTGCTCCTGCTAGCAAATTTGAGCGGGTGGAGACGTGAAACAAGAGGTTGCAGCGGGGTGTCTGCCAAGGCTCTGGCGGAGGGGGGGCTGCCCCCACCGTTTTCGGCCGCCTGCAGCGCGGCGAACTGGGCTGCGCCTTCGGGAGGCGCGGGGCGGGGCGGGGCGGCGGCGGGGGGGGCTCCTCTCTGCCCTGGGTTCGCTTCTTTTAAGGCCCGGGAGTGTCACCGCCGCGCCGCCGCCGGAGCAGTTGGGCTCTGCGGCGGCTCGGCTTCTGCCGCGTCGCTGTCCGTTGTCCTGCAGGAGCGGCGTTTCCCCTCCCGCTCTGGACTCCTGCAGGACTCGGCAGAAACGGCGTCGGGGCGGTCGGGGCGGAGGGCGACGCTCCCGGCGGAGAAAAGATGAGGCCCGAGATGGGATCGTCCCCGGCTGGAGCCGGACGAACGTCCTGCTCTGCCTGCAGACCCGTGCAAGGGTGGACGCGGCTTCTTGCTGGGTTTCCAAAGCTCACGGTGCTCCCTGTTGACATCCGAGGCGAGACCCCGAAGAAGACCCCCTCGGGTCTCTCAGAGGGAGAAGAAGCGCGGCCGGTCCGAGTCCTGGCTTACTTTTCCTTCAATCCCAGAGATAGGTAGCCAACAGCAGCACCTCCACAGCAGCTCCTTTGCCAAGGGCGGGTGCTGGTCTGTGGTGTGGGCCACTGAACTTCAAGACAGACTCACCAAGTTGGACGGGATCCAGCCCTCCACTCCGTATCCAACAGAACAAGAAAAAAAGTCAACAGATGCTCAGGGCTGCATCCAGGCTGGAAAGGGCACAGATAATTATTTTCATTCAGGACTTCCTGGAAGTGCTGCCAGATCACCTTATCAACTGTTTTCCCTAGAAAGTCAGAGATTAGCCAAAAGTTGTTCCCTTTGGCTGGATCAAGTGTGGCCTGTTAAGGAGGCAGAAATCCAGGCGGACGTCCATCCCCACCCTCATTGTAAAGGGCTGAACCCAATCCCTCCTCCCTTCACTGGCAGTTCCACAAGATGGGAGAGGCAAGGAACCAGCCCACAAATGCTGGAGATCATCACATACACACAAACACGCACAGTTTACAAGTTCAGATAAACTCCAGATCAGCTTGCAAGGCTCGCATCATCCCCTTGGAATCCAGAGTGCCAGCATCTGATTCCAAGCAGCTCCTCAACAAGGAATGTGTGTCCTTAAACAAGGCCAAAGACATGCTCAGTCGGTGCCCTGCTGTCATGGCATAGAGCCAACAATCATGTTCTTAGCTTCCACCAGGATCCTTCCAGGCATCTCTCTAGTGTTTCATTGCCTGGAATCCACAGGCAGGGAGGGCTGGTCAGAATAAGCTGCCAGGGCTTTCACTGCATTTGGAACAGAAGGTCAAACTGGCATCTTAAGAAACTGCCCACCAGGTTGTTGGAACATCTCCAAAAACCAGGAATAGAACTGTTGGTTCTCTCAAAGGCCAAGTGAACTACAATCATTTTCCATCCAAATAAGAGCCTCAGAAGAAAACTGTGGCCAGGCACATTACTACCTAACACATTTAGCATACAGTTATTGTAACTGAACCTAAAAACTGTTCCAATGGCTCTGAGTAAATTCCAGAACTTCAGCCCCATCTAAGCTTGCATAGAACTTAAATTCTCACTGAGGCGGCACAGAATAACCACAGTGTTGCAGCCAGAGCCCAGCAGAGTGAGTCTTGTCCCTCCATATTAAGGCAGGGGACCTTCACTCTCCCTCCTATTGCATCATCCCATGGAAAGTGTCTTTCCCCTCATTAAACCACCTGCTGCTCTCTAGGGAGCCCCTCAAACAGGACAGGTTATTCCACTCACTCCTGATTTCAAGAATTGACTTGCAGCTTCTCTCCCCTCCTCAGATTAGGAACAACCAGTTCTGCCCCTCAGTCATTCTTTAGCACTCCTTTGGTAGCCAGGTTTGCATAAGTGGCCTGATCTGGGAGATTCCAAGGGCAGACCTGGTTGAGGCAGGAACATTCAGAGATGATAATGATGGTCATTGTCATTGTCATCCTCATCAGCAGCAGCACTTAAAAGCCTGGGGGATTCAGAAGTGGTTCCAACAAGGCCAGGTACCGTTGGCCCTGTCCCCTGAACCAGAGAGATGCCCTAGCTGGCCCCTCCCTTAATGGAGAGGAGAAGAACAGTCAGGGCTCCTGGACAGTAAAATACCACTTCTCTTGGTGGTACACTGGGAAGACTGTTGCTTTCCTTCACTATCTGCAAGGATTTGTGGCATTTGACTGGCAGCAGGATCATGGTCCTTCATCCTTCTGGGCTGAAAGATTGTTCAATCTTCAGCAGCACCCACAGCAGTCCAGTTAGGCACTGTCCAAAACCAAATGCAGGGAAGGCAGGCATATACTTTCCCCAATTCCTCCCCTACTCCCCCCCCTCCCAATTAATGGTAGACCAGTTCTGGTCAAACCAAAACGACAAAGAATAGATGGAGTTGGCACAAGGCATTTATTGGATAAAGAAGAAAGGGTTTTCTGCAAAGGAAAGCTGACCAAGAAAGAAAAGAAAGGGAGGGGGGAATCTGCAGGTGAAGACCCTAAGGCCAACATTCCCAACTATGAGAATTGGGGACAGTTTGAACATTGAGCTTCAGCTGCCTTCATGCCCACTTCCACATTAAGGCCACAATACTCAGCTTAACAAGACCAGCTGGAGACAGAAGAGGCTTGGCCCTCTTTCCACAGGAGGCTCAGTTCCAGAAAGATACAGAGGGGCCTTGCAGCCACTGTAGATATGTGCTTGTATCCACCAATGGCCACACTGAAGTGGCCGACATTTACTGAAGAGCTCTATCCTGTGTCTCTACATTAGCCTCCATCCTTTCCACTTTCTCTTCTGGCTGTGAGCTCAAATTACATGGGTGGTTTCTCAGGACAGAAAAATCCTAGAGAGGAACTGGGGCTGTACTCACATTTCATGAGCCAGAAGCTCAGGAAGCAGAAGCCCAAGAGCCTGGCTGCCACTGCCCCCTCTTCCAAGCCTATTCACAGGTCAAGAGAAAGCCAAGAAAAGAGAAAATATCAAATCAGGATTATTCCTAGAATGGAATAAAATCTGGCCATTCACTGGAGACTTCCTGAGCTGGATCTCGGTGATGGCACTGCAAAAGGGACTCCTGCTCCCTCCGCCAGTGTCAGTACGGTTCCTCCTCATCGGTGTCCTGAACAGGAGGCAAGGAATAGCAGTCAAGAAGGGAGCCGAGACGACCCAGGTGCCCTTCACTCAGCTCAGCCATTTGGGCCACAAGTGCTGCTGGCTCAGGCCCAAGAGGTTGTCTCGGGGAAAAAGATCCCAGCAAGAAAACCACCCCTCTCCCCCAAATAATGTGAGCAACTTCCAGGTCTCCCCTACCAGCATTCAGTTTACACAGGCACAACAAACCCAAGCAATGGCAGGTGGGCTCACCCCTCTTGCCAGCAATCGGCATGATGCCCAAGATTTGATGGGCAAGAAATGCCGCTCGAACTAAGACCCATTAAGAGTTCAGCCCTGTTTTACATCACTGGAAGTGGCAGCTGTGACTCTTCCTGACACTGGCAAATCTCAGGGTGAAGCTTCACATAAGGAAGTTGTCTTTTATTGTTCTGAATCTGAGGGATGCCGCTCACTGATTACAGGTAGTCCTCTACTCATAGCAGTTCATTTAGTGACCATTCAAAGTTACAATGGCACTGAAAAAAGTGACTTATGACCATTTTTCTCACTTATGATCATTGCAACCTCCCTCTGGTCACACGATCAAAATTCGGATGCTTGGCAACCAGTTCCTATTTAGGACAGTCATTGATCCCCTTTTGCAACTTTCTGACCAACAAAGTCAATGGGGAAGGCGGGTTCACTTAACAACCATGTCACTAGCTTAACTGCAGTGATTCACTGGAACAGCTATGGCAAGGAAGGTCGTAAAATGGGGCAAAATTCATTTAACAAATGTCTTGCTTAGCAACAGAAATTAAATCTACCCCATCAGGTCTGGCAGGTCCCATCTGGAAGGAGAGCCTTCTCTGCTGTGGCCCCCGCCCCATGCAGTGCCCTCCCCCTCCCCAGCTGTGACTAGCTCTCTGGGGGGGGGCTCCCCCACAAGGGATCCGGCCTATTGGCAGCATCACATTCTGATGCATTCCCTCATGATCTCGCTCTTATTTATATTTAAGTGGCCTTTATGAAATATTTCAACTGTTGGTTTTATAGTACGGGAACTAGATAGAGTTAACTTGTGTGATAAAGGCAGCTATATGCATTTGATTGATTAATAAATGATTAAAAAAAATCTTCTATGCTTATAGTCTTCACTTAATCCCCTAACTGGCAACTCTGCAACTAAACAAACACATGGCTAAATAGATTGGGATTGTGCTTTCTGACAAGACTAGTAGGTTTCCCATTTTCTGCTTTGTTTGCCCCCTTTGGAATGCTCTTTTACCAGTGCAAGGGCACTGGTGGCCCAGGGCTGGGAGCCACAGGTGTGGTGCATAGTTTAGGGCATTCTTTTGAAATTTCGTCCCCTCCGCTCTGTGGAGGGGAGGGAAAAAAACAAGCAATTTCTATAAGGAATCTCTTCTTCTCTGACCCCTTCCCTCTGCCAATTGGATTTCATTGCTTTCAATGTGTAGAAGAGCAAATAGCTTACTCTCTTGTAATCCCATCCTCTCCAAACCACAAGGAAGAGGGGGGAAAAACCAGAGTTTACACACAGGTTGTGTATGGAACACAATGGAAGTCACATGACAGAGATTCTGTGAAGGTCATTGATGATCATAAATTGAGTGTAAAGTTATTTTTTCAGCACCATCACAACTTCGAACAGTTGCTGAATGAGCAGTTGGTAAAGGAGGATTATGTATGATCCGAAGTTACAATATCTGCTGGGAGATGAAGAACTTTTCTCTGTAGACATTTTCTATATTGCCAATAAATTCACTATCTCCAGCAGGTCTCCCAACTACAGAGCCTTGTTGCATCTCCTATAACCTCCTACTTATTCTGTTTGAGACACCCTTTTGAGCTCAGCAATCCTCCAGGGCATTCTGAGGGCAGTCTAAGCACTCGGCAATGAGCAGCCATCAGTGTCTGCTGGTTCTCAGTGGGGAAGAATGAGAGAGATGCAAGCAAGGATAAGGCTGAACTTCTGCTGCCTCCCCAGTGAGATAATGCAGGAATTAGTGCCTCCATAACATATGCAAAAGATTTCTCTCTTAATTGCCTTCTGGCTTACCAGGCACTGCAAACAACAGCTAACCAGCCGCTCTCTACAGCCACTTTGCTCAGGTCTATGGAAAAAGGGCAGAGAAGAAACTAGCCCAACAACCAGCCCAATCATTTGCCTCTCTGCTCCCACCACCTTTGAGTATCAGCCTCTCCTTCCTAGCTGCAGCTTGCCCTGCGGGCTAGCAGAGGGAGGGTCATTTTTAACTCCCTTTAAGAGGCATAGGGGGGCATCCCAGCCCCTCTTCAAAACCTCCTTCTCCTCTGCCAATCCTCCCTTCCTACCCCTCCCCCTTCCCCATCATTCTTACTCTTCAGAGACTTCAATGGAAGACTTCTTGTAACCAGGCTGTCTCCTAGCTTTCATCAGCCCAGATTTCTGATTCATCCGGACCAGCAGTAGAATCACCACAATGCCAGAGGGAAGAAAGACCAGGATGGAAAACAGTCCCGATGAGGTCAGCTGGAAGGAGGCACCTTTGGAAACAGAGCAGGATGGGGCAGGCGGAGCAAAACTCCCTCCAGCCATCTACATGAGTCTACAAGTTTCCCCCAGGTCCACCCCCAGCACAAACGCCAATGTTAGGGATTAGCACAGTCCCCTCTGCTACCCAAGGCACCCCAGAGTGGAAGACATTCGGCAGGGCAGACAGAAGGACCACTACCTCGAGCCAAGAGGAGCAGGATTCCAGGAAGCAGCTGGCAGTGGCAACCCAGGGCCTGCAGGACAGCCCCCCTCCTGTCCTGGGCACTGGAGTCTCTGCCTTACCTCTCTGAGTGACTGTGAGCAGGGTTTGGGGAATGTTGTGCTGCACATCAGGGGGGTTCTTCACAGAACAGGTGAATGTCCCATTATCCTCCAGGGTTGGGTTCCAAATCATAATTGAAGCATCCTGCTTGGCCACATCACCAGCCCAAGAAACTCTATCCCGGAAGCTGCCTCTCTTGGCTGGGTAGGCATTGGATTGGTAGTGGAAGACCTGGGAGAGGGAGGGGAGGGTGAACCATCCCAGACCAGAAGACCCAACAGCAGCCAGTTCCCCCAGAGAGACGGGGCCACCAGGCTATAGGCCTCCTTTCATCTGCCGTCGCGCGGCACGGCACCACTTCAGGGCCATCAGAGCACCGGAAGCGGGGACCTCCGCAGCTCACCGGCTCCAAGTTGCCCCCTGCAAGAGGCCGATAGGTCCAGTCGACGGTGAGCTTCTCTGTGACCGGAGCGGAGGATTTGAACCAGCACTTCAGGGTCACCGGCTCACCCACAAACGCGCGAACCTGGGCAGCGGCCTGGATCTCTAGCAGGTGGACTCTGGCAGCCGCTGCAAGCACAGCCGCAGCGCAGCTCAGTCGCCCGGTCGCAGCGGCCCCCGGCCCGGCGGGAGGAGGGCGGTTTCCGCCCCCCTTCCGCCGCCTGTCTGGCCCGGGAGCCCGTCGGGCCGGAATGCAGACCGCCGCGGCGGGGCTTCTGGGGCCCGTCCCGGGAGCGCCCGACGCCTCCTTCCCGGGCCCGCCGCCCTCCTGGCCGAGGCCTCCGCCCCGCCGACCCCCGCCGCGGGGCAGCCCCGCTCACCCAAGAGGAGCAGCGCGGCCGCTCCGATGGGCTTCCTCCGCGCCAGCCCCATCTTTCCGGGACCGGTCGCACCTGCCCGTTCGGCGGGCCGGCCGGCGAAGCCGGAAGAGGCGGGCCCTGCTCCGCGGCGCTCTGCCAGCGCTAGGAAGAGGGCCGTCCCGTGTTTCCCCCGCCGTGCTGCTCTTCGGAAGCAGGGGTGCTCGCCCCCCCGGGGAAGGTTTGGGGGCCACCGGCAGATCTAGAGGGACCTGGGCAGGAAGTGGAAAGGGAGCAGGGCCCCCTGTGGGGGAGGCGAGAACTCCGGCACCGGTCAAGGCGCTTTTGCCGCTTTTCGATGTCCTTCAGGGGCGAAGTTGAATTTAATAAAAGAGGCCGGCGGGGGGGGGGCCTGCCCTGATGCCCGGAAGCTTCCAGAGAGTAATTGCTGGACCAATAGCAGCATTCCGAATCCGTCTTTGCGGATTAAAGATGGTATCCGATGCAAGAAATAAAAATATGGCAAATCCCGAAGGACAGTCTTAGTCTGTATTGTGTATTTGGGCACCAGCAGTTCACCCACCCCAAGGACTCGCTAGACCTGAACCGAATAGCTCCTATTAATGCAACAGCCCAGTCCAGCCACGACTTCCCAAGTAATCACCTCACATCCCCTGACCAAGAAAAGGAGAATTTTAGAACAGGAACTGGTCTGTGCAAAAATGTGTGATATGATTTCATCAGGAGGTGAAATTATATTGTCAGTATGACACTAGCAGCCACATGTGCAAAAGAGGCCCCAATGGCCATTTTTGGTCCTCCATCAAGATTGGTCTGCAGCAAAGGATTTCTGCAAGGTGGAGCAGGCTGTGTTTGGCCAGAGCGCCCTTCCCAGCCCAAGCTGCTCCAGCTGCCATCCCAGGGCCTTGAATGCACCCACTTAGATCTTCTCCGGAGGCCATCATGATCATTCTGCAGGTCTCTTAGGGCTTTGGGCAGCATTGTCGAGCCCTCCCTCCCTCCCTCCCTCCCTCTCTCCCAGCCCAAGTCCAGACACTGCTGGAGACTCTACACTACTTCCCTGTGATCTGCCCCCCCCCCTGCTCTTAGCTGCCCCTCTCCCCAAGGCCATCTATGTCTCCCTTTGCTCCTCCTGGGCCTCTGGGCAACGACTTCTTTTTGTGCTCCCTTGCAGGATTGTGCTTTGCAGTATCCACACTTCTAGGGCCCCCTGACTTTAAAGATTGTGCAATTGATCTGGATGGGTGCCATACTACATTCCATTAAGCTAGATGACAGTCACTTTTAAACACAGGCAATTGTACCTTTATTATAAAATATTCCATTTGCATACAAAATTTAACAAGACTTTAAATAAATTAGTGTATGAAAGAGTGTCACCTAAGGATATGAAAGGTGGCCCAGAAAAAACCCAGCGGACAATCCTCTAATATCTGAAGCTGATGAGTTTTAGAGGTAGTTGTTGGTAGCGTTGCTGCAGTGCTGTTGCATAAAAGAGGATCAGTGGTCAGAGATTTTTATTTTATTGTCCAGGGCTCTTAAATCCTTCTGAAGGAGAAAGCAAACTCTAGTTTTAAGGAAGAGATTTGTGCTGCCAGCCTGGGCTGGGGGATTGCAAAGGAGACAGAATTGCATCCAGCAGGAACAGCCCCATGGCTGGTTCCTCACTCCCTTTCAGAAATCCTCTGCCTGCACAGACTCAGGCTACTCCAGGCCCAGGCAAGCCACAGAAATGGGCTTGGTCCTGCTTGAAGAAGAGGCCCTTTTCTAAGTAGTTGGGGGTTCCCCCTTAGCCATTTGCCTGGCCTTTGGTCCAGGAAAGAAAGCAGAACAGTGGGCAAAGTGGTTCCCCGTTGCCCTCCCCTCAAGCTTGGTCTGGCTGGTCTGTCTTGACCAGACCGTTTTCTGCTGGCACCAACTAGGTGACCAGTGGCCCTGAGGTCTTCAGTCACTGCGTCAAAGGCAATCTGTACTCAAGGTGGGCAGGGGAGGGCTGCTGCTTCAGGCATATGGAGAAGACTGGTTAGGCAGATCTTTGGTGTCATGAGGGCAGTAGGTGAAGTTTTGGCTCCTGCAGGCCCTCTACGTGCAGGAGGTCTCCTTCAAGGCCAGGAGCACAAGTGCCTTTGCCATCTCAGCTCCAGCGGGCCACAGCATCCATGGGTGGATCTGGGAGAGAAAAGCACACAAGGAGTAATTGTGGGTGCGGTTCCTAGTGGAGATGCTGGGCCAGGCCTCCAACTGTGAGGAAGCTTGAGGCTAGACTGGCAGGTGTGGCAGTAGCCCCTCCATCCCTGGTCTCTCTTGGAGAAAGGGGAAAGTTCAGCCTCCCACCTTGGTCCTGGAGTAGCTGGTAACAGCTCCTGCCCAGTGCCAGTCAAGCCCCTCCAGCCCCAGCGTCCTTACCAAGACCGATGGGTCCCTCATCCCCACAAAGGGATCTACTTTTCCTCTCTGCCTTCCTTCAGCTTCAGTTGCTCTGACCTATTTGGGAAGAAAGGAAGGGCAGCAACTACAGGGCAGGAGGCAGAAAAGCGACTGCTTCATGAGATGGAGCAGGAGGCAGGGGGGGGGGGAGATGGGGCAGGAGAGCTGGGTAAGCCACCACTGGCTTGGGTTGCATTCAGGGGTGTTGGTAGGAGGGTGCTCTGGCTCCTTATTCCTGGTGAGGGGCTGCAAAATCACTGCTGAGTCCAGCCACATCTGCCTTTTACCACCAAGCCTTCCAGGGGAGGCAAGGAGGTCTTTTTTCTTGGGTTCCAGCTGCAGGAAGCAGAGGGAGAAGGTGCCATGCCTTGAATATTTGAATCAGATTTTGAACTGTACATGTAAAGCACCCACAGAGTTAATCTATAATTAGCTGTTTCTCTCCTGTATGTAGGGAGAGGCAATTAAAAGGAATCTCCTATGTACAGTCTGATTAGCCCACTTCAGTCTCTTGGGCAGCCTCAACTGGAGCTTGCAGGGCTCTCCATGGCTTCTGGATACTGATGGGTGAATTCAGACCATGCCAACTCCTCACTGAAGCCCCATTTCCACCCACCCGCACAGGTCCTCTACCACAAAAGACTGCCACCCATAACACTAGTCCCTCCCTGCCAACTCACCTCCCCATCTCCCTTGTCTTGTCTTGCTGCATCCTCCGCCAATGACGCCAGATCACCACAATCACCACAAGGATGAACATTGCAGCACAGGAAATGCCAATGGTGAGGACCAAAATATGCACCTCTGAGAAGCTCACTATCCAGAGACAAGAGAGGCTGGTGAGGAAGAGAAACACAAGCACAGCGACCCCAGCCACCCAGCCCACTCACTTTTCAGCACAACACTCAGCTGGATCTCGCCAATGACACCATCCACATCAGGTGGGTTCTTCACATGGCACTGGAAAGTCCCGTTGTCCTTGGGGCTCACATTGTGGAGCATAACCGAAGCATCGTTTTTGTGTACATTGCCATCCCAGGTGAGTCTGCCTAGGAAGCGGCCTGATTTGGAGGGGTAAGCCCAGTGATTGTAGTAGAGCACCTGAGCACAGCCAAGAGAGCACCAGCAGTGGTGTTAGGTGGCTCCTGGTCTTTGGTTAGCAGCACATCCTGCACCTTAGTCCTGGGAACTTCTCAGATCATTTCTCTCACTGCTTTGTGAAAGGACTCTGGTGAGCTACGGGGAAGGTAAGGAGCCTGCCCAAAGGCCATGGCACAGAACTTGCTGCAGAGAAGGGAAGATGCCCACCAGCCAGGAAAAGGCCCTCAACTGGGGAAGCTGCCCCAGAGCTTCTCTGGAAGAGAGCCATCCAGGCCAGCCTGCAGGGAGTGCATGCCTTTTCCATGCCTTTTCTCTCGGGGCAGTTGTCTCTGCTTGAGTGGACAGGCAGGAGAGACGGGGCCAAGGCTCCAGCAAATGGGCCCTGAATTCCTTCAGAGCTGGGAGGGGAGGCCCTGCCTGATCCAACTTCTCCCTCCCCCTTGGCCCAGGGAAGCACAGGCCACTCTGCCAAAGGCTTCCAGAGGAGTGAGAGGAACACAGTCTTTACGCCACAGGCGCCTAGAGCCAAGCCCCCAGCCCACCCGCTGACCCTTCGCAGCCTCTCTGCCCCACCGTACTGCAATGGGACTGACCGACACCAGGGGTTCCTTCAGCTCCGACTGGAAGTACCAGGAAACCGTCAGCTTCGGCCCCACCGGCACTGGACTGCGGAAGGTGCACTTCAAGCGCACGTCGGTCCCGTTCAACACTTCCAGGGTGCCAGGGGTGAATATTTCCACAGCTGCCACCGGCTCGAGCGCTGCAGAAAAAAGCAGAAGGAGGATGCCGTTGCAGGGCCTGAAGGCACCTGGGAGGAGGAAGGGCAGAGCGCCGCCGCTTCCTGGAGGTGGGCGCTGCCCAATTTGCGCGGAGTGATCCAGGGCGAATTCCGCAGAGGGGAAGGGAGCTGCTGAACAGGTCGCTGTCCCGACGTGCAGGAACTCGTCTGCCGGGTGACGCCGCCACCGCCCAGTGCAGCGCTCAGCTGGGGGTGCCTGCCCTGGGCTCTACGCAGGAGCGAGGCCCGGCGTGGCGGCGGGGTTCGCAACCGCTGTAGGGGCCGGCCTAGAGGCGGCGACTCCGGAGGAGCCAAGCCCGCGCCTTTTGCCTTCGACGGGGTCGGGGTCAGGGTCCAGAATCAGGGTCCGGAAGGAAATGGCCCAGCCGGTGCTCCACCGCTGCTCTCCCCAGCGAGCCCGTGCCTTCCATCACCTCCCCGGGCGGGTAAGCTTATCTTACCGAGCAGAAAGAAGCCCCAGGCCGCGAGTCCCGCGAGCCGCGATGCCGGAAGGGCCATGAGCTCCTGCCTCTGCGGGATCCTGCCAGCTGCTCCGCCCAAATGCCTCCCAAACCTGGAATGAGCCAGGCGCGTCCCGCACGGATTGGGAACCTCCCACGGGCCGCCCCAGGAAGGCTTCGCCCCGCCCGGCCCCGCGCCGCCGCCTCCTTCTTCGAGGCGAGCGGTGCTGCCCGCGACCGATCGGCTTCTCTCTAGCGCGGTCGTTCTGTAGATCCCGCTGCGCCGGACTGAGGCGGAGACGTCCTCTCCTAGAAGCCGTGCCCGGCGCTGTCCCGGGATTTGCGGAAAGCCCTAGAATTGTCAGGGACAATCGAAATAAAAGGAGATTCTTGCCAGCATAGCCACCACCCGCAAACGGTAGAGCCAAGCCTGGCCCAGGACACCATCAACAGCCTCCGCAGGGAAGGGGGACCCACCCCGGTACCTCCACCTAGCCTGGGGTGAGGGGGCTGGAGGGAGCCACCATCCCTTAAGTCTTTTTGCCAGAATTAACTGAATTAACCGGGGGATTAACTGCCCAAGAGCCACCATTCTACTCTCCCCCTTCCATGTCCATTCCCCACCATCCAATCAGAGCTGAAGCAACTTCTTGGATGAGAAGTGAAATGTCTTGAAATAAGAACAAGAAAATTCAGTTGCCTCTTGAAAAAGCACCTTTGGAACAACCAGGACCTGGATGACTGAGAATCTCCATCGATGTGATAATGTAATGCTATTCATTGTTTTGGGCCAGTCTACCTTATCAAGAAAGAGGAGAAGAAGGGCAGCAGAGGAGACCGCCTCCTCCCACCCTTGGAAGCCCAGGAGGGAGCCCAACATAGCAGACCCAAAGGGCAGTCCTGGGGACCAGTCCCTGAGCCTGCAGATCCAGCTGGCCGGGTGCACCCCTTGCAGCATCAGGGCTCAGCTGCAGCCTATTATTCCTTTCCACAGAAAAATAACATTGATTGGTTTATACTTTTGTTAATTTTTTACTGTCACAGTCCCAATGGACACTTGACACAGAGCAACATAAAACACAGAATAAAAATAACAAAGCAAGAGTGTACAATTCAAAATATCAACTGTTGTAGAAAATTATTGAAGGAGCACAACACTAGGGAGAAGAAAAGTGTTTATTGCAAGGATGGTTGTCTGCCTCACAAGAAAGAGGGGCCCCAAACTAGGCGAAAGCCAAGATTTGTGTATAGGGCTACAAGGCAGGAAGGGATCTGATTGGCTGGCCATTTGGGGCCACCTGGGTGAGTCCTTATTCTGGAATGTAGGTGGTTGCTTTGGCCATAATCCAGATAGAATAACTCCACGGAATGGTAATATGCAGAATATTTATTGATCAGGAATTCTAAACATTAACTCACAGTTATTGTAGATTCATCTGTCACATGTTTCATATTCCGTCCATTCACGCAGGTAAAAAGAGAATAATTTTCCTCCATCTTCATAAAGATCACATGCTGCTCTGGTTACATTTTCCCCATTCTACAGAGCTCCCAGCCTCCTGGCTAGGATTCATGGAGAGATAATAAACTGGGACATACACAGAATGTCCAGACACAAGACCCTCCCAGTGGCCAATTAGAACACAGATATATAACCATGTAACAACTAAAACTACATTTCCCAGAAGGCCATCTCTTAAGGAGACAGCTTTTAACCCTTAAATGCTATTTGCTCTACACACAGCTCTCAACTCCTAAGCTAGCTATATACTGGACCAGCACAGTCCTGTCCTTAGGCAAAAGGGGCCTTTGGGAAGCCACTCATGGAGGAGAAGGTTGGGGTTCTTCACCTGGTTGGTTTAAGTCCAGTTTGTGGAGGGCCTTGGGAGGTGTCAGTTTGAGTCTGAAGGGATTGGGCAAAGAGAGGATCTGGGTCCCAAGAGAGGATGGTGTGGGAAAAGGATGCCACCTCCATTTTGTTTGTTAGGTTTGTTTTCAGTACTATACCACTGGCACCTCCAAGTGGCAATCTAAAGATTAAATTATCTCTTAAACAGCTCCCTCCCTTTCCTCACCCCATTTTCCTAAGAAGCAGCTGTGGTAACTGGTGATGCTAGGGGAGCTATCTGCACATGCTCAGAAGGCTCTCTGAAGAGGAGCTTAAGCTTGGCCAGTATTTGATGCCATCATGATGAGTTCAGGCCGACGACAGTCCAAAACGCAGCTGAGGGGGTGCTTAAGCCAAGGCCTGGCAGAGTTAGCCTGTGCCTGCTTGCCATAGGGCATCTCTGTCACACCTGCTGTAGTGGCAACTGCAGTAGAGGGGTGGACTTTGGTTAGGGAGGGGTTGCAGCTCTGCCCACCCAGGAGCACAAGCTCCCTTCTTCTCTGCAGAGGATGGGCAGGCTGGCCGGCCTCTGAGAGCTACTCTGGGACTATGCCAAGACGATCCCCAGGCTGCCATTTGCAAGGCTGGCTTGCTGTAGACCTCTTTTCCCATCTTGGGGCAGTGCCCCCTTCAGCTGGGCTGGGCAGGGCACAGGTGGGATCTGGGTGGAGAGGAGGAGGGATGGCACTTGGCTCTGGATCCCAGACCCAGCCGAACCTTGGTTGCTTCAGGGCCATGCAATCACCTGGCACAGGGACGGCATTCTGCAGGGCCCTTTCAAAGGGCTCCACAGTCTGGCATTTGGCAGGTGGGTGAATCCCCAGAGGTTCCATGAGGATGTAGGAAATGGGGAGGATCTATACCGCTGATGACCACAGGAACTCAAACTCAAATATCAACCATTCCTTGGCAGCCAGCCATTGGGAAGGAGTTTGCCTTCTCTTTCTTCCACCATGAATTTTAGATTATGGTCCAGCCTCCTCCCTTGGATTGACTGCTGAGCCCCCACCGAAGCACCAGCTGGGCCAATCTGCTCCAATTCCCAGCTGGGCCTCCAGTGGACCAGAGGCTGTTTCCTGCCAAGACATCCGGCTGTAAATAAGGTCTGGAGTGTGTGGGGGGGAGTGAAGAGATAGATGGGGTGTGTGAGTGCCTTTTAAGCCCCGCAGCCTGTGACTGCTTCTTCCATACTGAGTCCCCAATTGAAATCTCCTGTAGGGGGTGCAGCTGAGTGGCCCCGGCTCCACCCGTGCCTTCACTCGGCCTCGGTGGCTTGCTCCTCCTGCTTTGCTGAAGCTGCCATTTCCTGGCAGGGCTGGGGCCACAGAGGGTTTCTTTCTCTTTCTTTACCAATTGCTCATCTCTGTTCTTGGAGCCCTCCTGAAAGGAGACACGCAGCAGGTTCGCTGGGGAGACCCCTCGAAGCACCCACGGGAAGCAGCAGAGGGCAGGAAGATGCCTCTGGGGCTCCATTTGGGTGCCTTGGTGCTGCTCCTGTTCCACACAGGTGAGTGCTGCCTCTCCACAGAGAGCTGGACTGGGGCCCCATCAGGGCTTCTGCTTGATCCAGCAATCAGTCCATCTGGCTTCTGGCCCTGCGGGTCAAGGTCCCCTGGGACCTTGTGAAGGGAGGCAGCTGCTGCAGTTGTTAAACAAATCATGCAATTATTAAGCAAATGCAGTTTCCCCCACTGACTTGTTGAAACTCTCTGGGAAAGTTTCAAATGGCGATCATGTGACTGTGAGGATGCTGTGAGGGGTCATAAGTGTGAGGACTGGTTGTAAATCACTTTTTTCAGCCAGCCTTGTCATAACATCAAACAGTTGTTAAACAAATGGTTGTAACTCACAGACTACCTGAAATCTCAGGGTGGTGCTTGGGGAAGATTCCAAGGGTTTGATATAAGGAAGGTAGCTGGGGGGGATTGGGGGGGTCTGCTGTGTGCTAGATTAGGCTGAGTTGTGGAGGAGAAGGCCCGGGGATCAGGGTTGAAATGCTTGAGTGGGAAGAGGGCCTCTCTCTTTCCAGCTAAGGGGTCCCTTTCCTCAGAAGAGCTCTGGTGAACAAATCACAGGAAGGGAAGCAAACATCCCACTGAGGAGGAGGAGGAGGAGGTGCCAGTATGGATGGGGAGAAAACACAGGATGGTCTCTAGCTACATTATGGAGCTGAATCGGGAAATTGAGTCTCCTCTTCAAAAAAAAAGGTCCACAGATCTTCTTTTAAACAGGGATTTGGCATAGGATCCATCTGACCTGCAAAGGAAACTTCTGGAAGATTACATGATGTAAACATGAGGGGCCTTGTGATTGCTCTGTTTTGGGCGCAAGGCAAGAAAATCAACACCTACATGTTTTCCGCTGCCTTTTTCTGGGTATGGCTGCAGTAGTGACCACAAGGAGCTGTGTGATTCCTCCAGAAAGCTTTTCAGAATATTTGCCACAAGTTTCTGATTTGGGGGCTGATTGGATGGAGCAGCCCCTCTGTTTCAGGGGCTCTGGGGAGAGCAACCTGATCCACTACCTTGTTCTCCAGCTTTGCTCAGGCTTCATAAAAGAAATGGTTTTTAAGGTGCTGAAGGGGGCAGCTTTATTCTGGACACAATGGCGGTTACGTGCTGGTGAGCAAGTCTTCACCATTTTTTTTTCTTTTCACAGCCAGCCTTGTGGAGAGAGAGATTGAAGGTAAGGGAGGGGCCTTTAGGACTTTGGGTTATTGCTGCAAACAAGTAAAAAAGGAAGCCCTTGTCCATGCAACCATCAGGAACTGACCCTGGTACCTTTGCCCCCAACAAACTGCAGTGCATTTAAATGGGTTGGCTTGTGACTGTTGGCTGAAAAGAGGAGGCATCTTTGCCACCAGAACTAAGAAAATGGGAGGTTCCAATCAGGCCTGGCTTCTCTCCCAGCTCCTCCAGGGATGTGGGGGGGGGGGGTGTCACTGTTTTGAATGAAAATGGGTGCTGTTAGAACATGTGGCATAGCCATTATGTTCCACATCTCTGCCTCTGAAGAAACTAGAGTTAATGACAATCCAAGAAAGCATTTGGAGATGGTTGTAGAGTAAGAATAGCAGCATGTGTTGAAAGGTAATCTAAGTTATAATTTAAAACTGTCAAATGTTCCCTGGGGGGGGGGGATGAAGCTGTGAGGCGCTGCCTCATATTGTCTCCCAGAAGGCAAAAAAGCAGCCCCACTGCTGTCCCCATGAGATCCTGCAGGATTATCCACTAGTGTTTGTGCCCAGAGCTGCCAGGCACATTCTCTCTGACTTGCCATAGAAATCAGGGTGGAAATCTCTTTGGGGAACGTGAGTCTCAACTGCCCAGGAGAGAAATCCCAGTGGTGGGAGGCCAATTCCAGTCCAAGAAACAGCAGCACCCTGGTCTTCTCCGACTCAGACCATCTGTTTGAGATTGAAAGGGGAAAAGAACTTTTCTGTGGACAAAAGAGTCAGAATGGCAAATCGTGGAAGATTTTTCTGAAGATCAAAGGTCAGTCGTGGCTACAGTATGATGGGGCCTCTCTGCCCTTGATGGGGGGGCTAGGAGAATGCTTTGCAATCTGAGCTGCCTGGTGGCCAGTCCCAGCCCACATCTCTAGTGCCAGGCAGCCAGAGCGGAGAAAAATCTTCCTCCAAAACCAGGCTGGCTGAGCTCCCTTTTCAGTTAAGGCTTCTGGGTTTCCTGCAGGGTGCAAGGACTGTGTGGAGCTGAGCTTTGGCCTCGGGGCCAGCATCATCGTGGCTGACCTCCTGTTCACCTTGGGAGTCCTGCTCCTGGTCTATTTCTGCAGCAAGAAGCAGCAGGCCCTCTTCAGGACAGGTGCCCCACGACGACGGCTACAAGGCAAGTGCCTCTGTCTTTTCTCCCCCCCTCCCCAGTGCAGGCCAGATTTTAAGCATTGTGCTTTGCAGTTTGAAGGAGCCTGAGGGGGGTGAGGGGTGGGCTGCCCTCAGTTAAGTCCTCTGGTGCTCCCCCCTCCACTTCTGCCTTGGAGAGGGGCTCTAAGGAGGCTGACAGCCACAAACGGAACAGATGATTTGGCAAGGCCAGGTGATCAGGGAGGCTCAGTCCATCAAGCAGCGAAGTGAGAACTGCAGAGGCAATAAGCTTTGCCCTTCACTTTTTGCTCCAGGACAGCAAGCAGACCACCCCCCGCCTGTCCCAAATCCAGATTATGAGGTAAGCCCTGAACTGAACATAAGGGGGGAGGGGGGAGTTCACATTGGGCAGCATCTCAAGTATTGGAGATCGGGCCAGAGCTGTGGAAATAGGCACACAGAGAGTGGCCAGGGCGCACAGCCCCTCCTCCTTCTCTGCTAAGGTCTGTTTTCTGAAGTGATTTAGTCAATTTCATCAGTTTTGGCTTTTACAAAGGGAACAGTGACTTTTCCCTTACTTTGGTACTGGCAGGGTAGAGCAAAAATTCAGCTGGGAGATTTAGTTCACAGATGATTTGAGTGAATCTCTGAATCAATTTGCCTTTCTGAATTAATTTCTAAAAGCCAGATTGGGAGCTACAATGTGAATTTTTTTACTAATCAGTTTAAAAAATGTAATTGATTCAGAATGTCAAACCAAACTGTCATTCCAGCTATATGCAACACATCTGCGTTATCTTCCAAATAAAAAAGGAACTTAACATGGCTTTAAAGCCAGAGTTTCCTGATATGTATTACATAAACAATGGCGAAAACAATCAAAAGCTTTTGAGAAAGAAGAGCATCAGAATCAAGAGTCTGCATCACATGCAGCCAAGGGAAGTCCTCATTCTGCTGATGCCCATCTTAACACACACAGCCAGTGTCCTAGAAAATAAGACCAGGTTTGCCAAAAACATGTTCTGTCCCTACAGCCGATCCGGAAGGGCCAACGGGAGGTGTATGCTGGCCTGGAGCCTCAGGCTTTCTGAGATGCAACCTTGCTTGCCATGGCAAGATGCCAGATGCTCCGGGTGGCAATGAGAGTCCCCAGAAGTGCCTGCCACTTCCTTCTCCTGCTTGCACTAATCGCTGACCTTCCTGGTGGGGGTACTCCCTGTTTGCACTGAGTTTTGCAGCTAGAAAATCTGGTGGCCTGGAGAGCCCCACCCCGGATGGAACAAAGAGCTGCGGGATGCCCAGGGGGCTTCTCAGACTGCAGGACACCAAAGGGCACCATAGAAGCCTCTTCCCTCATGTGGGGTCACTCAGCCACAGCACTGCTGCTCTGAGTGCATGCAAACCCCATGGCTCATGTCCCATTCCCTGGGCAGGATGTGCTGCTCTGGCTGGGGGTGCCCAGGGACCACTTGTGGCCAGGCCTCCCTTAGAGCGCCTGAGGTGGCATGTCTGGTTGGTCGATTTGTGCTTCAGGAGCCCTGAGCCCACTTGCTCTGGCAGAGAATCCCATTGTGAAAAGGCCTGCTTTTACATTTGTTTTGATTGTGCTCGCAAAGAATCCTAGTAAAGCTCTGTTCCATTCACCCCAGAGACTCCTGTGTAATTCTTCTGATACCTGGAAACAGGCTTGAAGGGAGACCTTGGAGAAGGAGGGGGCAGAGAGAAAAGAGGAGGCGCTGGGATGAGTAGCCACAGACATTAAAGCCCAGATCTTCTCTGCTTTCCCACCCACCAGCAGTGCTCCAGTAGGAGGGGAGGCAAAACCAGGGTGGTAGGAGAGAAGTAAAAGTCAGGTGGCACCACCATAGCCCTAGGACTGGCACCAAGCTTGGCCCAGCCAGAGGACTTGTTCTTCCCTTCCTGCTTTGAGAACCAGCTGAATGAACCCATTGCTGATGGTTACAGAGAGTATCACTGAGGCTTCAGCTGCAGAAAAAGGCCCATCAGCACAAAATCTGGCAGTTGCAGTGAGGGAGGGAAATCTGGGGCCCCACATAGAAACAGCCACCCCCAGTGGATGCGCTCGTTCCACAGGATGTGGTCAAAAGCAAACACAGCTGTATTTCAAGAAAGGCACAAACCACCACAAACCCTGTGCAAAAGCTACACTGTGCTGCCCTATCAATCACCACCCAGTGGTAGCTACACACTTGCGTAAATGGCTGACACCATGACATTTGCACTCTCACTTCACTGCAGCTCCTTGAGTCAAATATACACCATGTTAGAGAGGAAGTTGTAAGCAACATCTTTTATTGGGGGAGAGGCAGAATGCATAGGGGAGCAACAGCAGGGACCCAGTTTCAGCTGCAAAGGGGAAAATGGAAGATTAACTGGCCTATTTGCATTGCTGAGAAAAGACATTCTTGATTCCAATTGGCCACCACATTCCCAGCACTGCATTTCATCAAACAAGTTTAAAGCAGGCTCCTCTCCACCACCACCCCAGCCCACACTCTTTAGTTTAACAAACAGAAAATGGAATCCAGCAGCTCCGACAGCTCCAGCAGACTTTGTTGGCTCTCACAGGCTTGAGGCCCTGGAGTAGAAGGCAGGCACAGATGGAGGGCCCCACAATTTCCCACATCAGCTGATGTAATGGACGTCCCTCAGGGATTGAGCCCAGGAAGGAGAACCTGAATGTGGCCGGAGAACGGCTTCATCGGCGGCGAGGCTTGGCGATGCCAATGTGGCTATAAGGCCTGTCATTGTGCTCCTGGAGAGGCTGGAAGGAAGAACATCCACCCTTAGGACCTGTGTGGGCAGACCACACTTCTATCACCTTGGGGCCAAGAGCCAGCAGTGGGTGAGGACGAGCCATTGGCTCTGGGGAAATTTGGCCTGGTCAGGTAGGCAGGACATTGCTCTGCCACTTTCCCACATGACTCCTTCCCTTGCAGTTCGGAGGGGCCATTCAGCTGCCCCACACAGCAGCCTGCTTCCTCTGGCATGGCTGCTCTCTCTCTCCCTGTTGGCAGGGAGGCCATGTGGTTATGTGCCAGGATTTCTGGAAGGGAAATCAGTGCCATGGCCCCAGGATGGCCAACTGCATCCCTAGAATGCATTTCACTCTTAGGCAGACTGGTTAACCATAGATTCTTTAACATCACTGTCATCACACCATGCTGGACCTCAAGTAAAATCCAGAGTTTGCCCAGCAGGCAAAGCCAAGCTGTGACTGGAATTTGTGGTTCAGGATGTCACTAAACAACTTAATAGGTCTGGAAGAGGATGGGTTTGGCGGAGTCTGCTTTCCTTGGGGCAGCCTTCCCTGCCAGGGGACCCTTCGTGGAACTGGGATTCTGGAGATGACTGACAGGTTTGTAGACCCTTTGTCAAAACCATCCCATCAGAGACTATGACAGCAGCTAGTTCCTTTCAACAAGTGGGCACAGGCATGCCTCATCTGTACTGTGCTGAAATATATACAGATGGCTGTACTGTGCTGAAATATATACAGATGGCTTAATAGTCACACAATCTTCTAGTACAGGGCTTTTCAACCAGTGGTACGGGTACCACCTGTGGTACATTGGCACCTGGCAGGTGGTACGCGACCATCCTAGAAAAGTGGTAGCGGGGGAGGGGAATGAGCTGAACCGGTGGCAGCACCACACAAGTCTGAGCGAGAGATGGCTGGAGCTGCAGGGCTCAGTGGAAGAGCCAGGATCAGTGCCAGGCTCCAGCTGCAGCTCGGCGCTGATCCTGGTGCTTCTGCTGAGCCCTGAAGAAGCACCAATCAGCTGGAAAGCAGCACTGATCCTGGTGCTTCTGCTGAGCCCAGAAGAAGCGCCGATCAGCTGGAATGTTGCAGCATCTCCAGGGTCTTGTGATTTACATTCCGATGCTTGGCAACTGATTCATATTTATGACGGTCACAGTGTCCCAGGGTCATGTGAAGTAACCAAAACCTGATGCAACCACCCAGCAGACAGGGGGAATAAAAAACAAACACCCCCACCCCACCCCTGCTGCCAATCCTCAACAGAAATGCTCACAACAATGAAAACCTCGAACAGGAGGAAGAGCGCTGCTGTGCGGGCAGGCAGGTGTCTTGCTCGGCTGTGGCTTGGGGGCCAATTTTTTCAGTGCCATTGTAACTTCAAACAGTCACTAAGCAAACTGTTGTAAGTCGAGGACTACCTGTACTTTATCACCTTTTTCCTTTTTTGGGGGGGGGGTCATCAAGTTTTTGACACCTTGCCAGGCGACTGGTAGTACTCGGATATTGCCATATCCTAAAAGTGGTACAATGGGTGAAAAGGTTGAAAAGCCCTGTTCTAGTAGGTCTCCCACTTTCTGTGGGATGAACTGGTCAGTCTCTGATCTGACACCAGACCTGGCATTACCCCAAAACCACCAGGGAACTCTTTTGCTCCTGTTCCTGGGCTCAAAGTTGCCCCCTTGGAGAAAGGGCATAGCCAGGAACAATTTTCTTTGAGAAACAACTGAACTATACTGATGAGGAAATTTATTTCTCATGCATTACACAGGAAAACTGCTCAGAAACATTTGCGTCACATTCAGCAACTGTTTTGTTAATGCCAAGGCTTGCTAATTCTACATTGTTTCTTCCTCTCATTTTAACTCTTCGCCATCATATCCTCTTTGAAGACAACAACCCCTGCACACAATGAAGTGCACAGAAGATGCAACTCAGCTCCCCCTCGAAGGGGGAGAACAGAAAGGAAAAGCCAAAAGGAAGTGGAAGCTCTCACCTGGTACAGCTGGTCGTTGGCCAACAGGCACTGCTTATCAGAAGCTGCAGGGTCAAAATAGGAAGACTGAGTCCACAGGGAAAAAAAACAAGAGCCTAAGAAAGCAGCAGGTGGGGGGGGGGAATCTCTGAGGCGGGCAAGAAACAAGGGGTGGGGGACGCCGGAGCTGTAAGATGGTCCCTCCTTCTGGCCCTTTCAAGGAAGCTGTCCAGCTGCCCTTTGTTGCTACCTCCTCACCTTGGGTTGGCCGGCCCCGCTCTTCCACAGCTATGTGGTACACAGCAATAGCCAGAAAGATAGTGGCGAGGAGGCTGGCTGCTGAAATCCCCAGAATCATAGTGAAGTCCAGATGGATGCAGTTTTGGCACACTGTAGTGAAAGAAAATGTTGAAAATACATTCTGCACTCCCCCGCATATTCACGTGAAGTCCACGCAGGCCTCACTCGAGCAGAGCATGTGTTCTTTTATGGCAGAACTGCCACAAGAAAACAGCCCTCATTCATCTGAAGCCAGGGGAAGCCACTGCCAGTTCCTTGGGCAAAGAGGACTCTTCCAGAGAAAGGGAGACCCAGCTGCAGTCCCTGGTCTGCCCATCCCAGGCTTTTACAAGGCTTGGCAGAAAGATTACCTGTGTCCTAGGAAACAGCAGCCTGGTAAGAGAGGCCCAGAAATGTTGCACGTGAGCAGAATGGAGCATTTCATTTCCAGAAACATTTTAGCACAGGGACATTGAATATAAGTCATAGAAGTGGTGATTTGACAGTTTGCCTTAAGAAAAAATACCACTTTTTTCTAATATCAAAGAATGGACAAGCAACATTTTGAGGGAAAAGCTTGATTCCATAGGAAGAGGACTAACTTCATTTAATCAGCTAAGGAGCAAACTCTTTGAGACCTTACCAAACAAACAAAGCTCCTTTTGAAGTAAGGAGGCAAACAGTTGCTAATTTACTAGGCTGAGGATCAACTGTCCAGATTCTTTTGTATACTGTATGTTGGTCAATCAAGCTGCCCCCATTCTACTTGTTTTGCTCAAGAGTGGATAGAGAAGGGAGCTAAGATGTTCCTTTCACCTGGACCGTTCCAGCTTCAAAGGGCAGGCTTGTTTCAAAAAACCCTGGTGTCTGCCTCGCTGAAACTGGACAACTGGCAATGTTGTTAAATAAGGGTAAGAAAGAAGGCTTACGCACTCCGGATGAAAACTTGCACGGATCTGCTTTTCCCATTTTGGATGATACACTTATAGATGCCTCTGGGGTCATCCATCACAGCCAAAGCCAACTCCTTCCCTTGGTAGGTTAGAGCCATCCTGTCTTTTATCCAGTGTGTCTTATTATCGCCCCCTTCACATATCAGGGAGACATTTTTTCCTTTCTGCTCTATGGTGATGAACTCTGCAAAACAAATGGGGTGAGGTGGGGCAGAGGTCCCACAGGCAAAGCTTCACCCATACCTCCAGGGGTTCAGGGACCAAACAAATTAGCTAACAAGTATTTAGCAAGACATATGGCCACTTATGCTCTTCAGGCAACTGGTATTCCTTTGGCAAAAGTATCATGGCTTAATCATTGGTTAGGGGAAATGAGCCTTTGTGCTTATTCCTAATTCTGGGCCAGCAGTTGCTGCTGAGCAAGGGCACTCTTTGCATTTTGGCCCTGAAGAGATCTGTTTCTGTTTTCTCTATCCAGCTCCTAGGCATCAGCACAATGGGGGTGGGAAGGGGGGTTTGCAACTGCTTCTCTCCCACACTGCCTGTCCATCTTGCTTGTCCCGGGGAACTTGCCTTCCTCCTGTAACATGTTTGCTTAGCAGATAGTCCTGGTGAAACTATTGAGACTTCCTCCCAAATCTACCTTGGCAGCTGTGAAGTGCTTAAAGTCCTTTGCCTTCCCATCCAGGAATGACTCCTGATGAGCTTCTAGCCAGTCAGAAAAATCTTTTTCTTTCCAATATTCTTTCTGAAACAAGCTTTTTCCAAACACTCAGGATCTGGAAAATTCAGAAGCCATCCCCAATTAAAAGAGCGCCAAAATTTAAGCACACCAAGAGTCACTGACTGGGTTTGTGTGTCACAGTCTACATGCATTGTGCAAACCCAGCCAATTATGGTATAATCCGTAAAGCATGGCCACACAACCTATGGCTAGACCTAGACATATAAATCCATCCTATCTGAACTCCTTCTGAGCTGCTTCCCTAGTTTTCTTTTAGGGAACCTGGATAAATCATACCATTTCCTGATGCTGCATTTCCACTTATGCTGATGCCTGAAAGAAAATAATTTCATGTTGAGAAATATAGAGCAAATTAAACAGGGACCAAGAATCGCCAATAATACCACACACCAGTCTTCTATTCAGTTGTCCAAGCAACATCAAACAGTGGAATGTATGGTATGCAGAAGCAGTGAAAAGACTAAACATCATGCCAAATGGCACCCAGGAAGGGAATGAAGAGGGAAAAGCAAACGCAAATGGAGGACTGTTCAGCTTTTGGGCGAAAGGGTGACATTGACTTGAGAAAGGGAACATTTCTGTGACTTCCTAATTTCAGAAAGAGCCAGCTAAGGAGAATCATTATTGAGGTTTTTAATATAAGGCAAAGTCTAAGGAAAATGGACAGAGAAAAGTTTTTTCTCCCAAAATGCTAGAGGTTCAGGACAGGCACATAACAATATTTCCTCACCTACCATATGTGAGGGAGATGGGACACCCTCACAGATATCTTGGCCCTGGAATCTGGCAGCCACCCAGAGGCAACATTTCCATCATTACCTCTTCAATGGGCTGAATTTACATTTGCATTCAGCCTTTCCTCCAAAAGCTTGCAACATAAATGTCCCATTCCTCATTTATGAGGTTGGTGAGACAGAGGGAAGTGGCTGGCTGCACCTGATCAGCCTGACTGCCTCAAGCCCCAAGTCAGATGTGGAGAGGAGGTGGGTCTGCTGCTTTCAGATGGGGGGGGGGAGTGAGTAGATGCATTGAATCAGAAACACAGCTGAGTGTAACACAAGGTAATGAACTGGCACTCTGGTCCTCATGCCTTTTCACCAAGAATGTCCCCCTCTTTCTTTTTTTGCAGCCTGCCTACCTCTCCCCCCTCCATTCCCAGCCCTGAGTCTACAAGCTACCATCCTTTCAAACTGCCTGCCTTGGATTTAGTCCTACCTTGGAAGAACAGGGCAAGGACAGCTGCACACAGCAACTGTTCCTGGCCTCCCATACTTGTTGATGGAGGAGCCAGATATGTCGTTCCCCGTTCGTCAGCACAGGCAGCGGGTGACAGTCTTCTGCCAAGTTAAAAAAAAATGACTGGGCAAGAAGATATAGGGAAGATTTTTGCAGGCAGTCTGCAACAGGAAGTCTGTGGGTGGGGGTTCTACCATTCTGTGTGTGCGCATTTACGCATAAGGAAATGAAAGGACGGAAGAGATGCCACAGGGAAACCACTCTGCTGAAAAAATGAAGCTGACTTCCTTCTCCCTTTGCAGAACTGAATGGCAAATAGAGCCCCCTGCCCCAGCAGCAGTTCTCCACTAAGGCACCCCACGAACAAGCCATGGGGGGGGGACTCCTCCCTTTTGGCCAAGCCTGTTGGGCAGGACAGTTAGACCCAACCCAAACCGGCAACTCCGCCCAGCTGGGCCACTCTTCAGCTACTGCTGTGCACCACAGGTCAGCCTCCAACTATCGATCTAGACCAGGGGTCTTCAAACTTGGCCCCTTTATGACTTGTGGACTTCAACTCCCAGAATTCCTCAGCCATGCACGCTGGCTGAGGAATTCTGGGAGTTGAAGTCATAAAAGGACCAAGTTTGAAGACCCCTGATGTAGACCAGCGAGTTTAAGATCTGTGGACTTCGACTCCCAGAGTCCCCCAGCCTGCCATACTGGCCGAAGAATTCTGGGAGCTAAAGTCCATACATGTTAGTTACTAAGGTCAGCCGTATCGTCTGACCGTAAAGCTCGAGCTGGAAGAGCCACCCCGAGCTCCGGCCGACCTCCAAAATGGAGCCTCTCGACCGGGGCGCCGGGAAACCTTTTATTTGAGACCCCATCTGGGATCTGCGCCCGGGGAAAGCAGGAGCCGGCGGGATCCCTCGTGTCCCCAGAATATTCCGCACGCCTCGGCGACCCTCTCGGAGCCGTCCTCGGGCAGGTGCCCGGAGAGGCCTGGCGGGAGGCAGCGTCTTTCTCGCTGCTGCATCACGCTACCGGCTGGCACTCCAGTCACTGTCCCGGCCGCAGGGGCGGAGAAGCGGCTCCCCCACCCTCGCTCTACGTGACGCAGGCGCCGGCAGCTCCCTCTAGCCGCGGTGCGGCTCTATGGTCGCTCGCTCTGTCGCCACGGCGCGCTTCCGGCGCCTTCTGATGACGTTGTTGCGGCCTGCGGGCGTCGCGCGTTGTCAAGCTCGTCGCTGAAAGGTGTCGCGGCCTCTCCTTCCTCCTCCTCCTGCCGCTGCTGTTCGCCCCCGTCCTGTACCAGGGCGCCCGGGGCTGCGGGCCCTCGCTCGTCGTCTGGGTCGCGGATCTCCATGGAGCTCGCCCGGCGGGGAAATGACCGACCACGAGAACAATAACAGCATTTCCCGGAACCCCTTCGCCGCCCTCTTCAGCTCCGTCGCCGACGCCCGGCACTTCGCCGAGATCCAGAAGCAGACGCCGACGCCACCCGCGGGTGAGCGAGGAAGCGGGGCGGCTGGGAGGGGAGCGGGCTGGAGAGCCCCCGTCCGCTGGGAGTGGGCGGGCGGCGGGGGACTCGCGTAGGCCCCGTTAGAGTGCCCGGATCGGCGGCCCCGACCGCCTCTCTCGAAACCTATGCCGCGCGCTCGAGACGCGCAAAGAAATATTTGCACATCCTCTTTTGTTTCACCCTTTTCTTTGCTTTATTTTCTGCATCTTCAAGTGTAGTTCGATATTTGTATAACGGGGTTACCACGAAAGCCATCCATTGTTTGTTTATCCAAAACCCCTTTCCTGTTCAGTCACTGCTCAACCTGCTCAACCTCTGTCCAAAGTTAGACAATTTAGCTCAAATTTTAGCCCAATTTTAGGACAATGTGGACAGTCAGCAACAGAATTGAAGAAGAAGTGCAAACATTTAGCGGACTTTGTCACATTGGATTGATATTAAAGACATGAATTAGACTAGCATTACCTGGCAAGTATTCAAATCTCGAGAGCTAAGTTTTTACTAGTTTAATTCCATATTCTCAGATGGCAAATCAATAAAAGACAGAATGATTGGGACAGCTGTTTAGGTGGCCTCTCTGGCTCTTGTTTTTCAGAAGTCATTCTGGGATTCCCAGGAGACTAAAGTCTTGTGTACAGGCTGCATTTTTTTCAGCAATTGTGTTTTTATGATCTAAAACTTGTTATGTAAAAAAAGTGCACTTAATAGGCTTCTGGTGCTGTGATAGACTAGATGAGAGAGGCACAGGCCTTAGAGAGACTGCTCAGATGGTGGGTGGGCCAATTGGGGACCAGGTACACTGCTTATTGACTAGCTCTGCTTCTCTAGTAGAGGAAACCTCTGCCAGCCAAGATGATTCTGACAACAGTGTGTCTGAGAGTCTGGATGATTGCGACTACTCTGTGGCTGAGATCAGTCGCTCCTTTCGCTCCCAGCAGGAGCTGTGCGAGCAGCTCAACATCAACCACATGATCCAGAGAATCTTCCTGATAACATTGGATAACAGTGAGTTTGGAGGCATACATTGCCAGAATTCAAATTGGGTTATATTAAGGTGGAGGGGAGCCACCAGGTGGCAGACCCAGCATGGTCCAGTTTTTGATCCATGAATACAAATTCAGACTCCTCTCTTGGAGAAACTTGTTGATCTTACATAGCAACTGCTGACTTAAGACACCCCAAAGGCAACAAAATCTGTTTGCCAAAAGAGCCGTGTAAACAAACATTCTGGCAAAAACAGATATGCATGGAGGATGGAAATATTGTCCTCCGTTGTACAAGCAGTTAAGGGGAGCTTTTGCTGGGTGCAAGGCCAAATATGGTTTTCTGTATCTTTATTGGCTGGCCAGTATATTGCAGGTGTAACAAACTTTACTCAGCCTGAAAATTCCAAACATTGACCTGGTGGTATTTCTTGCAACCACGCTGCAATTCTCCTGCTCCAGTTGACTGTTATACTGTAGGGCATGGCTTGGAAGGGTTCTTTTATTGTTTTTTTTTTAGATTTGTGCTTTGCTGTGTCATTTCACTGGTCCTAGAGACTGCTTTCCTTTAGGCTACAAAACTATGCCAGCCTCTATTTGGTGCCCTCTCATATGTGTTGGGAAGTCTGGGAGTTGTAGTTCAAGACACGTGACAGCAATATCTTGAGGAAGGACTTGTTTTAACATCTGCCAAGACAAGAAGCCAAAATACATAAAAGTTGTTGATGGAGAGGGAGAAATGGTTCTGAACAGAGTGTCTTGGGGATTCCCCTATTGCTGCTTTGCTGATTCGTCCCCCTCCCCTCCCCACCCATAGGTGACCCCAATCTGAAGAGTGGAAATGGCATTCCTGCACGGTGTGTCTACCTGGAGGAAATGGCTGCAGACCTTGAGGATCAGGACTGGCTGGACATGGAAAACGTAGAACAGGTCTCTGCATGCAAGCATCTAATGGGTCTTCACCAGATTGGAGGCTTGCTGGAGAAGGCTAATATTGGTCGTCTGGCCAATTGTTCCCTTTGCCTATGGTCAGGAAAAGATGCTTCCCCAAGCCAGGATACCATGTGCCTAGAGGCCTTTAATTGCACATTTGTTGTGATGTTTGTTTGATTTGCTTTATAGTACTTTTCCTTGAACAAGGCCGTTTCATCTTATATGAAACAATTGAGTTCTATGGGCAGTCTATTTTTTATCTGTGATAATCAGGTAGATTTGGAGAAGCATGTGAAAGACCTGGCTGTTTATGCATAATGTCATTCTATAAACAAATGGATGTGAATGAGATCTAGGCTTTTTCTCCAAATGTTGGGAGAGAGCAATTATATTCTGGATCGATATGTTTCCCCAGGCTCTTTTTACCCGGCTACTGCTCCCGGAACCAGGAAATCACTTGATCCACATGACTTCAACTGGCATACAGAACCTCCCAGCAGAGAGAGATGCAGGAGAGAAACACATCCTGCGATACCTCTTTGCTTGTTTCCGGAGGGCAAAGGAGGAGGTGGGTCAAGCATCCATATCACACCCAAGCAGCTTGTGGCCTGGACTGAATGGGCTAGAAGTCAGCTGTTCTCTCTGTTCTTCTAGATCACCAAGGTGCCAGAGAACTTGTTGCCTTTTGCAGTGCGTTGCAGAAATCTGACTATATCCAACACTCACACACTCTTCCTAACACCAGAGATCTATGTCAACCAGAATGTCTATGAGCAGTTAGTGGACTTGATGCTGGAATCATTAAGAGGAGCTCGTGAGTTGGCAAAGGCTGATACCCCAGGATAAGTTAATGGGATCCAGCTCATGGCAACTTTCCAATTACATCCTTTTTTAAAATACTCGTCCTTTCTCTCCCCCATAGACTTTGAAGACATAACAGAGTTCCTGGAGGAGGTCATCAAGAGCCTCACGATGGATGAAGAAGTGAGGACTTTTGAGGAAGTTATGGTCCCTGTCTTCGACATCTTCTTAGGACGAATACGGGAGCTACACCTTTGCCAGATCCTGTTGTACTCTTATCTGGATATACTCCTATATTTCACCAAGCAAAAGGATATTGCCAAAGTGAGTCCTCACTCAGCCCCAGATGGCCAGAACCTCCTGCTGCCTTTAACCTTTCACCTGGGAGAAAGGTCACTTTTCTCTACCTCACTCTGGGTAGGAGGGTGGGTGTGGTGAAATGTTGAAATGTTTTCAAAGGAAAAACCAAAAAAGTCCAGTTGCCTTTTGAAAAAAAGTATCTTTGGCTCTATTTCTGTTTGTTCAGGTTTTTGTTGAGTACATTCAGCCAAAAGATCCAGCCAATGGACAGCTTTACCAGAAGACGCTGTTGGGAACCATCTTGAACATCTCATGTCTTCTGAAGACACCTGGTGTGGTGGAAAGCCATGGCTACTTTCTGAACCCCTCTCGATCCAGTCCTCAAGAGATCAAGGTGCAAGAATCCAACATCCACCAGGTGTATATTTCTGTTCCATTCCTGTTTTGTGCATTGAGAGGCAGCAAAATGGCCACTGATGACAAGCACTCTTTTTTATACTGTCTTTTTATGCATACTATCCAAGTATGATCAGTCGTGTGGTGCAGTGGTTAGAATGCAGTATTGCAGGCTGATTCTGCTGACTGCCGGCTGCCAGCAGTTCGGCAGTTCTATCTCACTGGCTCAAGGTTGATTCAGCCTTCCATCCTTCCGAGGTCAGACCCAGATTGTTGAGGGCAATATGCTGACTGGAAGCTGCTTAGAAAGAGTGGTATATAGGTCTAGGTGCAATTGCTCTTGCTATGATCAGGCAGATCTGTGGCTATCAACACCTTTGAATATGATGCTGACTGCCTTCTATTGGAATCACTGCGGCTGTTGTGGGGGAGATAATTAAAATCCAAAAAGTGCAGTAAAAGGTGAAAATGCCAGAACTCGGGAAGGGAGCTGAGGAATGACTTGGTGGAAGTGTATAGGTAGTCCTCAACTGACATCCACAATGGAGCCCAATATTTCTGTTGCTAATCAAGTCAGTTGTTAGTGAGTTTTGCCCCATTTTGTAACCTTTCGTGCCACAATTGTTAAATTAATCACTCAGTTAAGTTAGTAACCTGCTCGTTAAGTGAATCTGGTTTTCCCATTGAATTTGCTTGTCAGAAGGTCACAAAAGGGAGTCACATGACCCTTGGACACTGCAACCGTCATAAAAACAAGCTGGTTGCCAAGTGTTGGAATTTTGTGAGCCTGGGGAAACTGCGATGGTCGCAAGTGTGAAAAACAGCCATAAGTCCCTTT